CCATCGAGTACTTCCCTAGACGCGTGTACCGCACGCCTCGACCCAAGCAGGTTTATTACTGGCAGCAGCAGCCCGAGGAGGGACTCGCAGGGCTTTGCGGCTCTCAAAAACTGCCGGTGCACCAGCTGGCCCAACCGCCCTTCTGGTGACCTCGACCTCGTGGGAAGGCTCACCTAGTTGACGGCTCTCTGGCCCCTCCCTCATTACTGACTGTGCTCAGCGGCTGGTCCATTTGCCAACTGTAGTCCTCGAGCTTCCCGTCTGTTTGCTGTTGGAGCGATAACACAGATTTTTCTGCTCTTCTCATCCCAACAACGTCGAGTCCATCGTGCCCAGCCTGCTACTGGATAGCAGCAGCATCATCCGTAGGGGTGCCACACTGTGGGGAACGGGCCTTTTAGCACCAGGACAGGCGTCGTTGTCGCCGTGGCTTTGGGACTGGTTCTCAGTGGCGTCTGTTTGGCACGACACTACGCACGCACAGTACTTGGCAGGCACACAGACACAAACCGCCAAAGCCTCTCCATCGTGTGGCGTCTAAGCTAGCCGCTTTCTTTTCCTCCTCTTACCCTCCTCCTGTTTCCTTCCCACCATGAGCACCATCAGCGATCGCAATGCGCCGCTCTCTCCAGTGTCTGTAGGCGGAAGCGAGTGGTCATTCTCAAGATATCAGGCCAACGACGACGGAACCCTTCCTCCTCGCGGGAACCTCGTGTCGCCTCCCAACTCTGGAGGTTCCCCTGGGATCATGAGCATGAATGGCTTCCCCCCGGGGCCGACGAATACCGGAGGCCCGTCACCACCGCCCTCTGTGGGCCGATCTAGCAATGGCATGAACATGTACGCGAGGAGCGAGGCTGGAGGCGACAATTCGCCGGTTGCTGCGATAGACGAGAACATCCTCGGCGAACATTACGTTGCTCTGAGGGCTTTCCTCCAAGTGCGCGATCCTAATTCCAAGCAGCAACCCAACAAAGCCCGCGACAAGCTCCTGCGACTCTCCCCGGTGCAGTTCTTCGAATTGAGTACAGACGTCTACGATGAGCTGGTGCGTCGCCAGACAGCAGCACGCATTCCTCCCAATGCGCCGAATATGCCACCAGGCTTCCTGTTACCAGAGAAGTCCTTCCACCCGAAGCGAAATCAAGCCCGTCAGAGGCTGTCATCACTCGGACCTCCTCGATTTAGAGATCTTGCGGCCGATGTGTTTCACGAACTAGAGCGCAGGTTTCCGCAATTCATGGGCGGTGACATCCCCCGTGTTGGTAGCTCCATGTCCAATAGAGGTGGCCCAATGAATCGCACGGGGACTCCCGTTAATGGCGGCGACTACCCGCCGAGATCACAGAGCCGCATCCGAAGGCCATCAAACGCTAGTTCGATCAGAGGGCCGCCGCCGCTTGATGCGTATGGCGTGCCTCCATCGCCCAGCATCCCCAATGGCAACTATGCTCGGCCAATGCCGCGACACCCTACTCAGAATAACACCATTGTCCCTAACAAGAGCACTATGATTGAAGAGGATGACGATGGCTCTGATGCTTATGGCGCTGGAGATGGAGAAAACGGAGCACCGTCAGAGGTATGTTTGTGCTTGTTTCCCTTGGTCTGTTTATGGTGTGGCTAATTTCGAACTCGTGATAGGCGGATAAGAAAATTATTGAAGATTACGAGGCACAAGTGAAAGATTTGAACGCCAGGCTGACGAGTATGGAGGATGCAATGAAGAAAAAGGAAGAGGAGATGAAAAATTTGCGAGACAACCATCAGTCACAAGCTGCCGTTACAGACGAAGAGAAACAGGAGTGGGCAGATCTGCGCTCAACCCTGGAGAGTAAACTAACAGAAGCGGAGAGCATGAGCAGCTCCTTGAAGCAAGAACTGGAGCGTATGCGCGAGGATCACGAACAAGAAACAAAGCAGCTCCGAGAACAGGTACGACAGAGCATGAGCCAGATGTCCTCTACAAGCATACACGAGGATTTACAACGAGAAAATGACGAATTGCGGCACTCGCTTCAGCAACAGCAGCAAGTGACGGAAGAGGCACGAGCTGAGGCTCAAGAGTTTCTGCGTGAGATGCGGCAACTTTCTCTTCAAAGCGGTTCAAAATACGAAAGACAGGCAGAGCTCGAAAAGACGATTGAGCAACTGGAGAACGAGGTTAGGGAATGGAGGAACCGCTACGCGAAAACCAAGACTCAAATAAGAAGCCTTCGAGGTTCTTCCGCTGGATTCAGCGTAGACGGAGAGTCCACGAAACTGCCAAGCGACAATACTCTGCTGGATGAGCGCGGGCAGGTTAAGGATGTCCACGTCACCAAGTATCAGATGGCCATTGACGAGCTTTTGCAAAAAGTCCGTGAAGAGAGTCCAGAAACTGTCATCGATGCCATGAAAGGGGTTGTGGTTAGCGTCCGGCGAATTACGAGAGACCTGGACGAAGCTGCGCCGCGTGGCAGCGAGGCAGCCCAGCAGCATGGAAAACTCCGAGCAAGGATTTCTGCGACTGCAAACAATTTAATAACCGTCTCCAAGAGCTTTGCGGCGAGCTCTGGAATTACGCCAATCGCTCTTGTTGATGCTGCGGCGTCGCATCTCACAGTCGCTATTGTTGACATGCTTCGAGCTGTGAAGATCCGACCAACACCTACTGAGGATTTGGAAGACGAGGATGACGGAACTGTAACTCCTATCGATTCCTCCGGCTTCTTTTCCCCACGCAGCGTTGCCCGAGGATCAACAACCCAGGACGGTCTGCCTCCGGCTCCTGCTTTCAAAAACCTTGCCAGTATCAGGGCCAGCATCGAATCTTCGGCCTATAGCCCTGTGAATTCCCCTCGAGAATCAATGGCCCCATATGCAAAGGGACTACCCAGTGGGCACAGTGATGAGCATAATGATGGCCAGATCGAAGGTCTCCAGGTACGGGCTTAGGGCGACAACTCGTAATCTCGTATACGACATGACTGACGACCATGGTTCAGATCTATCTTGAGGATCAAAACGCACTGCTATTATCCGACGTCCATAATCTTGTTGAATGTATTCGCGCAAACGGGAATATTCGCCAAATCTCTATGGAAATCGACTCCATTAATGATATCGTTAGCAACCTTGTCTCGGAAACCCAGAAAAGCGGCCGTGGTAATATGGTGACTCGTCTAAGCAAATGCCGGGACCACCTTCTCGAAGCCAGGCATCACGGACAAGAAATAGCGGATTCAGGAGCCCAAGAAAAGGAATGGGGCATCTGGACCCAGACATTACCACCCATTACTTTTGAGATTGCCCAAGAGGCCAAGGAGCTTGTCGATGCTATAGGGGAGCTGGCAGCATCATCACGAGATGCAGATGATTTTTCATGAGATTGACGAGGTGTCATTAATCATTAATTCAGATACTTCGTTTTTAGGGGGGCGAGGCAAGAAGGAATTTGATGGACTGCCGATGGATATTGATTGAGTTCTTCAATGATATTATGCTGGTCGCTTCTTTCTTCGACCACGGCGGCACTCGTCCCTTTCTTTTACTTTCTTTCTTTTTGCTTTTTCTCGTCTTTTTTTTTTCTTTTAGGGGGCTGGGCAGGAGTCTCAATACCCCTTGTGTATATGTTTCTTGACAGCAAAGCTTTGTTTTTGTTGTTTGCTTTTACTCCACATGATATGACTGGCTTTTTTGCCTGGTTACCAGGATGCGGGAAAGAATGGCCTGATGAATTTATGCAGTGGGGAGAAATAAATGTGCTGGTTGGCTTTGGGCGACGCGAGAGGGTACTCACTCTGGGTGGTTGGGTGGACAAAGCACTGTTTGTGAGCGATAAAGGCTTAGCTTCTGGCCTATATAGAGAGATGAATAAGTTAACGCAGCGCATTTGAAGCTGCTTTTTTTTTTTCCTCCTAGATAATATCTTCCTCTCTTGAGCACCTCTATTTTTGACTTTATGTTGGCTTCAAGTACCTATAGCGCGATTCAGGTAACGACCGACGATATTCAGCAAACGCCCATTAATAACGTGCCAGGATTACAATAGTAGGGAAATATTTACGTATATATATATATATCGGATATGAAGACAACAAAGATGCTATACTGGAGCGTAATAACTTGGCTGTCGAAATCACGCGGACTGGGATCGCGCTCCAGCCTACCAGACCCTGGACGGCTCCCCCGCATCACCAAGGCGAGATGGTGCATCCCGGAAGGGCAACTAATCCCTGTTCCCGCGGCTGGTGTGATGAACGCAGCCAGCATTGGCTCGATGCGATCTGCGCCCGCTAGGAACTAGGAGAGCGGCAAAGGAATCAAAAGCAACGAGAAGCGGACAAGGACACTGCCTGCTTGGCTGCTCGTGGCACAGCGCGCAAAGACATGCATCTCATCTTTGGCTGCCTATTGGGTGCTTTCATGCAGAACATGCATTGAGAGGCACGCGCGAGTTTCCGGATCCGGCTGCGGCTGTCTCCAGTCACTCAGCTCGACATGCGCCTCTTGCGCGCGCTACGACCTGGCAATGCAATGCGCCTGATCTCTTCTCGCTTGGATCTCTGCGTGACGTATTCCCGTAACGATGGGGGGCCATGCTCTGCCCCCTGTGCCCCATTCATTCAGTGCAGACAAGCACAAACGCTGCTGCTGCGCACGCTTCTCCACGCCAAGCACCCGGAAAGCCAAGATAGAATCTCGAAATGAAAGCTGCAAAATGATGCACATGATACTATGGATTTCTGACAACCCAAAATCTGCCCCAGCTGAACAGCCCAGCGTCCTCTTAGCACCGCAAGCGAGGGAAAACGAAAACGCCCCCCCAAGGTTGCTGTTGCCACCACCACTTTTTGCTCCCTCTGCCTCCCTTTGTCTCTCGCATGTACTCGTACTTCTCCTTGAGCTTACATGCACGCCGTCTTTTCGAGGCCGGCGTGGTAGCAGGTACCTGACTAGCTCCAACGCAACGGAGAGGCCGAAAATTTTGCGATTCAGGTCCTCGACATCTTGGCCTCTTTTTTTTTTTTTTTTTCATTTTTGCTTTGATCAGTGCTGTCTCTTGCGGCTATTCTGCTCCTGCAGAGCAATCAATCCAGGCTCCGGCTTCTACTCATCCTCTTTTTTTCTTGCTCGCCCTTGAAGCCATAGGCTGACTCCAGGCTTGACGCCTCGTCCGATTGCCGGTCTCCTCTGCCCACTGCTGTTTTCCTCGCCGCTGTTGTTTGTTGCGCGCGCGCAGCGGAGCCGCTTTTCTGCTGGGCCGCAGAGCTTCCCTTTCACGGCCGCCTTGTTTCAGCCCTGCTCTGGCCAAAGACGGGCGTCTCCGTTTGCCTGTAATTTCTTTACTTTTATTTTTGGCAAAAAACATAAAAACCTTGGACGACAAGTACAACCAACAGCATCAAAAAGCGGCCACGTTTCAGCTTTACATACTCCCTGGCGGCCCGTTCAAATTAATAGTGCAAGCTCTGTCTCTACGCTACCACCCACCTGGCCACGGAGGGTCCGAGAAACCCTGCCCGCATCTGCAGTCTACTACTATTTCGTTCCTATTTTCCTATACACTTACAGCGGCTTTCGGGGTACCCTGTGGGTACATTGCGCAATTCTAGACGCTGTTCGATGGAGGCAAAGCCTCGCTACGAGGCCCGCGATACGGCCCGCGACACGGCCGATATTCCTCTTGGCGCGCAAGGCCGCCTAGAGCAGAGCCCTGCGGATATGGATGCCCCTCAGCTGTTATTTGCGTCTCCGTCATGTGCGCCTCTTGAGAGGGGGGCTCGGCGCGCCATTGAGGCTGTCGCAGAAGAGGGCCTGGCAAACGAGCAGACCTCAAATACGGACCCTGCCGCTGAGCAAGCACAAGACTTACAAGGACGGCTTCCTGCATCGCTTGATAACAACGCCACGACGACAGATCCCGATCCTGCTTCCGAACCCTTAGCAGCTGCAACCCTAACCCCCATCGAAATGCCCACGTCAGAACCGGTTGCTATCGAAGAGCCAGATCAGGTTGTGACTTCACAGTCGCGGGACGAGGATTCGAAGCTCTCTGACTCTCTCCATCCAGTATCAGAAATGGGAAAGCTGCCCGAGGAGGAAGTTGAGCTGGCTAGGTTTGGTAGTTCTTCAGAAAACTGTAGCTTCTCAGTTACAGGGAGCAGTCGAGCCAGCTCGCCACTGAGCGAACCAGATGCTCACGGTGTTGCATATACATACGATGGACCACCAGGCCATAGGATCCTACATCTCAGACCAACAGCCGAACAGTGGGATGATTTCCCTGCTCTCCTGGCCTTTGCACGAAGCCTTCATGCTGAAGTCGACGGTTGCTTCAAAATAATACTCCCAGAAGAGCTTCAAGAGCCGCTCCCGGACAAGGATTCGCAGCATGTGACCGCCAATGCCTATAGAATAAGACAGATCAACCACAGGACGTTTTGGCAGGTCAGCACAGTACCGAGCGAAGGCGCCTTCTCATCTTCGGAACCGGAGGGCGAGGTATCTGGGAGCGTTGACGAGAAGTTCAAGAAGCTAAAGACTCTTTTTAATAAGAGCAAGGACAAGCAGATGCGAAACGTGCGTTACCGAGTCGACGTCCCCGCGTGGACGGCGAAGCAGAGACGAGAAGCTGGCGTGCCAGAGAGAAGCCCTATCCACCCGCTGGCCGGTGACAAATTGGACAAGACAAAGGCTATTATTCCTGGAATCCATACGCCCTATGTATACGAATCAGCTCAGCATTTCGGTGCTACTTTCCAGCTCCACGCTGAAGATTTCCGCCTTTCTTCTCTGAATCACCTTTACAAGGGCCGCAAGATTTGGATTGTCGTCCCCGCCACAGCCGTCGACGTTGCCGAAGAAGCATTGAATCGAAAAGGCAAGTGCTCGCAGTTCATGCGGCACCGTGCCGAGTTCTTCTTCCCAGAGAAGCTCCAGAAAATGGGCATCCCCCATCGAATCGTCGACCAACGACCCGGCGAAACCATTGTCATTCTACCAGATGCCTACCACGAAGGGTTCAGTACGGGATATACCCTGGCCGAAGCCAAGAACTACGCAGACTCGGACTGGACGACGGATACGTATCAGCCGTGCCAGCCAAGCTGCCAGCTCATGACAGCCATACCGGCGGAATTTATGAGGCCGCTGCAAGAAGGGGAGGAGAGACTCGATCTATGCGCCGGCTATAAAGACGTTGGCGGTGATGAACCATCGAGTCTCTTACAGCAGCAGCAGCAGCAGCAGCCAAAAGCAGAAGATTCTCAACTTGGTGAAATACAGAGCGCAAATCCTACACTAAAACGACCACTTGAACATACCATTTCGGAAGAGATTGTATTTAAACACCCCAGGCTCGACCAAGACTCTATTGTCTCTGTACATGCAAAGGTTTGAGGGCCGTTTTGAATTTTTTTTTTGAATTTGGGACTTTTCAAAAAAAAGGCTATTATTCTATTCCTGGGCTAAGAGAAACAAAGTTTGGAAGGAATAAGTGACGACGTAATGCATGGATGAATGGGTTTCGGCTGATATCAGGAGTACTCGGGTGGGCGTATATTTGCTTCTTCACATGGGATTGGTAAAGAAAAAGCCGTACTGGCGGAGTTTTTTTCTTTGGAATGGGGAATAGAATGAGGATCGGAGCTGGGAATTGAATTTTGATGGGAGAAAGCATGACTCTCCTTTCTATCTTATTTTTGACGTATGATTTTCACATCGTATATTTCTGCAAAGGGAGGAACAATCGGTGTTGCGACATGGCTTCTCATAAGCCAGTAAGGCAAATAGGTAATTAATTTATATTGATCAATTAATCAACTCGTATTGATGCGCCTCTAGCTTCTTACTTCGAAATTGCAATAGTTTTGTGAGGAAAACCCAACTCGCATACTCGGTAGAGGGATTATTATAGAACATTATGCTTCGTAGATTCATGTATCAATTACATTTCTCACAATCACCTGGATCATGATGGCTCATTTAACCTTTTCCATTCATCCATCGTTTTTTGTCTTTTTTTAGTATCCTCCACGCCTCTCCTGGTTCTGTCGAGCCATCTCGTCTCGGAACGCATTCCTGTGACCGCCAGAAGTGCCCTGCTGATCAAACGTCTCATGGATGGGAGTGCCGGCCAAGCTTCCCAGGGCCTCGCTATCGCGTCGAGCAGGGATGGGTGCATCGTGATAATCTCCGTCCGCCAAGTGGTCGTCCGCATTGTGCAGCTGAACGCTACCAACATCCTTCCTAGAGTGGAATATATTTCGGCGGGCCTTGCGGCCGTTATAGCCATGGCGAGAGCGGCTCATGATGTTGCCGAGTTCGATGCGGCGGCTCTTGCGGTTCCACATGAAGAGCCCGACGACGATGAAAACGAAGCAGCCGAAAGCGAGAGGCAGAGCGATGGAGAGCGTATGACCCGTGGGAAGTTCTGTCTTTGAGTTCTGGGGAAGGGCGGGTTTTTGGAAAACCACAGGGAGGGCAATGGAGCTGTTCTTGTCGTTGCTGCCCTGGGGGGCGCTCAGAAGAGTGATGGTGATGTTGTTGGTCTTCTCGCCCATGAGATAATCCTTCTTGACCTTGAGGGGCCAGAAGCCCCAAGAGGCCGGCACGCGGTTGTCGTCGAAGCTCTCAAGCTTAACCCACTCATTGCTTGTCCTGTTGAGGTAGTCCAGACGAACGGTGATCTCATAAGTCGTGTTGGTCTTGAAGCTCGTCTTGTTATAGTAGTCGGGATCCCAGGTAACTAAAATGCTGCAATTAGCAATTGTCCCAGGTAAACTCCAAATCAACTCAGATGCCACGTACTATAATAAGTGTTGCCCGTCAAAAGTGAGCTGTTCGTATAGGGCGTGCAGAAGGGAGCGTCCTTGCCGTCTTTGTTGTAACAGCGCGAAAAGACTCCGTCATTGTTCTTGGACGTAGCGGTCGGGTTGGGAGGTTGGCCGGTGCTGGTTGTGATGACTCCCCAGCTCGTGAACGTGTACACCGAGGCTGTGATATCGTGAGGCGCAACGTCAACAAGCGTGGGGGTCCCGCTGATGGTGGTTGCTTTCGGCGTGATGGTCTTGACGGGAGTGCCCTCATCGCCAACGGTAACCCAAGGAGCAGTTGGGTCAGCTCGAGGCTGCAGATGCGCGCGACGGTGTAGAGCTTCGAGAGCCTCCAATTCGGGGTAGGGAGCAGCGGTGGGCTTGGCCGCGGCTGGGCTGCAGAGAGCGGCCGCAGCAGCTCCAAGAACTGCGATGGCATGCATCGTGGCTCGACAATTGATATTTTTTTTTCTTCTCCCCTAGTATTTGAATGGTCTGGCTGATTGAAATCAAGACGCGTCCAGAGATGGCGTGTGGTGAGCTGTGAAATCGAATTGATGGCCACGCGTATAGCAAACGAATGGAGGCGATAGTGATGGTGGGGAAAAGAATGGAATGAAAGGAAGGGGAAAGATGGAGAGCAGGACGATAGATAAGATGCTGGCACGGACGAGAAAAAGGAGAGGGAGGCACGCAAAAGTTTCACGGCCGCCAAGGCCTCTCTCGTCGACTACTGCTGCTGCTACTGCTACTGTAGCAATAGGCACTGCCCAATACTCCGTATTCTGGCATGGAGACGCTTCCACTAAGCTCACAAGGTTAACTACAGGCGCATCCCGCAGGCACCGGCTCAGGCCTAATTGCCCAAACAGGAACAGCGAGGCTTTTTCTCGGCGCTCTAATTTGATGATCCGCAAGCAGAAACAAAATGCCGCTGGACCTGCAGCCGCTTAGCGTAGGCCTGTTCAGTGGGGAAGAGAAAAGGGAGGGAGAGAGGGCCTGGATTCTGCTGTTTTCAAGTTTTCGCTCTCTCTTGCAACATGCGGTGTAGGAGTCCCTACTAGGTAGTACTATCAGATATCAAGTCTTGTGAAACTCTCTCTCCCATATACATCGCAATGCCTGGGATAGCCACGGTACTGAGATATGCGATGCGGGAGTAACACGAAGTTGCTTCTGTCCGCGCATGGAGCATTCGACGTCTGTACGAGCACCTGCATTAGTTTAGGGGGGATAAGCGAGAAGAGGAACTTGGCGAGTTTGCTGCACACAAGGCCATGCCAAATCCCAGCGTAGGATGTGTTTTTTGAGTATGATGCGCAGAATCATTTGCCAAGGCTGCTCACCGCTTCGTTGCCGTCTTTTGGGCATTATGTACAATATGACGACAGCATAAAGCCGAATTCGTCTGGTGGGCTAAGCGTATTTTTGAGGCCCGGCAGCCACGCTGTGTATGGAGTAGATTCTAACTACTTTCTGACCAATTCCTGCGCCCCTCGTGTGTTTTGGGACAGAAGCTTTCCAGTTAGCTTTGCAAACCGCCGGGCCATCCGCGGGAGACTGCGCGAGGAACTGTCGACGCCGGTGGCTTATACAATGGCAGTTCTTTTTGTGGAACCGATATTGATTACTATAAAGGCATTCAAGAGATAATGTTTCCTTAATTGCATGGTTCTGTTTGTTCATCATGTCAAGCGAGTTTAGCTGAGATGCCTAGGAAACGAAATATCCTTCAAACCTCACATGATAGTGCATCAGTCACCAGTGGAAATGGATAAGTATAGCAGAAGTGTATATAGACTGAAGTTGAGTTCAGTAGACAGAAAAAACTAGAGAGTAACCATACCAATAAAAGGAACAGAAACGCCGTAAGTGCTTATGGCTAGGTGGAAGTGGGAAAGGGGAGCACTCTAATAGCAACCCAACGTGCCATGCACAATGGATGGTACATTAAATTATCGATTGGTAGACGGAAATATATATTGTATCTCGATTATGTTCGTGGGTAATAATAGCTAGCATTATCGCGTCTCACATTATGCATCATCATACCTCTGTACCAAATATCACATCTAATGGGGCCCATCGCTAGGCATCAAACTCGACCTGTTGGATCCTCCTGGTGTGCCGAATATTATCTTGGCATCAATCTTCAGTAGGTTACCGAGTTCTATGGTGTTACCGTACGGATGGGCATTCCATCGTCGTGAAATTCAAAGGCTTTGCCCCTGCGTCTACCTTCAACGCTGCCCTTGATATCAATTGCTCCAATATATTTGGTAATAGGGGTGGTGTCTTCTTCTTCTGACGATTCCGATATAAAGTCGTCGTCGCTGTCCTCAAATACTTGGCTATGCATGGACGTCGCAACCTCATTACCTGTTGAGTCTTCTGCGGTAACATATTCATCTCGCCATTGCAAGCGGTCGGATCTAGACGAAGGATCATTCTTTTGTTGTTTCAGTGTTTGTTTCAAGTTTATTTTACTCCCTCACGTATAATACAGAGAACTTACGGCACTCTGCGAAGAATCTGAAGCAGGGAGATTCAAGAAAGACTGGCGTCTCTCGCTGAATCTCACCACAGGCAGCTTCTTGAAGTATTTGGCTGCAAACTCCGCTTTCCGGGCTTTATCCTTTGCTTCCCATTCCGCGCGAGCCTTTGCCAGTGCAGCTGCTCTCTTAGCTTCAGCTTTGGCACGCTCTTCGAAGAGTTTCTTAGCAATCGCAGTGCTCTTGCAACCCTCAACAGGGCACTCGTAGGGAGTCATCTGGCGTCTGAGCCGCTGTCGGTTGTCTTCGGGAAACATTTCGCATTCAGAAGGGTGCTGTGATGGCTGGCCTATGGCACAGCCCTTCTCAAGGAGGATTCTATTGTCGCGGCAGCGATCCCAGCTGTAGTGTTTCCAATAACCGCAGTACCTGCACTTGGTGATGTACTGCAGACACATCTTTGCGAGCAATAACAGATATCTTCAGTCGTAATCTTTCTCCTTTTTTGCTCTGAAATGTGATGTCTTTGGGGGGAAAAGAGCCACGGTTGCGCGCAGCGAAAGAAGAGTTGAGAGAAGAGATTCTAAGAAGTGCTACAGGGAAACTTCAGATTGAGCTCTTGGCAAATGTCAGAGCATCGTGGCAGATCGAGTTGCCAGGTGACTTTGTTTACTAGCAAAACAGCACACATGGCTGTGCTCTGTGCTAGGAAATATCAGCTAAGGGGCTGCTACGGGCTGTTGGAAGGGATCAAGGTGCCTACTAGCAGATATCAACGCGCTGTAGAGGATAACAGGCAGATAATCGATAGCATATCTCACATTTTGCTCACTTGTGGCATCTGCTAGCCAAGTCTTTGTCGATGGCAAGTGGCAGAAACAGCTAGTATTACAGAGACAGATGGGACGAACTTGCGTGCCCTGATTCACTTGGCAGCCATGAATAATACCTTTAATGACTGCCAGGTGAGAATTCTTGTAGCCATAGCACAGGCTAGAGGACAGAAAAGAGTAGGTTCGTTTTGTTTGTGCCCACGGTTTAAATCAGTAACAGTATTCTAAAGCCGCAGCCTCCAAGCTAATGGCTTGTCTCATATGTGTTTCTGTCAAGGATCACGCACGCATTCGCTTGAATATCTGCTTGGTAAATAATTATTCGATTCGAAATCGTATCCATAGATATACGGGTGTACGGGACTACTTTGCATATTTACGAATAGATGGTGCGGGAGAAAAACAAAATGGGTTGCTTGTCTGCCTTTACAGCCTCCCCCTTTACATACATATTTCTCTGTTTTGATTCCTTAGCATTTACCTACAGACTTCAAAAGCTGCAGTCATTGTTTGACAGCTTTGTAGTCCAAATTCTGTGCTTGGAACGCTCTAGCTACAGTGGACAAGTGCAGTCCCAATTTTAGCCCGATCTTGGTACGATCTTGGCATCGTCTGGAAGATCACGCTAGGCCATGCTCCCTATAGACTTGAACAATCGAACATCAGGCAAAGAAGCCATTGAACAGTACGCAAGATGATGTCGATTCATTTGTAAGCAGTGTGGAGACCAGATGTGCGTGCATGGAAACTTTCGCGCGATGGCTCTCGGCTGGTGCCGCAGCCAACGACGGGTGCTCCGCCGCATCAAGAGCATTAAACGCAAAGATATACTAAACATGGAAAAGACTAAGCCAAGTTTCGAAGATGGGCGCAAGGGATTGTTCGGATCGGGCTCCACTAGCTGCTGTCAAATAGCGCGCCCATCGCAAATCGTTGGGTGCCTTTTGTTTCAGCGTCTGGACTCCCAATTCCAATCTCAAGGACCCCATTCAGACGTCCTGCGAGCAGAGCGATGCTTGGTTTATCAGCTCCTAGGACTCTTTGTATAAGAAGTATGCTTTAACTTGTCGTGGCAACTGTAGAGCGAAACTTGGAATAGCCACGTTTGTTATCTATCCCCCTGCCTCTTTTCTCCTTTTTCACGACCAAGTCGCCACAATGCTACGGCGATACGGGAAATGCGGGAAGTGAGATGACAATTCTCATCGATTCATGGATAGTGCGTTGAAATCGACATATTTGTGCGCAGTACTAGGTCCTGGCTTCGTCTTCCGCGCGCTCAGCCACATACTTGGCATCCATTGATGCTCGAGAGCGGTAGTTCTGTGCCGACTGACACTTATCACTGGCATTGATAGCGGCTGTGGAGCTGGGCAACCCATATGTCAGCTCCAACGAAAGGGCATCAGACCAAATTCATTCTTCGCAAGCGGCACAGGCAAAGAGTCGAGCCTGGTTATGCCGATTGAAGCCTCGTCCCCGCATTGCTATGCAGAGGCATCCTTTTGCTAAGGCTCGTATGTACGGGACTCCAAAGCTGGCTGATCGTCCGTTCATCCTTGCAAATCGCACAGACATGGGCTTCGGTATCTCGTACGGTCGCTTTGCGTCAGCCAACGCTCGTAAATCTGACTGAGGCTGTGGGAATCTGCTTCTGATGCAGCAAGGGGGAATTACCAGCAGGTAGCGTGAGCCGAGACGAATGGGTGCAGCTGGATTTCTATGCTCTTGCCAATTCTGGCACCGAGGCTACTTAGAGCAACCATTCAAGTCAAACGGCCGCTGTGATGGCCAGGCCTTGTTAGGAACAAACATAGCCCGGCTATCAATGGCTCCTTTGTGGACGAGTGTGTGGTTGGGCCGATCACAGGATATCCAAAAAGGAAATCAACCATGTAGGGCGCCACTTACCGCAATGATACCCTGGTAGATGGAGGATTGAGGGAAACCGGGGAGTTTGGATATGTAACCAGGGCTGCAGCCGCGCTTCCACGCCGCGAATCGAGGCTTGACCTGTCCCTTGTACTCCTCCTTTCTTCTCATCTTCTTGCTTTCGTCATTTTGTTTTCTTTTTCTTTCTTTTTCTTCCTTTTTCCCCTTCTTCCCTCCTTCTCTTTTTCTATTTCCCCTTCCTGAGACTCTGCAGCAAACGTAAACAGCCTACTATTTTTTTTTCTACTTCTTCACTTCCTCCAACAGCAACACTCTCAGCACAGAGCATATGATTGTATATGCATGCGGCCAGCCCCGAAACCCCGGCAACCGGGCCGCACGCACCTGCCTTGAGCCATTAGACCAGACGAAATCGAGTTTCTTTTCGTTCCTTTGCCAGATGCCTCTAGAGCAGCACTTTGCTTCGACATCATTACTTCCTCTGCTAGCACTCCAAAGCTGTGATGTACAGCTAGAGCTCGTTTTTGAAGAAGAAAACAGCTGTGTAGGCTTGGGGATTCTTCGATGCCGTACGGAATATAATGCGCCGTGCTAACCAGGGCCTTTTCCGGGGTGCTGCTTGGCTGCATAATGACGAGCCAACCGACGGCCAAGGTTCGAAGAGGGGATATACAAGACGACGCACGAGGACAGTCCCCCTCCCATGAAGCCGGTAATTCTATCATTCGTTCGCTCGTTCATTCATTCATTACCATTCGTATATATGTATGCCTATGCTTATGCCTATGCCTATGCCTATGCCTGTTCCTAATCCTATTGATATACCAACACAACGCCAACATAGAAGCTGATCTCGGCCGACATGGTCAATTATTAGGCAATAAATTGCCATCTTCACTCCTCATTACCTGCCACTCGAGCCTCTCAGCTTTGAACTCCCATCTTCTCCCGCCAATCTCGTGCCGCTTGGGCAATCTGCAAAGCCGCAGCCTCGATCCGCCGCGCTCGCTCCGGAAGACTGTGGTCTCTACGCGTTCCAGAGGGCCTCTTGAGCTGGGCAATCAACTCTAGCACAGCCATGTGGTCCACAACCTTGTCTGGGTCTCTCATGCTCTCGCCGCTTCGATCTCTGCTCCCTGACACCGGAGTCATCCTCCCAGATACATTGCAACCGTGCTCGACTCCATCATAAAGACAATTGCTACATGGTCCCGTCACGCCAGGCGCCTGGCCGATTCCTTCTGGGGCTACAACGCATTGCGGAGAGATGCCTTGTCCCGCACGACAACGGCCACAGCGCCGATTGCTGGTGCGTTGCTCAACCCCCCTCTCATACATCATGATTGCCTCTGCCACTCGAACTTCGCCAAAGGCAGGCTCTCCCCGCCATCGCCATCTCCCCCATCTGCGCACAGTAGGAAGTGCGCTCAGAGCCTCAATAAGATACGACCAGGGTCGTACGGATGGTGGTACTGACACGTCGTCAAAGACGCATAGGGCATGCATTTCTCTCATAGCTAGATCTTCTGTTTCGCTTGGGTGGTCGCTGGCGTGCCGCTCTAGGCCACCAGGCCACCCTTGTATTGAGGGGCCCTGATCGGCATCATTGTCGCTCTCTTCGGCGTCATATTCCATCTCTAGCTGAATCTGGTGCATGGAACGACCAGCAATGACAGCTGAAGGGTTTGGCATTGCATTGTCGAGGACAAGTGGCGGTAATTTCAATGCAGGCCCGCGGGCCTGGGCCTGGATACCAGGAGCCTCTATCGCCATTGTTGTTGATGTTGTTGTCGGCCCTGCGTCACCTGTGGCCGGATCGTTGATGCTCATTTTTCACGACGCCTCGATAGAGGGACAAGCGAGAAACACCGGCTCAGCAGGGCTCACGGCGCATGGTGCTCCCGTCACACATGTGGCAGGACGACGGCCCCAGTCCCAAGAGAAGACAAGACACCACAGATACTGACGGGACAAAAAGGGAGCAGAGAGAGGCACCTTTGAGGATGGGGCATGGTCGTGTTTTTAACCTATTCAAGAAAAAGAGGACGGAGCACGGCAGTCATGTACAAGTACCATTTTGCCGCTCTATTGGATTTGTTGGCTAGCTGTGCCCTGCACTCGCGCAGCTTTTACACGCGTGGGGGAGGGGGTATAGTATTATTTTGGATCCAATTTGACTTTTGGGCTCTCAGAGGCCAACGAGCCATGATAGCACGGGATACGCCCCCCTTGCTGGCTGGACTGCCGGCCAGCGATGAGGGATTAGGTAAGTCTAGAGTAACGAAAACAGACGTACCGACGCCGACGATACGGCTCCATCCGAGCAAGGACCACACCCGCCGCCGATTTCTCGCAGCGACTATCAGGCGAAGAAGGGAGCCGGCAAAGCGCTGTTGGGGGCCGAGGGCCGAGCAGCCAGCTTTTGGCGATCTGGATAGAGAGAGAGAAAATCAAAAAAAGGGAGGGGGGGCCGAAAGCAAGGGCAGCTCCATCTGCTGGAGGCAGCCCAAAGAGGCCAAAAAAAGCCCTCGATTCCATTACCCCGTACTTTGCGGCGTCCAGCCGACCATCTCCAGGATTTCGGGCTGTGGACCCTTCGCTCGTCTTAGAAGGAGCAGCGCGAGCGTTTAACGGGCGCCCTTGTGCATATGGCATTGCATGGCATGGCATGGCATGGCATGGCGGGAACGTCACATCCACCGCTTCTTCAGCAGCCTGCCATGCCTGTTTGTACAAGAAGCAGTGGCAATGCAGCGGCATCCAGCCTGACCTGGGCTAGCATCAAGTCGCACGGCAGGCCACCAGCTCAGCACGCCTAAATACGAAGCCCAGCTGCTGCCGATTCGGAGACCCGGCGTGATTCCCCCGCATTCAGTCCTCCTCATCTATGACTACCCAATACATACTGGTAGCAGCAGTAGTGGTACTGCTATTTTCTCTCCCTGGACGATCACCACCTCCCTCCCAGCTTAGCTCACCAACCCACCTCCCCAAGCTTCCGTCCCCTCCCGTAACCCCGGTCTAATGTCAACCTAAGGGATCCGACCGATCGCATGGGATCCACGCCTACCAGCTAAAGCTCCGTGGAGCAGCACACCTGCGCAACTGGCCCGATGGCTGCTGAAGCGGTGGTCCCGTGCAAGAAGGTGACTGTGTGGGGTATGTATCGAGGCTTTTCTACTGCAGCCATCGCGCAGAGAGGGCGTTTTTATGTCTGTTTTTTATGCACGCCGAAGACAAGTATGATTGCGGACGAGTACTTCGTTCTTCGTACTTTGTGGACGGACTCGGTCTCTCCTCCGTGGGGGGGTGTGGATCTTTCTTCGCCAAGCTCCAAAGTCTGCCGTGGGGGTTGTGGTTGAATCTGAGCAGAAAGCCAGCCACACGATTCAACGAATTACATTGCGGAATACCAGCCAGTGGTGTGCTGATGCTGATGCTCCTCCAGCTGAGCCTGATAAGGTGCTTGCCGACTTATAGGTATATACCGAGCACCGCCCCCATTTTGCGGCTGTGTTGGTGATGGAAGCCCCCCATCTAGCTTTGAAGGTTTCTTGATATAAATGCGCTGATACTTCTACAAGAGCTAATGTCCTTCAGATTCCGTAATGCCTCCGTCGCATATCGATTTTAGCACTTCAATTCCATCTTGGCGTTTATCATTAACCGACTTTTTTTTTCTTTCTAATTTTCTTTTACTCTTCACATTCCATCCTTGCAGCCATGACAGCCTCAACTAAGCCCAATGGTTTCTCCAGCCATAATGGCTCGACTCACAACTCAATCACGCCGCTAACACCTGGCCTATACGTACCTACCGTGGCATTCTTTACCCCCGAAGACAGTATTGATGAAGAGACGACAGCGGCGCATACAAAACGATTAGTTGAAGCTGGAGTTACTGGTATCGTGACACACGGTTCCAATGGCGAGGCGGTCCATCTCGATCATGCCGAACGACAGCTCATCAATCGCATTACTCGTTCAACCCTCGATGCTGCAGGCAAGAGTGACATGCCCCTCATTGTTGGATGTGGCAGCCAATCTACGCGAGAGACGATACAGTTATGCCGTGAGGCAGCAGAATCTGGGGGTACACACGCTCTCGTCCTCCCGCCAGCCTATTACGGCAGCTTGTTGTCAACAGAGCTTATAATGAATCACTTCAGGGCAGTAGCCGATGCTAGTCCAATCCCCTTGCTTATATATAACTTTCCCGGGGCATGCAGTGGATTGGACCTAAGCTCAGATACCATCCTGGCATTGGCGGAACATCCCAACATTGTCGGTGTCAAGCTTACGTGCGGCAACACGGGCAAGCTGGCTCGTGTTGTTGCTGGAACACGTGGTACGGTATTCAGGACCTTTGGCGGTAGCGCCGACTTCGCCATTCAGACCCTGGCTGTTGGCGGGCACGGCGTGATTGCCGGATTGGCCAATGTGGCTCCAAAGGCGTGTGCTGAGGTTATGAGACTATGGAGAGAAGGGAATATCGAAGAGGCGACGCTGCTGCAAGGGACTGTTGCCCGCGGCGACTGGGCCGCCATCAAGGGCGGCTTTGTGTCCGTTAAAGCCGCTCTGAATAGATACTTCAGCTATGGCGGAGAACCACGACCGCCCTGTGCGTTTCTGGAGGGTAAAAGCTTAGAGACACAAATGGTGGAGTTCGCCGAGCTGATGGAGACTGAGAAGAAGCTCAGGGCCCTGGCTTAGCCGCCATCATCTCCACTAATATAGTAGTAGACGGATAATAAAGATGGGGAACGACGTTTGAATGATTTGTGGGGCGTGGGGGAATCGAGTCTGACAAGAAGCCAAGCCAGCGAGGCGAGCATCACTGTGGAGGCTCTTTAGCGGGGACGGAATTCAGATCCATGTTAACCGGCCTGCGCTTTTCTTGACTATTGCCTGCTAGAACGTCTCTTCTGGCCGCTAGTCTGGTGGAGGAAGATGAAGTCTTGAGCTGGTGTGAACAGATATGATAGGAATTGTGCTTGGGTGGGCAGAGCTAAGGGGGTGTGGCAGTATACGAAATACAGAGCAGGCTGCGCTGAAATAATGGGCAACTAGATGTAGGAGGAAATGGATCTTCATGTTTGCATCGCTGTGCAATCTTGGCAGGAGGCGGATATAAGGTACCTAGATATAAGATATACGGAATCTTGGTAACAAGGTCAGACACATACAAATAAATAAGGCAGCATCATCGGAGTACTCGGGATCTCGCTCATGCTGCTGTGGATATTCCAACTTTTGATGATTGTGCTTTGCAAGTTTTTTTTCAGGTTATTAGATAAATATGTTTAACAGATCTTAGAGTATGTAATGGCCATATGCAAATTTACTGATAACGCAAAGTGTTTTGAAACAAGTGGCCAGCTAAAATCGGCGCCAAAACCGGCGACTAAGTCGGCGGAGGACCGAATGTCCGCTTCTCGAAGCCGAGGCCAAGATATAATAATATGGTTTTCAGAATTTGAAAACGCTAATAAGACACACTTCACAACCATCCGCTGAGAAACGTTGGACGTCGTTGTCAAACATTCCAAAGAGATTGTTCAGGAGGCAATAGAAGGAAGTGCATGATGTAGCTAGTCTAAATCGAGATTACTTATGCAGGATGCTAGATAAGGCAATGTATATACCTACTAACAACATTGATATGGAAGATGCAAGCACTTAACTCAGAAAAAAAATATGCCAGCGTCTGAACAATTGTTCTTCATACCTTATAATAGGCTACCCAGCAAACAACGGATATTTGAACTTCTTCTTAATCGGAGTCAAGCTTGTAGCGATACTTTTGTCTTTAGATAATCGTAAAATATACAACGCAAGTGGCGGCTAAATACATTTTCCACAACGTAGTTCTTCCATATCTCTATAACGTGAATACAACAACCTCTCAATTTAAAATGTCCAAGAAACCCTCCAGCAGCTTGACAAGGCCATATGCGCCAGGGTCAGGGCATTCGTTCCACCCCTCGGCATTAACATACACGGACCGCCCCAGACTAGCCTCCATGCCCTTTGTTGAGTCTGAACCCTTCCTCGCAGCGTCGACGGCCTTTTGAACATCCAGCGTCTCGGCCAGCGTATTGACAAACGGCACAAGAGCGTCTACCACGGTACGATCGCCCGGCTGAGCGGGTGTATATTTGGCCAAACTCTTGAGAGCACCCTGGAGGGCAGCTGCCCAGATCTTTGGCGTGACAGTAGACTTTTGGATGGTGGCCTGGTCTTGAAGGCCCGAAGATAGAGCGTTGACGAAGATGGCGTAAAGAGCGCCTGAAGTACCGTCCATACTTGACTCTATGACTTGTGCAATGTTTCGAACGAATTGTACGGTGTCGAGCTGTCCTGATGTAGAGACGCCTTCCAGGTGCTTCAAAACAGCTTCGGCTCCCGTCTTGAGACAGAGTCCACAGTCACCGTCGCCAACAATGGTATCAAATTTAGTGACTTGTGGTTCAGCAACAATGAGGCTGTTAAGAGCTGTCTTTAGCTTTGTGGTGGTGAATGCAGCGTCCACTATTCCGGTCAGTTATGCTACTTTCTCGTAGAAGCGAGAGCAAAAATATCAGACTTACAATCGAGATTACTAGGAGTTGAGTCATCTTGAGAAGGAGCCTCCTGCTTGATCTCTGACTTTGTGGTATCAATTCCGCGAACCCAGTTTTCGGGACGCACAGCTGGTGACCAGCCGGCTGCGTCGGCAGGGGCATCAATCAAAGGCAAAATCGCATTATCCGTTACTTTGAGAATAGTAACGCTGAATCCCAAACCGTTCAAGCTGGTCATATATGTGCCACTGAGGAGCCTTGATGGCTTAATCTTGTAAGAAGCATCAAGCTGATCGATAACTTCCGTGGTAATTGCTCCAAGTTCGAGAGGGCTAATACCACCAAGATTATTGACCATAACAACAACCTCTTCTCCAGAATTGACCTTGATATAAGCGCGATCACTGTCGGACTGATCAAGGAGTTGCTTGAGCATGGTCTCAACGAGGCCTTTCAGGGTCGTCTTAACGCGACCAAACCCCTCTTCGTTGTGAATACCCATACCAATTTCAATTTCATCGCCAAGCTCATCAGGAGTAATTTCTCGACCTGGAACGTGGACATGAGCTAGGGAAGCACCAACGGTGGCGAGATTGTCTGAGGCAAGACTAGCGATTCGAGCGACTTGCTCAAGAGACTGGCTGTTGTCGAAGAAGAAGGAGCGAGTCAGATGGATATGATCAAAGCAAGATGGAACAGAATTTTAAGACCTACCCCTGAGCTGCAGCAGCGGATGCAATCTTCTGCACGAGAACCGTTCCGGCCAAACCTCTCCTTCCAATTCTGCCGCCACGCTTCCTGCCAACGCCAACATCGTCTCCAACAACCAGAAGCTCTGTCTTGATGCCCTCAGCACGAGCTTTCTCGACTGCCATGCCAAAGTGCAGCATATCGCCCGTGTAATTCATGATGATTACCAGAACACCTCGTTGGGGCTGTTCTGCGCCTACGCGGCGAATAGCACGGAAGACCTGCTCAGCTGAAGGAGAGGCGAAGACGGAGCCAGCAACCGCCGCTGTCAGGAATCCCTTGCCAACAAAGCCAGCAAAGGACGGCTCATGGCCAGAGCCTCCGCCGGAAATCAATGCAATGGTTGGCTGAGAGGCCGCATCGCGAAGGAAGACAGTCTTTTGCGCGACATCAAAGGCGATGGAGGGGTTGGTGTAGGTGGCCGAGCGGAGCGCGGCATTGACGAGAGCGAGAGGCTCGTTGGCGAAGTGTTTGGCTACGACTGTCTGTTAGCTTGTTGCAGTTTCACCGCGGTGGTATATGAGAGGCGTGCATACACGACATGGCGAATCAGAGCAAAACCGAACACGACCGTTTATTCGTTCCAAGACACGATGGCGGAGTTGAAGGCGGTGGTGGAAGCAGTTCTCGCAAAATCCTCCATCGCTTCCCCGCGCGCCGTGGTTTCTGCCATATATACCTGTGTGAAGCGGTTCGAGAATTACCCCATTCTCTTAAGCGTCAAGGGAACACGGTCTGGATGGTTCCTTTTCTTTTTCCGTCTCGTCAAGATCCATCGCGAATGGGGGGCAGGGGGGAGACGTCCCACGCAGGGCAATGGCCGAGTTTTCGCTTACACCATGGGTTGGCGGATTGCAAGTCCGTCTTGTCGGCTTGGTGGTGGTTGCCGTCGTCGTGACCCCCGTGTAGATGAAGAGCGAAGAAGAAGCAGCAGAAGCAGCAGAAGCAGCAGACGCAGAAGCAGCCATGTAACCAAGGTTTGCAGAGTAACTGCGGTGCAGCAGAGCGCCAGAGGCACAGCGTTAAGCCACTATCGCGCAGTGGGAGGCAGCCACTGCTTCGGGGGTGCGTCCCGCCAGCAGAACCCCCAACTTGACCCCCATCGTTATCCGTCGGACCAGGCACAGAGCACATCGAGTCTTGGAAAAACTCGTGAGAGTGAGGGGAAGACGACATGCTGTGCCACACTCGACACGATCCAGCCGCACATGCACGCTGCGCAAGAGTTATGCTCGATCGAGGGCGATTTATGCAACTTATGCTTAACCGACGCAGCAGACAGCCATCATGGAAGTTCCGCGTTGCTTGTCTCGTCCGTCTCGCATCTCATGCCCCGAGTGGCCAATACTGCTACCCTGTGCGGCTCAGCATGCGGGCTTCGGATGCTGACAATTTCTCGAGTCTATGTTGCAGTACTGTCAATCTCTTCTGCGGGATCCCACAGGCGATGCGGAGAACCGAGGAATCGGATGTTGCCTCATGGCTGCGGAGAACTATGTGGTCTATGTACCTCTTCTACCCCATACTCCAGGCGCCAATCCAATGCAACTAGCAGCAGACATTAGTCGACGGCCAAATGGTGGCTACATCTGTATGTATTATGCCGCCTGCGCCATCTAGCTTCGTAGCTAGCACCAGACCAGTCGTCTTTACTACTCCTACTCCCTCCCTCTCCTTTCGTCTCTAGTTTTAATGTGCTCCCGAGCGGCCGGTCCAAGGACAGACGGGATATGCGTGCATGCAGATTGCCTGCTAATTTGCATACTACTAATCGTATACGCCTCGCTTCGACGTATTCGTGCCTAAACAAGAACCGGTGAGCGACGCTAAAGTGTCGAGGCCGCAAATCTGGTGGTGGTGATGAAATACCCAAGTATAGGTGCATACGTGGGTAGCAGTACTTTGCAACGCCGTCTCTGCTACATGCAGCTGCTTTGTCCACAAGATCAAATCCTGTTTCCAATGGACAGTCAGACGGCGTCTACGTGGCAATGGCCCCTACTGTCAGCTGCATGCATAGGTATACATCGTATACGCCATTTTGTTTACAAGTGATATCCAACCTATTGGCCTAGACGTTCAGTTGCAAAATCATAGGTGACATGCTGGAGTACATACGGTGAGCAATGCATGCAGCTGTCAGCCGGTCTTCCCCACACTTCTACTGCCCTTTTTGGCGAAATCGTGTTTTAATTGTGTGCACCCTCGGCCTGGCCTTGCCATGTGATACTCCGTAAGATAGGTATTCTTGGTGCTGGTATTTCCAAATACGACCCTGATAGTGGTATATTGTTCAGGAGACGTCCATATATGCACCACTAGAAAGTTGGTGGTGGCATAATTTGAACATATTGTGCAAAGTGATACAAGAGCAAGAAAGAAAAGTAATCATGTGGCAGTACGTTAGTTTTTCATACAGCTCTATCGATTTATTCCTTCCGTCCATTTATTCAATTGCCTTTGTACAAGGAATATAGGAATCTCCTGCCAAAGACATATTGCCCTTATATAGCTCGCTTGCCAAAGCATCCATTCTATATGCACTTATTTGATATCATCTACTGCGTGTAACAATCAACCGCGGTCAAAGGCTAGATCGTATTCCACTTTATTCATTGATTGATGTTTATCTCTATTAGAGAGTTTCAATACACCATCACCATCATTCCTGCGTTGAAATTGCTCGTGAATTGTCTGACGAAGATGATTTTTATTATATTGCGTCTGAAATAACATCAGTTCTAGTCCAAAAACGCCACGCCCAACCTAATCTCTAGGATGTTCTTTTTTTACAACCATTTATATAGCTTCCATGCTTCTCTTGTTTATTTACCCTTCTTCCCCTTCTTGGTCTTCTTCCGGGAGTTTTCGCCAAACTCCTCTTCGTAAACTTCGGCTGCTGTTGTGGCCCCTGCCGCCTTTCTCTTCTGCTTGGCCGACTTGACGCTGACTACAACGTTGGATTTGCCGTCCTTTGCGGCGCTCTTCACTTGTCTTTCCGCCTCTTCCCAGGCTGGCGCATCGCCCTCAATTTCATACCTGAAAATGCCGCGTTAGTAATGAGATATCAATGATGGCCAAGGAAAAAAGAGGAAAACAAAGTGCTACTCACTGATCAAGAGGCAGAGAATCAATCATCTCCTTCTGCTTTTGTCTAAGAGCCCTCAGGGCCTCGTCACCGCCCTCCTCCAGTTCATCATCTAGTGCAGTATCAAGGGGCACGAATCGGTCATCCACATTCTCATCGTCATGGGCACCGCTGGCATTCTCTCGACTGACACCAATGTTTTCGGCTCTGGGGAGTTCCGCATCGGCGGCTGCTGTAACCAGTGTTCCGAGATGCGTAGTGAACTTGCGAAGAATCTTAATGAACATGGCAAGAAGCTGTGAAGAGGGAGTGTTGAGTTCTTGGGCAATCTCATCGACATCCTTGCGCTGCAATCCGATAGCGAGAAGAATGGATCGCTGCACTCCCGACAGGTTGACACCATTCTTAAGCTTACCAGTGAAATACAGATTCGCAATAGTGGGCATAAGATCCAGGATAACGTGATAATCAAGCATGTTGTTCGCATACGATTCCAGTCGCTTCAAATCAAAGGGCGACATCAACCTGTCCAGCTCATCCTTTGTTAGAGGAGAAAGGGCTATGCTATCGAGCTGTGCACCGACATTGGCCGATTCGTCAATGCTTAGCGCGGTGATGGCAGAAAAGGTTCGGAATTGGTAAGATAATAAGGACAGGAATCTCTTCTGGAAATCTCTTGAGAATGCACCCAGCCATGTCTTATCACCACTCCTTTCAAGAGGTCTGAGCATAACGCAAGTATGCTCACCCGTCAGATCATTAGCAGTCTGTCGGAGGTATACAGGCGAGAAAGCCGAGCGCTTCCAGAATTTGTGTAGCTCCTTAGTCATGCCATAGCTGACACCAATGTAGTCAAGTCGCTCTGGCTTCTTCTCCCACAGCTTTGCGAAGAGAGGAGCCATGTGCTTATCATCTCTGACTCCTATTTTCTCTTCCAGAAGGGATTCCTTAGCCAGCTCAGCGTCAGTCGCCCGAGTAGGCTTGTCGTCCATGGCTTGGTCCTCATCCTCTGAGAGGTTGGCAAATCGGCCTTCATAGTAGTCGACAAGAAGTTCCATTGCTCGCTTTCCGTATCCCATGGACATATACTCCGGGTTGGTTGCAATGCGAACAATTCTGGCACCAGAGAGGGAGGCAAACTCCTCGTCCTGGAATTGCTGGCTGACAAGCCAGGGAATTAAATCACCATGCGGTCTCTCTCCTCGGCTCAAGCTGTTAATCACGCTTTGTCGGGAAATCTTTCCTTCCAAGGCAACCTGGATAACACACAGGGGTTCGGGCAGTCTGCCGCTATTTTCGGATGTGGGAGCAGTGAGAACGAATAGTTGGTGTGCCGGTGCATCGCTCATAAGCTGGAGGTCATCCGGAGAATTCTTATAGTGACTGGCGACGTAAAGCGCTACCATTTGTTGTAAGAATGCCTCAGGAATGGGATGGAATGAGAACAGTGTATCACGGTTGACATTGAGGAGCTCGCACTGAGACGGGTCTGGGCAGCCGTTAACATTCGCCTTTGACTTAGGCAGAGTTGCGTCAAGGCAGAGAAGCTTGTTCAGCCACTTTTCAACTGAATCGCCCTGGGTATATCTGATTGGCTCTGCCAGGGTGATTTCACGTAGTTTTCGACTGGCCTGGAATTCCTCAGTCTTTGAAACACGTCCAGTGGATCGGTCGGCGACTTGAGTGGCATCGTCTGTTGCGGCCTGTCGAGACTGTTCTCGAAGCTGCTTGATGAGTTTCAGCGACAGCGAGCGGCCAGTACCCTCGTATCCGTTGATAGTGGACGCCATGAAGACCAAGTAAGGCCCCATCAGCTTCTTGACAAGAGGCAAAGGAATTGCGGCAGCTTCATCAATAACAACCAATTCGGCCTGTCCAAGCACATGAGCATCCTGAGGGCGGATGTACTGAATCGTCTGCCTGTGTTGTCGGTGGATGTTCACACGGACAATAGCCTTATTGAAATCTGGGTTGGTACTCTGGATGATAGAATAGTCCGCGTGATCAGCATAGCCGAGAGCATCGAAGCCCTTGAAAACAAATTCAAATAGTGTTTTCAAGTTCTCTGGAGAGGGAGACGTGATGAAGATATTGCTGTATCCATAAGCCACAGCAGCAGCTACGGCAACTCCCATAGCAGCGGATTTTCCTCGTCCTCTGGCGGCTGTCAAAGTAACTGTGCTTCGCAACGTCTTTTCGGCAATTGCATCGGTAAAGGTCAACAGAGCCTTTGCCTGGTCAACCGTTTTTGCAAGGCTGATGAGAGATCCGACTGGTTGCTGCTCGCGGTTCTCATCTTTTATAGATTCCAGCTCCAGCATCTGCGGAGTCTTGACCTGGTCTGCTTCCGGAGGTGGTAGAGCTCTCACGTTCTTGCCGCCTGAGATGGGGAGGACGTTCAGCTCGTCGTCGATAACCAAGCAGGAGTCGCAGCCTCCCAGGGACAATAAGAAACGCTCGTTGAATCTTGCCACAACGTCGTCATGGGCCTCCGTTCGGTACTTTGAGTGGGCATCCATGGACAAGTTGTACAGCTGTCGCAAACTGTTCATTCCCTTGAGCAGCATAATCACCAGGCCACCACCTTCAACGGTTTCGATCGTGCGGGCCAGAATATTTGGCGTAATAGCCTCGAAATCTTGCAGAATGCACATGCCATATGTGTTACCCAAGATCTTATCCGTCTCTTTGTAGTAGGTGTAGCGGATGTTGTGCAGGGAAACGAAGAGCTCGAATGGGTCCTCGGAGTTCGCTTCTCGAATGCCGCGTCTGATTTCTTTCTTGATTTTATCTTCTCGCTTCTTTCGGTGACTATATGCATTCATTAATTAGACACCAGCTAGGCTAAGCGCTTGGTTAATGGCAGTGTAATCACCTTGTGAATCCCAGCAGCTTCTTCTTGTATGCCCACAAGACAGATTTGTTCTGCTTGATATCCACCATGGACATGATATAATGAAGTCGGACAATCACATCCTTGGCTTGGTCTCCAACCACAACGAAAAAGCTTCGCTTCTTCTCCTGGAGCCCATTTCGAATGAGCGCGCCAATGCGCTCGTCTCTGTCAGCCGGGTCAGCTATGTCACAACAGTATGGAAGACTGATAGGCGACTATTTACTAGCCAATAACTTACACCTGCTTGCGCTGCATCTTGCAGATACTTTGTCACAGCCAATGGTCTGTGGTAAAGGATTGCGCAAGAATTGCTGGCTTCAGACGGTTTATTGCGGGACCTCTCTCATACAAAAGTCCAGTCTCGGCCAAAAAAATCCAAAAATTTGGCGGTGGAGCTGAATTCTGCCGGGCGGTGGGCGCGATTAGCTGCACTGGTGTGGGACCTGGCCGAATCTCTCACCGAGACGTTGCGTCGGTCAAGAATGTTATGTATACTCAATACTAAGAGGTATTAACAAAATAGAGATGAAAATGAACAAATTCTCATTCATATATTTCTCAATGACTAGATTATACCCAGGCGCGCTAGCAGAAGCTAATGGCAGCCTTTAGACACGTAAAAATTTCACAAATATTTGACCTACCATTTTGGAATAGTCAGAAATAAGGCTATACAAGCTTATAACAAATTTGCAAGCCAAACACTCATGTAGACAAGTAAGATGAGAAATCATTCTCCAATTATCGACCAAGTGCTGTTGCTACATGTTCATCTTATTCATACTAATTTACATACATCGATCTAACGGGAAACGGTCGTGCCCCCAAGCATGCACCACGGCATATGACAAACTGTTATCATCTCGAGTCTAAGGAAGAGGGAAAGTCTCGGGAGCGCGATGCGTAACTTATGGCTGACAAAAAAAAATATCAACCGCCAGACCAGACACCAACCCAAGAACCTACCAAATCCCAACGCAATATAAAAAGAAAAAATAATCTCAAATGATGAAAGTCTATACCACAATCCAAACACAACCCCTCAAGTACGATCCAGCTTGCGGCGCAGGTTTCTTGTCTTCTTCATCAACTTCTTATACTTCTTCTTCTTCATCTTAAGCTTTCGTTGTCTCTTGACGCTAATAGCATAGAGGTCACGGTTGCCACGGGTCTGGTCAAATCGCAGTTGGCGGAGAGCCAGGCGCTCCAAAAAGCTCCGGGGCTGACCATCCTGGATAATTCGCGGGCTGTGGGCAATGATCCTGATCTGACCGTCGGGCTCTGTTGACTCCTCAATGGTGAACATGGCCTTGTACACCCTGTGGTGAGAATCTTCCAAAGTCTCAGCCTCAGCAACAATTCCATCAGCTTCAGCGCTTTGCTGTACTTCGGGTAGCGGAGGTGGGCGGAAAGGCAAGAATTCTCCAGACATGGTGTCGACTTGCAGGTAGATGCTCGACTCAGTACCATCAGGGTTCTTCACATCAACTCTCTGCATACCGTCGCTACCTTGGTCTTGGCCGCCTATTGTCACCTGAGCCATGGGACCTTCCAGCTGGTCAATGGTATCAGAAAGCGTAGATACAGTGTCTCGTATCTTGTTCGATTTTGTTCGAGGGGCAAAGATAGTCGCAAAGTGCTCGTCTGTAACACTCCTGGGCATGGTCTGTGTGATGGAAATAGGACGGTGGAGCGAGAAGAAGCTAGACAAGCTCAAGGCTGCAATTTGAGTTAGCACCAAGGACAATCTCCGAAATGGAAGTTTTCGGCACCTACCTTCTTGAGACATGTGGTGAGTGCTGGGAACGCTAGGTAGTTTCTTGAAGGCCGCATCTCGGTCGGTCGATTCCTTGGGCTTTCGTTTTCTGCTGCCCTTGCCCTCTCCGCGAGACGATGTTGATGCTGGTACCGACTGACGAGCTGCGATTCCGTTGGGCTCGTCGGATCTTGAGGGTTTTGACGAGGAGAATCGCCGTTGGGGGCGGTTCAAAATGAAGCTCGAGGCTGCCACCTTGGGAGCCGACGCGGCGAGTGCCCCTTGGGGAGCAGAGGCCACCGCACGCCGCACCGACAGAGGCAACATTGTGTCGCCGGATTCGGGGTGCTGGATTAATGCTGAATGGGGAAGAAGGGAGAAGCAGGGGCTTGATTCGAGCGCTGAGGCTGAATCTGATGATGTCTCGTCAAAGTCCGGATTTGGCCGCTCGTTCGGTAAAACGATTTGCAAGGCGGCAAAACCATGGATGAGTCAGCCAGCACTAAGCCCTCTGTGGCCTAAGGAGGCAACGCCTGAGCAGTCAGTATGAGTAAGCCCTGGGCCTATCGGGGATCTTGATCTTTGCGGTTATCAGATCTGGCTGGAAAAAAATTGTAAGATGGCGATAATAGTTCAAATGTAGGATCCAAGTCAATGGTAATCTCGTTTTGTCACAAACAACGAAGCATTGGCAGTGGCATCGCACTTTGCGCCCCTGAAACCGGCGTTCGTTAATACAATTCCCCCCTGAATAAGACGTATCTAGAATCCAATCATCGGACCCGATCACAAGACCGCCACGACGTCAGCAAACTGCAGGGGGCCATTAGTATTACTATGGAGTCGCAGTGGCTGGCCGATTCTGTCAGTGCACTCGATGGTTGAAGCGCTACAGGAAGCAGTATTACTACACCATTAGAAATGTCATCATCATTGATCAGAGATAAGGTATTCAGTGGAATGAATGCGAAAATGCATTGCGTCGTCATGCATTATGATTGATTATCGTGAGGTGCAACATGCAGGTGCTCTGAGCTGGTTGCCGCATTCCGCATCATCTCTAGCCTTCTATCATCTATCCCATCCCATTTCCCGCCTCTAGCACAAGTACCCATTAAACCGAAAGAAAAAAAAAAAGGCATCAAAAAGTAGCAATTAAAATCTTTCATCAAAGAGGATAATTCAGGTGGCGGGGGCAGCGATCAACTCGTGGTCCTTGTTGTTGCCCTGGCTGTTCACCCAGCTGAGGTAGCTGTTCCAGCCAATGGAGATGACATTGGCAAACAGGAGACGGTACTGCAGGGGCAAGAAGGTGAAGTTGACAAACTGAACAAACGGCCACAGCATCCAGTTGGCCTTGAGAGCCGGCCACCAAGTGGTGTCGAGGCGCTCCTTGGGGCTCTTCCCCTCCATGGTGGCCATGCTGCCAAGGAAGACTCCAATCATGACGGGAGCAAAAAGCGTCTGGTCGGCCGCCACACGCGCCAACGTCTCAACACGGGCATTTCTGAAAGTGACGCGACGGGCCAGGAAGCCCAGCCAGGTGGTTGCAACAGGCCCAAAAACACCTACAATTGTTGGTTAGAAAATTTTTCTTCATTTTAATGGACCTGCGCTGGGTGCTGGCCTGCGAAAAGGAGAGGTGGTGGGTTTAGGCAGCAAAATAAAACTTACATCCACCGTAGAGCGCCATACGGCTTGTTCGAGCGACATCGTGGTTCTTCAGGCCCTTCTTCTCGACGAGCTGCTGAGCGGTGAGATCACCAGTTGCAAAGAGAACGGCAGTCGTCACGCCCTGCGTGAGCAGAGGACGGGCTGCGAGCCTTCCATTGTACCTGATGCAATGGTCAGAACCAACCAAGGAGAGGATCGCCGCTGACCAGGTGGTGGCAAACTTACCATCTAATGAATGCTGACATGGCGAAAGACAAGAAAAAAATCACAATCTATCCCTCTAGTGAAAACGCCAAACTGCAAAGATTGAAAGAAGGAAAAAGTGCTGGGCTGTCTGCGCTGAAGTTGAAAGATATTGGCGAGTAGTCTCTTAAATAAGGCCTATCCGAGTTCGCGTCGGTTTGCCAGATTGGGTAACTCCTCTCACTAGCAAGGCTGGGCGCCGATATGCGGAGAAAAATGAGAAATCGGCAACGAGGCTCTCAAAGAGGCGCGTAGGATAGATGCGGATGAAACGTTGAGATGGTAAGATTCTTGGATTGGTGAGAAGAAAAGAGAGAAGAGAAAAAAATTCAAAAGTGGCAAGAAAATAGGAGAATTGGTGGAGGGTCGATCATTGGAGCTGGATGTACAAATCGGCCGCGGGGGGGGGGTAAATTTCGCTAAAACTTGGTGTTAGTCGCCAAAGCACGGCTATGCTATCGCGAGATTGCCCATGGGGTTAGCAGAGCACTTTGCCCAAATCGTAGCCTCCGTGATCTTTGCTATCCGCTTCAGTGGACTCCGCACTTTGAGAAGTCTATGGATGTTAAAGTAGATCAACCTTGTTACATGTAGCAGTCATGAATAAGGCAATGCCAATGTATTTACACAGTACTTTCAAGTGGTAGTAGATATCGCTCGCGTATATGTGTATATCCCGTGTCCGAGGCGGGAGAAGCTATTGAAAGAAATGCTCCAGCAAGAATATAAAACACCATATCTATCCATGACAACGCAATTACAGAGCATCAGCTCGAGGTATCTTTATGTCCAACAACGCCTATTCAACCCAGCCAACCATGTATACCCAATCCATCATGAGTCGTTACAACGTCAAGTCGAGCTGCTACTGCTTCTTCCCCCGAGCAATGAGCTTATCATATAACTCAACCACTACATTACTCCACTGCTCACCCCCAGCTCCGACACTTTTTCCAATCCTGGTAGCCAAAAATTCTCCCACTTTACCCACATTGAACTGTTCTCCATATACAACTTTGGCGTCCGTCGAAACGTTCACATCCACCCCTTCTGGCCCGCTAGACCCTTTAAGCTTGAATGCCACCTCGACTCGGGTTTCCAGAGGCGCTAGAAGAAGGGAACTAGTAACAGCAATACTAGAGTCGGATGTCTTGGTAACTTTTGTTGGAAACGTTACATTGATGCGTCCAACTTCTTGAGAAATCCAATTTGACTTGTCCCATGCAGCTTGCACTATTTTGAGGATATGAGACAGCTTTGTGCCACTTTGGGAAATCGTTCGAATGTGATCACGGATACATTGCAGAAGGAATTCCTTTTCGGCTGTCTTCGGTTGAGGATTTACCTCACGACTGTCGGCAATATACCACAAGTCTATGCGTGAACTTGGCTGCTGTGGCTGGAACGATGTGATATCGACGACGAGTTCAATCTCTCGTTTATATGTCATAGAGAGCGTCGGTCCCGAGATTCCTGTTACAGCCCAACCGTGCTCCTTTTCGAGAGCCTCTACTCGAGCTGTTATTGGTGTTAGCTGTAAACTTCATAATTAACAATTATGGAACGACGTATGCAAGCGTACCTTTAAGAATGTTAACCTCAGTGCTAGTCCAGCCACGGCACTCTTCTCTAATTTTTTCAGATTCCTGGATTTCTGCAAGACACTGCGTTTTCCGAGCCGTCAACTCTTCCACATCGGCCTCTGAAGCCTCAAACTCTTGCCGAAGTCTGGCAATAAGCTTCTTCTTCTGAGCAATATCTTCGTCTAGACTGACCAACTCTTCTCGAGCGGCCTGGAGCTCGGCGGGATCACAGTCGGCCAGTTCTCTGGCAGCTTCCTCGAGGTTGTTGCTTTCTTCTAGTAATGATTCATACCGACCCACGAGGTTGGGCATCACGGACTTTAGAAGGGCCTCTTGCTCTTCTATTATTTTGACATCATCATTCATGCCACCAGAAATGCTGACGAGGCCCTCTCTCAGTCCCTCCTGAAGCTTCATCCTCCATTCATACCACATCGCTTTGCTAAGGTGACGCGAATGAGTCCGAACGTTTTTAAACTGATTGTCCATCAATGCCTTAACGTCAGGGGTTGCAGACATGTACTCCTGGAATAGCGGGGGGTTGTCTTCAAAAGTTTCGGTTTCAATCTCTTTCACTATTCTTCGCCCCTCGGAGATATACTTCTTCAGCTCTCGGCAAGAATGCTGATATAATTCCAGCATTGGTACAGTACAAGCACCAGCTACGACACACCGCTCCAGGGATCGATCATCTTCTCCATCGGGCAAAATGCCGCTTTGAGAAGTTCTTGGAGCAATTGTGTGGCGCCGTTTCGTCGTGGTAAGCTCCATGAAGCGAATTGAGGTTAAGTCTAAGAAATCCTGAAGGTGCATCTGGCCTTCCTCAACTGTCTCCATGGGTGGCTGATGAATTTGAACATCGTGAACCGTCTGGTTTTCTTTTACCGCTCCGAGGAACTTGACACCCTTTATCGGGGACGAAAAAGCCGATTGCGATGTCCTCCCGGCAAAGTCAAAGCTTAGTCGAGTTGACCTCCTGAGTCTTCCGGTTGTCTCTTCTTTTGATGGTGGTAGTTGAAGTTTCACATTCTTCACAGGACTGCCCTCACGCCCCTTCAATCTCTTTACACCATCGTTCTCTTCAGCATCTGCTTCATCATCCGATTCAATCGGCCGCTTGCCCAAAAGACCCCTGGCACTGCCAATGTGGAGACTCTTCCGACCTCTCAGCGGATTTCGCTTGGGGCTCATACTATCAATCATCTCTCTAAGGTTGAGTGTAGCATCTCTATCCGTTTGCGGTTCAGGCCGACCAAGTCTTGACTGACTTCCTTCATCACTTTCATCATTCGCTGGTGCCAAGACCTCGGGCTCGTTAAAGGCAACGGTGCGTTTTCCAGGAACGAATATGCTTGCTGAATCGCTCAGAGACTCCCGACGATCAAAAATAGCTGCTACTTGAGGTGATCCTAGACCAGTTCGATCTGCACCAACGCCAGAAAGTCGCCGAGGGGTAGAGCTGCTGTTCTGTGGAGTTGATTTTGCAGCGTTCTTTGGAGTTGATTGCGTAGCACTCTTTGGAGTTGATTTCGCAGCGCTCTTTGGAGTCGATTTCGTAGCGCTCTTTGGGGTTGATTTTACAGGCGATGGTGTTCGGCTTGCCCTCTGCGATGTAGAATTTCTAGATGATGATCGAAGAACCCGGCTCTGTGATGTGGGTGTCTGTGTTTTTCCAGATGATGTAGCTTGTCGCGGTGTTTTTGAGGATTTGGGTGTCGCAGACTTGGGCGTTGTTGAAAAGTTGGGTGTTTTGGATAATTTTGGCGTGGTTGACAGATTAGGTGTCGCCGGAGTTGTTGATAAATTGATCAAGGACTGCTCCTTTTGTGCTTGTGGAGTAGCGTGCTGGAACAGGCCACCTTCGTGAGCAGCCTGCAGTTCAGCACCAGGAGATTCAAATAGTCTCGCCGATGGTTTTTGAACGGGGGTGCTTTGCTCAGCAGGAGCCTGTGATTCGATTGTTGGCATTGGCCGTGGGGAGTTCTCTGGTTCATCGGTTTTCCTTCCAAAAAAACTCTTTCGGAAGGCTCTAGATGTATTTTTGATAATTCCACCAATGGCCGTCGTCAAGTCCATGCCAGTTGTCTCATCATCGCCCTCGGCTTGGCCCTCTTTATTGTTGGCCACACTGTTGTGAGCATTAGAAAGGATATTTCCAAAGCCGACAGTTATGTCCATTGTGGCATCATCTGCATCTATTTTCGACGTTTGGTTCAATGTTTGGCGACGAGCAACCTCAGTCTCCTTTTGGTGGCGTGCTAATAGGCCTCCCATAACGCTAGTCAGTTCCATCGACATATCTTCGTTTCCATCATCATCGTCGGTGTCGATGTCTGGTAGCTGGGGATAGCGGATGCCCCCCACAGCAGTGGTGAGTTCCATTGTAGCATCTTCCATAGCACCATCGTCCATCTCGCCAGAACCAGAAGGTGCACCATTCTCTTTGTTATTAGAGAGAACGCCGCCAAAAGCACGAGTCACGTCCATTGATACGTCTTGCTCCGGTTCGACATCAGCCTCTTCCGTGGCGGATGGCTTAATAATTTTTCCCACTGCTTGAGTTATGTCCATGTCCATGTCCATCTCTGTGCCGTCTTCATCTCTGCCAATACTGAGCCGATTTATAGGAGATTTCGAGGCCACTTTACTTTGACTAGCAGAGGTCGAGGGCTGCTGGTTTGTCTTTTTCACCCAGCCAAACGAGGGTATGATCTCTTCGCCGTTGTCGGAATCTTCCCCCAGTTGCTGAGTGGCCGCAAGTCGGGCAGCAAAGCGAAGAGCTTCGTCTAGCGTGGATTCATCCTCGATGTCCTCTATAGATCGACTAGATGCTACAGTGGTCCCAGTAACATCTTCTGTTTCAAGGCTCATCATTGTGCCGTCATCAGAATCGCTGTTGGAATTTTCATCTTCGATTTCTTCCTCCTCGTCGGTCCCAATTTCTTCCACCGCATCTGCAGGCTCAGAATCTGAACTGTATATAATTGACGTGGCGGTGTTATCTTGGCTTTGGGCGTTATTCTGTGCGGCAAGGGAACTTCTCCTCCCCTTGGCATTCTGGTCTTCGGCTGAGAATTGGGCGTCGGCATTTCGAGGGTTGAATCCCGAGCCTGATTTCCTTCTTGATTCTGCCGCATTTCGATTTTGCATATATTCTACCTCGTGGAAGGTGTGCAATGTTGCTTCAGCAGCAAATGAAACTCTGCGATTGGCTAGCGATTTTCGACGGGCGTCTCGCCTCTCTCGTTCCTCTCGCTCCTTCGCCGCGGCCTGTTGTTCCTCTTCTGTCTTCAAGGCTACTCTCGATCCGCTTAATTCATCTTCCGGTATGCTAAAAGTCGATGCGCCTATTGATTTCCTTGAAGCTTGCGATTTCAACGGTGGAATCTCTGGCAAAGGAGAGATGGAAGGTTTCAGAATCGAGCGAGGTAGTTTGGTTGGCACAGCGAGAGACTACAAAAACAATTAGATATAATTTGAGAATCTGCGTCAGAGGCATTCATACCGCGCGCCTGTTGCCATTTCCTTGTCTGAGCGCATCCAGCCCCCCTGGGCCTATACTCTTGCTTCGTGACTTGCGACTGGCCGCCAACGAGCCGCCAACATCAATTGTGGCATTTTCTTTCCGTGACAGCTCTGTGTGTACGCCAATGGACTTTCTGGAACGGCGCGTGGCCGGCAAAGTGGCCTCGCCGGGCGCCGACATGTTGGTGATGATGCTAGTCCTGCCTCGATCCTCCGAGGCAAAGAGCTCCAACTTAATGATAAAAACGACCCGATGACCGACCGCGTTTGTTTACTTTCGCGGGGGAGTAACGGTACGTACCAGATGCGCACTACTGCCAATATGAGGGTCCAGCACCAGCCACACTTGAAACAGCCACTTATCCCTCTTGAGACACTCTCCAGCTGAGTCACGTGCTCTCAAGTTAGAACGGAGCCAACCGCAAACGAGAGGCATCACGTGCCGATAACGCAGTTGCTTATTTTGATTCGCCTAATCAGCCAATCTAATTTTGCAAGCCCTAAGGTGGGAAAAGTGGCCCGAAAAAAGTGCGCCGTTGCCCTACTCCTCCATTCTGTGCAAAACCATCGACATTGTCTTCCCACCCTCTACGACACGCCCTCTAGTTACGGTACCTCTCCGGAGAAGGATAATTCAAGATGTCAGTTTTGCACGACAGCGCTGCGCGATCCCTCGACGAACATTGTTTTGTACTGACATTTATGCCAGGGCGACCGAGTTGACCGTCCAGTCGGAGCGTGCTTTCCAGAAGCAGCCTCACATCTTCTTGAACTCCAAGACCAAGACCAAGAGCACCAGACCGGGCAAGGGTGGACGACGATGGTACAAGGACGTTGGTCTGGGTTTCCGTACCCCCAAGACTGCCATTGAGGGCAGCTACATCGGTACGTGCGAAGCAAACGATTGAAAACCGGGTGGATTCAACAGGGTTGGCAAATTGAGAGGCATCGAGAGAGCGATGGCAAAAGATTAAAACGCTAAATTCGAGCCACGCGACGAAATCGAGATGGAAATGCGAACTGGAACACAACCTCTGGCGAACTGGAATTGCTGACTCTGGGCAATATAGACAAGAAGTGCCCCTTCACCGGCACCGTCTCCATCCGTGGCCGTATCCTGACCGGCACCGTCGTTTCCACCAAGATGCACCGAACCGTCATTATCCGAAGAGAGTACCTCCACTTCATCCCCAAGTACTCTCGTTACGAGAAGCGACACAAGAACCTCGCCGCCCACGTCTCTCCCGCTTTCCGTGTTGAGGAGGGTGACCAGGTTACCGTTGGCCAGTGCAGACCCCTTAGCAAGACTGTACGTTTTTCTCTCCATGTGCTCTTCTCGACAGCTTGAAATTACGATACTAACCTGCTCCGTCTGCAGATCCGCTTCAACGTTCTGCGTGTGCTGCCCCGAACTGGCAAGGCAGTCAAGAAGTTCTCCAAGTTCTAAATTGGGTTTTTCTAGTGGCATTTTTGGCGTGATAAACATCAGGGGGGAAACAAGTCATCTCCGCTGAAGGGTCGGCATGGGAAGTTGCTTTACAAAAATGAATTGTAGACGCAATCGTGAATAAAAAGGAATTCATGGCTACGATCTCGACGTCTCAGGATTGTTTACGACGCTTAATTTGATTCACAAATTCAGGAGCGCGGTGCAAAAAAATCTTGATGATGAGGCCCCCAGGTGATGAATGAATAAAATCCAATGTCTAAATATTGTTTACCAAAAAGTTCTTGCGATCTACCGTTGCTGCAGTTTTAGGAGATAGCGGTAGTATTGTGAAAATGCTACCTATTTTGATTAAGTGATGCTGCATAATACCAATGGCTATTTCGCCTTGCCTGTCCTATCTGCTTGTATATGCCGTACAGTCCAGAATATTGCCAGTATAGGATTCCTCGCATTTGACCAGAAACGTCTTTTTCCTATCTTAATATTACAGTAGGTTATTTTGCCAACACGTCGCGACGAATAGGAACAAAAACGGCATAACGTAATAATGCACGTTGACACATGCGCCGCCGTACATAAAACGACACAGTGCACTTGTCGCACATTATGTAATATTCGCACCCTTGTCAAAAGTGTCTCCCGGCATCCCATTCTGTTGGGGACGTCAGTGCCACTTTGGGCCAAATAAGAGATCTTGATACCCCTGGGTCGCTTTCTGCGGCTTCAACTCACTCTTCACCATGGGCTGGCTACCTTCCATCTTTGGCGGCGACGCTCCTAATCCGCTCGGCAAGCTCGATCCCAAGCTCCGGGAGTTTCTCGAAAAAGAGTCGCCAGTAAAATACATCCCCAACCAGGCCCCGACATCAACGCAGCGCCAGGATGCACCAGCCGCGGTAGAGCCAAAGGCTGGCCCGGCTGCAGTTCCGGCTGCGAGCCTGTATCAAGACGGACGATATGCGCATCTGTGGAAGAACTACAGACCGCTGGCAGAGGTCGAGGAAGAGACATCAACCGACCACGATAAGCTGATGGCCGTGTTGGAGGGGTACAAGGAGCGCAAGGCTGCAATCGCTAGGGCTGGACTCGAGAACTGTGCGCCGCAGCAAGAAGAATGGATCAACTGCATGAAAAACGGCAGCTGGGAAGATCAACTCCAGATGTGTAGGCATCAAGTACGGCGTTTTGAGAGATGCTACACTATGCAATCCGTATGACAGCCCCCCTCCCTTTTTTTCGGCTCGCGCATTTTCGCGGTAGCGCAAACACAGAGCATAATAAGAGCGATACTGACGGATGAAAATGTTGCAGAGATTTCTAAGGGCGCTGGGTTATGGATCAGTAGCAGGGCGACCAGCCGAGGTGGACGAAGATATCCAACTCCACGCCGATGCGCTGTTCCAAAGGATGCTCCAGCACGAAGCCGAGGTCGAAAAGGCCAAAGAAAACGGCACCCTCATCCCAACATTCGACCCTTCAATCCCCAAAACAACAGCCACTCCCGCGACTGCCGTCAAGCCCTCCGAAGAGCTTCAGAAACAGTGGAAAGAGAAGCTGGACCAGCTACCCGAAGACGAGAGAGCAGCAGAAGAGGCCGCCCTTCGAGCAGACTTGCAAGCCAAAGCAGATGTTGCGCGAAACGTCAAGAAGATCTGGGACGCCAAGAGAGAGGAGAGAGAGGTGCGACGAGCGGAAGGTCAAGCAACGTTCTCAGATACGATTGCTTCGCTCTTCAGCAGGGGTAAATGAGAATGATTGCTATGACGGCTGTTCATGAAGGCTTTTCTTTTGGTGTTTATTTTTTTCGGGCTTTTTTTTTTTTTCGTGTATCTACTTTGTATCGGCCATGACTGCATCGGGATTTTGTGTTTTGGCCCTGTTAATGGGAAGACTGTAAACTACAGCATCTGAGCGAGGGTGGGATATTATGTGTATCTATTCATCATAGATTATAAGGCTTCGGGGGCATGACTGCATAACTCAATATTAATAAACAATGAAATTTGTTTAGATATAGTAACTATCTCTTATACGCCTGTAGAAAAGAATCCTAGTTTTATATTTGACATGGCAAGTAATCTCAGGCTATCACACCAGTTGTTTTTATTTTTCTTCTAGCTTCTCTTTTGAAGATGTGACAATTTTTTTTATGATCTATTTCACCTTTTTAGGATTTGTCTCTTTACGGCTCTCCTGCAGAGAGAGATTCTTTTCCTTCTAGGGTGGGTATGTTCATGACCACAGCAACCCATTTTCTACGATCTGTAAGCTCCTTCAGCGCACAACGTAATAATATCTCACCTAATCTTGCTGTTAAACCTTTGCCATGATATACTCATGACAAAACTTGCAGATATCATTAAACGGTTAAGCTCCCAAAGAAGGATTTGGATTTCCTCTCCTTGATAGAGCTCTGAATCACCATTGCTTACAACAACAAGTGTACGGTTCCGTGGTCTAGTTGGTTATGACATTTCGTTAACAGTTAGTTGACACCACCGAAAAGGTCCCCGGTTCGAGCCCGGGCGGAATCACATTCTTTTTGACATTTTTTTGGTTGATTGATCGAAACAAAACTTAATTTTGACTCTTTACCCTCTTTTTGAGCCAGTGGCATTGGTGATTTCAGTGAGGTTCGCTGACTCACACATCGTCTTTGTCCTCTCTATTTATGGCCAACAATGGGTAGGAAGTGAACATGACAACATCATTTTTACTCTATAGAACGATGCTCCAGATGTTGCAGGAAATTAAAGCATCTAGAATCCCATGACATAATAATAATACATTGAAATGTAAAGAGCCTAACGAATCACCAATACCATAGAGACTGCCAAGTCGGATAACGGTGTCAGAGAACCCTTCAGATAATCATTCTTGGAATCGCATCGGAATGGAAAGCAGATTGATGGCTGCAACCCACTAATGGTTCTGTAAAAAGAGCGTTCCGATTAATAGGTCAAGGTCACGGGTAGATCGATTTTACGGGCTAGGTCAGCAAACACGGGTCCTTTTGTAGAAATTTCCAGGCATCACGTATCCCAAGGCATAATAAGTTGCGCAATACTATGGTGAGATTTATCGATTATATGTCGACTATCCTCTCCATACTACTGGCGGGAAAGCCGTGCTGCTTTGAACCGGCTTATGGGTTCCTGATTTTCCTCGTCGTGTACAGGTTTGATGGGAGACTCATCCGGTTTGAGAAACCCACCTTCTCGCTGGATGAATTTTCTTCGCATGCGTTGATACTCATCAGCAACCTCTTGGTGGGTCATGGCATCGTTGACCTCATCCGGAGGGATGGCAGAAGCTGTAGGCTCCCGCTCGACCAGAGTGTCGGCAATTGTAGTGCCTTCTGGACCGGTTGGCACTTGCTGTCGCTCCTCTTCCATAAACTTTGGCCGAATATCCAACGGTCCCTTGGGAACAGCACTTGCTGGATCCGTATTATCCCTGGCCTTCTTGAACCGTGACGCTCTTTTTGCTGGCTGAGCCGGAGGCTGGGCTGGTTTCGAAGAACTAGATCGCTCAACAATATCGCTAAGAGGATCTACAACATCCTTCTTGTCCTCGCTGATCGTAGGAGCAGAAGGCTCAATTTCGGGAGCTATATCGAGACTAGGCGCAAAACGCACGCCCTTCTTTGCCTCAGAGTCCCCAACTTGCTTCTCCTTGAGGTTCGACTTTACTGGAGCCGATTTCGAGACGGTAGATGGTGATGACGTATCGGCTTCTCGTTTTACCAGAATGCGGCCAATGCCTTCGTCATAATCATTGTCGCTTGACTCCGCCTCGTCAGGTTTAGGCTGAGACATTGATGATTGTGACTTGATGCCAAGTTTCTGTTCGAGTTGAAGCATTCGCTGGCGATACTTGTCCGTTACAACGCTGCCCTTGTACCGTCCGTATTGGTCTTCATCGTCCTCTTCGTCCTCATCAAACTCGTCATCAAAGTCCTCATCAATCTCGGATTCTTCTTCTGAATCGCCTTCCTCAAGCTCAAGCTCGGCAACAACCGCTCCAACTTCGCTCATGCCATATCGCAGCATCTGCTGTCGTAAGGCTGCGTCTTCTGGAGACTCGTCTTTGGGTATAACAGCAGCTTGCATGCTAATGTCCTCTTGGTCTTTGGCGGAGCTCATAATCTCTTTGACACGCTTTGCCCTCCATGATATCTCAGGCTCTTGTTCTGGTTCTTCAGCAGCCTTTGTGTCTTCCGAAAAGGATACGGATTTTTTAGGGGTGTATTCAGGTTTCGTAGAAGGGAGGTTAGGGGGAGCCACAGAATCAAGGACTTGTTCCTTGATTTTGGATGGACTGCTTTTATTCTCAGTCTTCTCAGAGACTGTATCTTTTTTCCCAGCCTTAGGTTCCGAATCATCTGAAATGCCGGCCTTTTTTAGAAGAGCTTCCACGTCTCCAAATGAGTCGCCGGGCTTATTCAGCCGAAATGAGACAACGTTGTCATCGTCGTCCAGCTCCTCGACAATGTCCAAGATAGGCTGTCCATCTTCGTCGGTATCGTCAGGCTGACTGATGACGGTAGCGGCAGCGTGCTTGTTCTCGGCGGTTTCAAGCTGCTTCTGCAGCGTCTCAATATTCTTAGATACATAATCAATACGGCGTTCAAGGACATTAATGATCTGGTCCTTGGTCTTTAGCTTCGGCTGACCGAAGATGTCGTCGATCTCTGTCCTACTTAGGAGCTCGCCGTCAAATCCGCCATGTATGCGTTGCAGCTCTTTGGCTTCGTCGGCTGCGGTCACCGCCTCAACCTCCTCTTTGAGTCCCTCATACTCGGCATCCCAGGTTTGCCAGTGCTGCAGAGCTTTCTGTAGCTGGTTGACATTATCTTCAAGCCGTAGACGGTGCTTTTCGAGGTCAGCAAAACTATCTCTAGCATCCGACATGGCGGGAAGAATGAGGCCGACGGCATCAGCAACCTATAGACGCTGAGAGGAAAATTTGGTAGTGAGGTTGGGCACCCGCATTTACTTGGTTTGGTGTTGACGGAATAACCCCGGCTAATAGTGGCATGCACCACTTCTTCAAGGGTGGAGTCGCACGGAACAACCATTCACTCGGGCTTATCGAGATCACCGTTGCTGCCTTGCACTTGCGCGACGCCAACTAGCAACTAAGACGATAGAAGAATACGGGGAAATGACAGCGTGAACAAATGTGAGCTGCCACCCCACCTATGGCCGCTGGCGGCTTTAGGTTGTCTACATAAACCGTGAAATGTCGGCACCAGGTCGAGACATCTGCAAGTCCAGTCCAGCGTTTCACTCTCTTCAAAGACACAATGGCAGACTCCAAGGTCGAAACCAGGGCTCTCGAGGCCAAGTGTCTCTGTGGCTCTGTCCACCTTACGTTTGATGTTCCGGTAGCATCTCTGCCTCTCAAGTTTTACCTCTGCCATTGCAGCGTCTGCCGCTTCTCTACTGGGGGGCCATGCAACTTTCACGCAAGACTGGGACCAGGGATAAAGCCCAATTTCATAGCCCCTTCAAGTGAGAAGAACCTGACAACCTACTCCATTGAGGGGTTCGGCTGCACATATGACTTCTGCTCAACTTGCGGATGCCATATTGCGGGTGTTGGACTGGACAGAGAGGAGTGGACGCCTGCGACCTCGATATTCACAGACCATGGTCCAGACACGTTTGTGTTACAAGGGCATTTCTTTAGTGACTCGGCCCTAGATAAGGGTCTCGCTCAGGCGGTGACACATGTGGACGGACGCGAGCTGCTAGACTGGAATCCTCCCAAAGACAGTCCTCGAGCCAAGACTGTTGAACCGAAGCCAGAAGTAGGCCAGGATGGACAGGAACGGCTGCGGGCTCAGTGTCACTGTGGAGGCGTATCCTTCACAATCAAGCGGCCCTCGCCAGAGTTGCTTGCAAACGAAATGCTTCGCACATGTATTTCTCCCATTGATCAAAACAAATGGATGGCCAGCTATGATTGTTGCGACGATTGCCGCGTCGCAAACGGCACGCATCTTATTGGTTGGACTTTTGTGCCTCTGTCATACTGCGAGCCAGAAATCAAGAGCGATCTGAAGATTGGAACAGCCAAGACGTATGCTTCATCGCCAGGCGTGTTGCGAAGCTTCTGTGGCACTTGCGGTGCAACGGTCTTTTATTCGCATGATGATCGTAAACATCTAAAACCAGGAGACTGGCACATTGTTGATCTTGCAACGGGAATCCTTCGAGCGCCAGAAGGGTCCATGACTGAAAACTGGCTAACCTGGAGGTCGCGCTTGGCTTGGGGAGATAGTGGGAAAAGGTTTGACGCAGCGTTTTTCAACGGGTTGGAGGAGGGCATGAAGAAGTACGTTATTGGAAAGGTGGGAAGGGAACTGACAGACAAAATTGCGTGATGTTGTAAAGAGTTTGAAAGTGGTAGCGATGCATTTTGTTGGATTGTTAGTTGCAAGCTATATACTATGCTTTAGATCAGAATGAAGGCCATCCGCGAAAATGCAAGACTAAAATTAAATCAATTTTATCGCATGCGAATTAGCATTGAGATAAAAAGTAATAGACCTATGAAATTATTTAGCTTTCTCGTCTTTTTTATTACAGATATATCTTCCGCGGCTGATCTATTACGCCGTTGATGTTCATCTGAGAGTCATTCAAACTATGACGATGCCGATAGTATCCGGCTAAAAAAGACGCTATGATAAGAACAACGGCACCGTCTCTCTCCAGAAGAGCAATTTCCCAAATAGCAATCTACCATCAAAGAGACAAAGAGGAAGACAATTCGAAAATCTTACACTCGTTCACAACGTCACCCGCAATTCATCGGCGAAAACACAAGACGAGAAAAACCGCCCGACGCTTCTGCAGCTCTACTGTAGACTAACCAACCCTTTTTTTGACTTTGCTCTTTCAACACTAGAGCCGATTCCGGCGAGGCTTTCTCACTCGGCCAGTGGGGGGTCCTGGATTTTTATATGAGGTCAATCCTGCGCGCGCAGCAAACAAAAGAAATAAGGAAAAAATAAATCCCTGGTTGAGGCAGACCGATGCGTTATGCATCAACGCGACCCACGACCCTTTTGTTCAGATTTATAGCCGGGCGCATCCAGGCTGTGCGAAGCATGGCGTCTACAAGCAGGTCTTACAATGTATGACATCTTCCCTCTTGTCATGTTTTTTTCACTCACAATACCATCTATTATGCTGTGAAATAATGATTTCTCATTCTCAGTGGCTCATGTCAATAGGATGCGATTGATAAGCTCAACGAGCTTCAGACGCCCTTCGCGGTGATTCAAGCTCGTCACCAGGCTGGCATTCTGCCTGACTCTGTCCTTGGAATCGCAAAGATGCGGGCGTATCTCACGAGGATCGGATATACTGTGTGTAACGCCCCCCCTCCTCATCCTCGAATCTGACCAAGGATGCACGGCTCACCCTCGCTTTTTTTCTGTGTGTGTTAGCCTGCGGACCTTGATCGTTTAAACATCATTCACGTGGCAGGCACAAAGGGAAAAGGAAGCACCTGTGCCTTTGTCGACTCAATCTTCTCTCAGTATCAGCAGCGCCATGGCGGCCCTCGCAAGACGGGTCTCTTCACATCGCCCCATCTCATGGCCGTGCGCGAACGGATTCGCATCGACTCCAAGCCCATATCAGAAGAACTCTTTGCAAAGTATTTTTTCGAGGTATGGGATCGACTGGAGGAGTCGAGAGAAGCCCCCGACCCGGAAGTGCCGTTTGGATCAAAGCCTGTGTATGCCCGCTATCTCACCCTTGTAAGCTGGCACGCATTTCTGCAAGAGGGCGTTGAGGCAGCTGTGTATGAGACGGGCATAGGAGGAGAGTATGATTCAACAAATCTGGTGTCAAGCCCAGTTGCGTCAGGTATCAGCACGCTTGGCATCGATCACGTCGCTGTCCTGGGAGACACGGTCGAAAAGATTGCGTGGCACAAGGCCGGTATCATGAAGACGGGAAGCCCGGCATTTACAATTGAGCAACTGCCCGGAGCAGCGGAGGTTCTCGTCAATCGAGCCAAGGAAAAGAATGTCGATTTGCAAGCGCTCAAGATCGACCGTCGTCTAGAAGGCGTCAAAATCCGACCAAACGCAACGTTCCAGAAGAAGAATGCAACTTTGGCAATCGCCCTCGCAGAGACGGCCCTCAGAAAGCTCGGACTATTGAAAGAGATGCCAGAGTCAGAGCTGCCCCGAGAATTCATAGACGGTCTCGAAAAATGCGTCTTCAGGGGCCGGTGCGAAGTGAAGGAAGAGAAGAAGGTGACTTGGCATCTGGATGGCGCCCACACTGCAGACAGCCTGAAAATGTCGTCCAAGTGGTTCGCCAGCGAGATCACTGGCCGGTAAGATGAAACTCTCTTCCTCTCCCTTCCTTTTGAGGGAAAGCCCCATGCGATATAAGAGGGTAAAGTTACTGACAACCTAACAGGACCGGTCCCAGAGTAATGATTTTCAACCAGCAAGGTCGTGTCGAAGCAGTCGACTTCCTTCAACCTATATGTAACGCTCTTAAGCGCAGTGACGACGACACCGGCAAGCCATCATTCGACCACGTCGTCTTCTGCACAAACGTCACATATGCCCAAACGGGCTACAAGCGCGACTTTGTCAACAACACCATTGATCCCTCAGAAGTCGACAAATTGACCGTCCAGCGCAGCTTTGCCGAAAAGTGGTCTTCCATCGACCCCAAGGCCAAGGTGGTTGTCTTGCCGACCATCGAGGATGCCTTGAACTATGCCCGCGGCGTGGCAGAGGGCGCTCCTGAGGGAGAGTCGGTTCAGGCCTACGTGACGGGGAGTTTGCATCTGGTGGGTGGTGCGCTGGGCATTCTTGAAGAGGCGGATGCTTTGTAGGAATGGAATGATATGATACTGGGGAGCATTGGGGAAATGAAAAAAAAAAAGAGGCAAAACGATAATGGTAATCGAAGTTTGGGCTATAGACAAAATTAATATTATAGACTCGCGTGACACAACCATCTTTTGATGTGTTTCTTTCGTTTCTCCTTTTTCTTCCTCTCTTCTACGGTTCAAGAACTTGCAGTACACTCCCCACGAGATGCAAACTCCCCGTCACCAGAATCTTCTTCTTCTTCTTGCCCGACTCATCATCCTGCCCTTGCGCAAGCCTCCTCGCCTCCGCCACCGTATCCGCAGCATTGTCAAATATCTGCACATCGCACGCAGGTACCAAGCTGCGCATCTTCTCTGCCGCCTGCTTCTGCACATCGATATCCCTCAACTCGCCATCCGGGGGCCTTGGAATCTCGTTGCGCGTGAAGATTGCATGGTGGAAGATGGTTTCCCTCCCTGCCTCTCTCTTTGTCGCTTCGACAAAGTCGGCCAGCAGTTGCGAAATGTTCCTTTCTTGCTGGTTGAATACCAATATCAAAGATTCGTCCGCACTTGCAGGTTGTTGCTGAATAGCCCACTTTGCCACCTCTTCCAAGCTGTCTCTCGTATGCGCCCCGTCCAAGAGCCACTCCGCCGTCCCGTCGTTGACAACCTCGCATCTACCCCTGAGTTTCGCCTCCTGTAGGCCTTCAATCATCTTCTCAGGGATATTCGCTAGCGGCTCACCTTCTCTCATGCCAAGATGCTCTTTCACAGCCATGACAGCAAGCGCCTGGTTCTTCTTTTGAAAATCCCCCTTCAACAGACCACTCACGCCGCCCCATCTTTCAATCTCCCCATTTTCAATTTCTACCAGCTCTGCATTCTTCTCTGCGGCCCTCTCTCTCAGCACCTTCATAACACCCAGCTGCTCGTCCAGCTTTAATGTGAATCCTTTTACCCCAGGCTTCAATATCCCAGCCTTGTGCCACGAAATCTTCTCCACCGTGTCCCCCAGCATCGCCACATGGTCAATTCCCAATTGCGAAATAACCGCAGCCGAAACAGCCTCAGCAGGGAGTACATTCGTCGAGTCATATTCGCCTCCGATCCCACACTCAATAACCACATCTTTAATGCCTTGCTTCAAGAAGATGTGCCACGCAAGAATCGTCAAGAAGCGAAAGTAAAAGGGCTTCGACGCCGTGCCTTCCGCCTCCGCAGGCGACATGCCCTCCTTCACAGCCGCCTCTGTCAATCGATCCCAGACTTCGAAGAAAGCTGCTGCAAATGCTTCTTTCCCCACAGGAACGCCATTGATGGCGATGCGCTCCCTCACATTCACCAGATGCGGACTCGTGTACGTGCCCACAGTGCGATACTTCGCCAGCATGGCCGTCGCATACGCACACACGGAGCCTTTGCCCTTTGTGCCTGCAACGTGAATGTGCCGCATGCGGCTGAGGTCTTGGGGCGTGTATCCTGCGCGGCGAAGCCATTCCAGCATCTCTGGGATGGCGAGCGCATTGAGGTCCTGGGGAGACTTCTTCTCCGGCGATTCAAAGAGGCTGGTGACGATGCGGTTGGACTGCAAGAGAGCCAGCTTCTCCAGGGCTTCGCTGTAATCTCGAGGCATGACGCTGCTGTACTTGCGCCTACCTGGCTGGATTGAGGCTCTGATGGGTCGATTTATAGCTGTTCGGTTGAAGGTAGCTAATGGGAAGCGCGCTTTCTGAGCAAGCCCACAGCTCATATTCCGGATGCACATGAAGCAAAAATCAAGAGGGATTGAAGAAAAGATGTTACATCATCTCATTTATTTCGCATTGATTTTCTCCAAAACCGACTAACGGGCTGATGTAATGACGAAGGTTATGCTCTACGTAAATTCTGATCGCAGATACTAATCGCATAGCTCAAGCGGGGCTCAGTTTCTGGAGCATCACCACCAATCACCTGTTGATGGTACAATTTAGATCAAGCTGTGCTTTACATGAATTATAATCATCTCAGGGTAGAAAATACAGTCATTTAATACAGAAATACATTTACTTAAGACACATGGAAGACTGCATGATAATATTAAATCCTTTGATGCGAGACAAAAATCACAGTTTCTGAAACTTAAACCACCAGTATCTATTCGTAACTGTACACGGGCCAGAAGCCCTCTACTTTTTTTTCCTCCTCTGAATCAATCAATATACAGGACCAAAGAAAATCTCAATACTAAATGTTTTTTTACTCTACGCGCAAGCTCTGTAGTCTAGCCTCTGCAGCAATGACCTGTGGTATCATAATTAGCAAAAAAATGCTCATCTAGAAAAGGGGAATTGAAAAGAAAACTTACATCAAGCGCTTGTTGAACCTCAAGCACCTTTCGAGCCTCAGACAGCCAATCCTTACTCAAAGTCTTTGCCCAACCCTGCAGGCCAGTCATCTCTCTGGTCGCAGCATCCAAGTCTCCCTCCTCCAGGTAAGTCTGCGTGCGGGTCAAGATGCTCTCAACATCATCTCCCTCCGCAAGGCCCTGCTTCTTGAACATGACGTGGCTAAGAACCCAGCTGGAAGCGTGGCTGGCAACGCCCGCATCGTCGGGAAGCAGAGAGGCCTTGCGGACCTCGCTGGCAACACGGCGGAATCTGTCAATCAGCTGGGATGAGGTGGCAATACCACGCTGGTAAGCTGAAGGTGTGATTGAGGCAACGGCAGCATCCACAACGGCATCGTCGGTGGCAATCTCCTTGAGCGCGACGAGCTCTCGGATGAAGGGACGGGGGTGTTGGCCATCCTCGAGACTGGCGCGAACAGCCTCAACGGCAACGTGAAGCTGCTGCGTCTTGAGATTGGTGTCAACGACCTCGTTCCAACCAAGGGTGAGCTTCTCCAGCTGCGACACGGCTGCTGAGAGATCGTTGAGCTTGCCAATTCGGCTCTCACGCTCCTGCTCGACGCGGCTCTCAACCTCCTTGAGGAAATCCTTTTTGAGGGCAATGGCCTGTTCCAACAGCTGGTTCTGGAGCTTGTCTTCGTTGAGCTTCTGCTCGCGCTCAAGCAGAAGCTTAACTCTCTCATCATAGCTCTCGCGAACAGTCTTCATCTGCTCCTCAAACTCTTGGCGCCAGGCAACCTCTTGCTGGGCAATAGAGCCCTCAACACGTCGAACAAGCTCGTTGGCGGCGGAATCAAACTCCGCAACGGTGGATCGGACATCTTCGGCAGCCTTCTTCTCAGCATCGTCCTTGAGATCCCTCAGACGTCCGCCAATCCTCAAGACTTCATCCTTGGCCTTGTTAATGGTCGAAGAGTACTTGTTGTGCGCACCGTCGGCGTTGATAACCAAGATGAGATCGTTTAGCATGTGGACAAGGTCTCTAACGATGGGCTCCTTGGCATCAGGCAGGGACATCAGATCGATAGACCTCAGGGGCTTGGAAGCAGGCTTATCCTTGGATTCAGGCGCAGCGGCCTTGAAGGTCTTTGGCTCTTCCGGAGAAACCTTGTCGACTGGCTTAGCAGCGACAACAGTCTTCTTCTCTGGCTCAGCAGGTTTAGCAGCCTCTTCGGGCTTGCTCTCAGATGGCTTCGTAGCCTTCTTGGCAGCAGGCGAGGCGCTTGTGCGGCGCTCAGAAGGCTCTGTCTTGTCCGCTACCCTCCAGGAAGCGCCGCTCTGGGCAGGAATCCTGACTTTCTCGACAGCATCGGGGTGTCTAGCGCCGCCAAAGGGGGCCTGAGGAAATCTCTTCTTGAACTCAAGCTCCTCCAGGTAGAGAACAGCCTGCTCGCCGAAGGGAATGTACTCGGTGAAAAAATCGTGGAAGGAGTCGTTGATGCGCGAGTACCAAACTCCGGCGCCAAATCCAGCGCCGCCAAGCACCATAAGGGTGAAGATAAAGTTCCTCAGCCTTCTGAAAAAACCCTTCTTCTTCTTGGGAGGCGGGCTGGACTTGGGCGCCGCGCTGGTGGACGTAGGAGGAGGTGGCGGCGGCGTGGGAGGAATTTCTGCCGACGTGATGGTCGTGTCGACGGGGCCCTGAGCAGGAGGAGGAGTGCGTTCAGAGCTCAGGGTCTCGGACGTGGGCAGGACGGGGGGCGTTTTCTGGTCGGCATAGAATCTCTATACGCATCGGCTCGTCAGTCGCAAAATTTCCCCTCGGGATTCTAAAGGTGCATTGCGGGACCTACCTTGGCCAGCATGGGCGCTCGTTGCGACGCGGCAACAGACCATTGGCGCCCGGCGGCAGCCGCAACGGGCTTGCCGCCTAGCAATCTCGCTGACCGAAGCGATGACCGCAACATTGGAATTGCAATGGCCAGCAAAAGGCGAGTGGATGAGGTTGGATCTGGATGCCAAGCCCAAAAGTTGACCCATGGAACAATAAACGCTCAGGGCAAAAGTTCGGCTAATGGGAGCTCCAGACTGGACTGCCGGCAGGAACCGGGTCCGTGACGCAACGCCATACCAGTAATGCGTTCATGGCTTTGTTAAAAATAGGAATATTAAAATTCAACGGGCATACATTGAACATTTGTGTTTCGTTAAATCATTCAATTTTCGTCCCATCTTTGTTCTTCTTCTTTTGCGCAGCCACGCCCAGCCTTTGTTATTCTAAAGCGCAGTTTAGACCGTGCATACATGGCACTACCTAGTAGTTTTTCTCGACCTTTGATACATCGATCCACCGGCTCATACGAGTTCCCGGCTTCTACGGGAGCATATTTGCATCCCACCGATGAAGCACATTCAAGAGAAAAGGAAATCACAAGCCTCAACTCTAATCAAAGCAGCAATCTATTAGACGCTCAGTCATATTCTCGGAAGGACAGAATACACATCGTTCCCGTATCTCATAATCCTCCACGGGGCATCTTGTAGCTCAGAACATGCCCATTTATGAGAGTAACTACTCTAACTCTCTCTTTGCAAATCCCAGTGCGTCAGGACAGGGCACAAAAATATCAAGGGTGCATATTAAAAAGGGGGGAGAAAAAAAAGGTCCAAAAAGAATAAATCGTCAGCCAATACCCTCCAAACCCAAGACTCCGAGAAATTTACGACGCACCCCGGACTTGCGCAACGCAAGCCAAGGTTTTGAATCATTGCTGTCAGTCTATCCCGGCCTGAACCTGAACCTGAATGATCACTCCCACGCATTCATTGCTGGACGTAGGGTACATAGGCATCATTAAACGTCCAGCCGTAGCATCGTGTTATGTATCGTTTAGCAGCCGCATGGTCCGTTGACATTAGTGTTGGAATTCTCTGGTGCGAGGCTGACACCAGGTCGCTGGCCAGGCCGCGCGTGTCTAGGTCCGGCTTGGTCCAAGGGAAGCTTCTTTGCAATGGCGGTGAAAAGTTCGCGCACGTTCTCAGCAGTCTTGGCAGACGTCTCGAAGAAGAGAAGGCCGGCCTCTCGGGCGTAGGCCTCGGCATCTGCAGTTGGGATGGCTCGCTTATCGGGCTGTTCGTTGACCAAATCAAGTTTGTTTCCAGCAAGCGCAATGATAATGTTCTCATTTGCTTGGCGCTGCAGTTCTTTTACCCACGCCTTCGCTTTATCTAGTGATGCCTGTAATCCAGGAGTTAGTACGAAGCCAAACCAACACTGCCCATCTCCGGGATCATTTTTCAACGTACAGATTGCGTGATATCATATACAACAACGGCACAGTTGGCATTTCGGTAGTACATGGGGGCAAGCGACTTGTATCGCTCCTGGCCGGCCGTATCCCAAATCTCAAACTTGACCGTCGTGTTCTCATCGAGGGAGATGGTCTGAGTAAGGAAAGCCGCTCCAATGGTGGATTCTCTGAAGGAGTCGAATTGATCCTGACAAGCAAATTAGCGATACTGGCCCAAGGGCTTCAAGGCATCGGGTGCGTAGCATACCTTAACAAAACGAAGGACTATTGAACTCTGCACCAATACATTAGCTTCTCCGTGCTCGGCGCCGCAAGTCAAATGTGGCAAAAGTTACCTTTCCAACAGCAGACTCGCCTGTCGCAAAAGTTACGTTAGCACACTTGTGTATTGTCTTGTTCGATTGATTGTTTGGCAAACGCACCCAAAAGGACGAGCTTAAACTGCGCAAAGCGGGTGTTGAGGCCGGGTCGGCCAGCAGGCGGTGCTCGAGCGGCCATTGTGAGGATTTGTTGATGCTTGCAGCGCTATGCCGAGATATGAAGAGGCGGGCGTCGGGCGGGGGGGAAGGACCGCCGATAGTGTCGAGTGCTGTAGAATCTGCTCGAGCGCCAGACAAAGGTCAGTCGAGATATCGCAGGTGGTGGCGATAATGGTCGTTGATGAGAGACGAGATGCGCAGTCGATGGATGGTATGAGGCAGCGGAAAAGAGTTGAATGACCGTTGAGAATGGAGTGGCTGCGGCGAACAGATACGAGTACGGGCGAGGTACACGTCAGGCTAGGTCAGATGGCACATGGCTGCCTCTGCATTATGTAAGCCAAGGCCTGGAAAAATCTTGGCTCCCGTCAAACACAGTCCGCTGTTATGCCTATTTTAGCCTGATGCTGCTGCTGGCCATATTCCTGCAGGCGCTGGCTTCATGTTCGTTTGGCTGAAGGGAGAATGTTGCTCCTCTATAGCACGAGTTTGTTGTTATCAAGGTATTCTTTTAATACAAAATTGAAATATGCGGGAAAAAAAAAATTCTTAATTCATTAGATCCATCTATATGTACAAATTTGCCTTATATATACGTGCTTCCCAGCTCTGATATCAGATCACCGTGAAGATGCTATTAGAATCTCGCCCGCCCCGTCTTTTCATGTTATGTTATGAAGCCTCACCAACTCCAAACCCAGAGAATAAATACTGCCCACGCCAAAATCATGACCATGAAGAAACCCAAAACCATTGTATAAAAGCTCGGCGCGCAGAGAATTCCGAAATAAATCGATTGCGGCCGGAAGGAAGAAATGCACAACTTTGATACACAAAAGAAATCACCGCCTCCAGAAGTGCCAGGATAGAACTTATTATGGAAGCTGTGCTAAGAGCTGCAGCTGCCGCTCCTGCTCCAATCGTGCATTCTCTGCTGCTATCCGTGCATTCTCCGCGTCCTGGATGATTTGCTGCTGCTCGTTCTCGGAGAAGTGACCCCAGTTTGCAATATTCTCGTCCCACTTGCGAATGCACTCGGGCTCCCAGTTGCAATCTTCGACCTGGCCGTAGGCAGGGTGCTTGAATCGAGGATGGCGGCTGGGCCAGTTGGACGCGTGGAAGTGGTGTTTGACAAGAGCATTGCGAGCGTTATGGTTGCCGGAATCGGAGTGGCCTTGTCCAGCGCAAAAGGCTTCGACGGTGAGGACGAGGACACCGCCGACGAGCTTGGACTCGTCCATGTTATGGAACATGTCCCAGGTGACTTTGGGCCCCTTGGTTTTGTGGTTCATCTCCTCAAGCATGGCGGTGGTAAATGCAGAGGGGCCAGTGCCACTGATGACTTGGTCAAAGTCGAGTTGCACTTCGCCCAGGGTCACGCCCTGCTCTCTGGCAACGGCCTTGAACCACTTCATAATGTTTTCGATTAATCGCATCATGACAGGCTGCTCGGGGCGTGCAATAAATGTCCATTGGCAAAAGGACATGGACTTCTTTCCCAAGATGGGATGATCTTTAAATTCGGGCTGATCAATCTCAATGCCGATAATCAGGTCAATATCCTTTTCGTCGTAGCGATCTGGGATAAAGCGATGAAAGGGTTTCATAGTTTCGACGTCAATGTCGGCGTAAATGCCGCCTTCAGCATACATGACCATGTATCGGAGAAGGTCGGCCTTGATAATAGGAAGGTTGATGCTTTTGTAGAACTTGACAATGTCTGGGCGGTTGTAGCCGTTGGGACCATACCGGTCCTCGATGTATGCCATTTCGTTAGCATCAGTGATGACCTCGTATCTCATGCCCGGATTCTTCTGGGTCCATGTCTGCGCCGTCAAAAGGTCACGCTCTTCGAAATTGAGAGGATCAACTTTCCACGTTTGCCAAATCTTTTGCGGAAATGTGCTGCCAGGCACAGCAGGCACTTTTGGTTGGCGGCGAAGGACGGCGGTAGGGCTGGGTATGGCCAAGATCCAATCGAAGTTGACAATGAGGAGGAAGACGCCGACAACGGTGAGGTAGAGAGGTAGACATCTCCTCATCTGTGTAGGCACCTTGTTGCGGAAGGGGCTGGCTGAGGACATAAGCCTCGGTGACCCTAGAGGAGAGTTCATGTTGCCTGACTGCCTCCTTGTGTTTCTCTCTTCTCGAAATGTAAAAGGAAACGCTATGACAGCAAATATAGATTTGAGTGGCACGGTTGCCTTAGAGAGTGGGTATCATAATACGCACAACCGCCACGAGTAAAAAACAAAAGGGGAAAGAAATGGCTTGAGAGGCTTGCTATCTGATGGCAGCAAAGCCAGATGACTGAGGAATTTGAAGAGCAGTCTGTAGCGCCTCGGCCACGTAATAGACCACTGGCTGTTAGGAAACACTTTTTGTACTGGGAGAATGTAGTAAACTTTATCTACACTCGTACTCGTAGATCCTGTCGTTTGTCCTGGCGGTCAAGTATACCAGCGAAAGACACTCGACGATATCAGCGAAACCGGGGGGGAGAGAGATGAAAAAGAAGAGCCGCCGCTCCTGGCCCATGCGCGTATTATACTCTGGCCACATCTAAAAGAGCTCTCCAGGCCGTCCAAGGGCGCAATTACAGCAAATTCGTCACTTGGATCTCCCGCCTGCCTCCAAACCAGGACATGGAGTGAGGTACGGGCCATGTACGAGTACAATCGGCCGATGCCACTGGCTGGGTCTAAGCAGCAGGGGTGGGCTGCGCACTAAGTCGGTTTGGCTGGATCCCAGGATCCATGCAGGTGCAGAACTTGGCTTTGGCTGGCGGATCCCTGCAAGTCGGCCAGGGGACCTCTTGATTACGTTTGGAGCCACAGTATACGACGAATTGCTGCGATATTAGAGCCGGGCACAGCTTCCAAAAGCGTCCTACGGCAGCGGCAGACACGGACAGTGAGAATTGCAGGGTACATGTTGAAGAGCCAACTTGGGGAACATGGGGAAAACTACGGTACTGTACAAGCAGTATACTGTAAGAGAGCAAAGACCATTCAAGTGGAGAGAGAGAGGTTATAGTGAGTCCAAAGGTACCTGCAATGTCCGCAGGACGGTCATGTCCGTGGACATCGGCGTAATATCACGGACTTTTTTTTTTTTTTTACTACCTCTTGTCTACCATAATGTCTCATGTAACCATTAATAGCACAAAGTATTTCATCATGTTACCACCTAGTATGGCAACCCGATAAGCAGCCTTTCCTTTGGGCAAAGTAAACGGAAGCCTCAAATTCCCAACGAACGAAGCTCGCTCTTTAATTTGGCCTTTTCTCTCCCGTATGAGCTTAATTTAGTACTGGAAAGAAAAAAAAAAAAAAAAAAAAAAAAAGGTACCCAAACAGGTTTCCATCTCTGGCCGGTACCGGTACAAGTCGTAGAACAACGGCGAGGCCCGCAGAGGCGCCACTACAGAAGAACTTCTACCTTACTACTAAGTGCTACGGTACTAGCTGAGATGGCGCGCGGGTATGGCCCGACACCGACTTCTGGGCGTTGCAACTCTACAGTAAGAAGGTACTGCGACTTCGAAGTTATGTGACGCTACTATTAACTACCTAGGTACCTTAGGTATCTTGCTGTTTTGTATGCCCTGGATGATAATAAGCAATAAGCACAGTGGCCAGTGGTCTGTGATATGAAAAATACATGTAACGCCCGAAATCCTTGCATTCTGTTATCGGGCCTGCCCACGGTCATGCTGAGATACTCTCAGACTTTGTTGAGTGGCTGGCGCAAGAAACGCCTCCCAAGCTGGAATGTTGCCTCCTTTCTCGTTACACCAGGCCAATGACGAAAATTAGAGCTGAATCTGCACCTTAGTTGGTTGGTGGTGTGTCTGAGGCGCCCAATCAAGCCCATCACACCACATGAGATGCACAACTCCCGTCTTGTCAAGTCCAAGAGAGCCAACGAAGGAAAGAAGATTCCCTGATCCCTGCACTAGACAGTTTTGTGTGTGTGAGGGGTATCCCATCCCCCCATGCAGAATGCAAGCCACCGAGCAGGGGGAGCCCCTGTGAGAAGACACTTCCGCTGAAAGGCCCCCCCCACATCCACGTCCTGGGCTGCAAGAAGAATCCCAATTTTCAATGGAGCCCGAGGCCGGCAACAGCAGATCCCAATGTGCGGAATACTGGCGCTGATGGCCGTTCCTTGTGGCGTCTTACGGCGCTTGGTGAGCGGAGACCAAAGTGGTGGTGTGGGTTATGTACTACTCTACTTTTCGGCTGTTTCTCATCCAACTTACACGGCCACGCCAGCATAAACCACCAATTTCCATGTGAAAGTTTGGAAATCCTCCCGCAAAGCAAGGCAAGATTGCTCATCGCCGGCTCTGTCGCATTCCGGAATACCGATTATCGAGCTCGATTTGCCCCCTACCCATGCGTCATCGCCTTGCCCTGCCCCCCCAGCTGCTGTCAAGGTAACCCTCCCCTCCACCGCCGGCTGGGGATTCTGGATCGTGCTCGGCATCACGAAGCGCTGGTCCTTGGAAAATCTCTCGATAATCTTTCGGGACATGTCGTCAGCTCGCAACTGCGCCTCTAAGCACATCCCAGACCAGACTCAGCTAGTCCATCTATAGCTTCGGGACCCCGCGTGCTATCGTCGCCTCCGCATGATTCTGACCTCGGGACGAGCCTTTCATCATCTGCATCTTCTCCCATTTTTCGGCTTGTGAAAGCTGGGGAAGCAGCTGTGCGGTGGGACTCCCGTGTCGTGTCATCATTCTGAGACCAGATTAACGAGTACGAAGTCAGTCCGTGACCCTCGGACTCTGGGGTTACGGGGTAGATCGATCATCGAATCGAATCGAACGAATCTGGGGAAACGTGGTGGCCTAGTCTCCCGTGTGAGGCTCTCACGACTGAAGTTGCAGCGAATTGTCTCTTCTCTCACTCTCTCTGCCCCCTTTCCCTTTTCTTACTGGCGGGACACACTATTCATTGCTACGCCAGTATGCACGAAGAAACCATTCTCAACACCAGCAAAGACTGGGAAGAGATCAAACCTGATTATGATCCGGAATCGGTGAAGGAGTCAAAGGGATATACCATCTGGAAGGCGCCCAGTTATATTCCCAAGCACAAACGGGCTCTTAGCCGCTTTATCAATTTCATCCAGCGGATACCAGAGGGCTTTACGATAGCCGAGAATCTGCGCCCGACAGCCTATCTAGATGGTCTTCGCGGCTTTGCAGCCTTCATTGTGTACTGGCATCACCACGAGCTATGGGTTCATGGCTGGACAAACCAAAACTCCATCCTAGACAATGGGTTCGGTTACGACAGCAAATACTACATGGCTGCGTTCCCTTTCATTCGAAACTTCTTCACTGGCGGACACTTTGCCGTATCAACCTTCTTCATCATCTCCGGCTATGTTCTATCTTTGAAGCCGCTGAGCCTCATGCAGGCCGGTGAAGTTACAAAGCTGGGCGACAATCTTGCATCAGCCTTCTTCAGACGGGCGCCGCGACTCTACTTGCCAATAATCGCCGTCATCCTTGTATATATAACGTCGTGGCACATGTTTGGCTTGTGGGTGGATGGTAAAACAAAGGCAGGAAGCTGGACTGATGAAGTCTGGTCCTTTTACCTTGAGTTTAAGAACTTCACCTTTGTCTTCAAAGAAGGAGGCGTCCCCTGGCTCAGCTACAACGGCCACCTGTGGTCTATCCCGGTCGAATTCAGAGGCTCCATGGTAATCTACGCATCGCAGCTGGCCTTGTCCCGATGTTCCAAAAATGCCCGGCTGTGGTGCGAGGTGGCCTTGATATACTACTTCATGTTCGTCGCAGACGGCGCTCACTTCGCCATGTTCTGCACAGGCATGTTGCTCTGCGATCTGGACCTCTTGGCGAAGAAGGATGACCTTCCGCTGTTTCTGTATCGCCTCGAGCCCTACAAGGACTTCATCTGGTACCACCTTCTCGTCTTCAGCCTCTTCCTGGGCGGCATCCCTGGCGAGAATTCGGACGTCGAGAACCTGCGGAAGAGCCGTGGCTGGTACTACTTGGGCTGGTTCAAGCCCCAGGCAGTTTTCGACTACAAGTGGTTCTATCTCTGGATAGCGGCCTCCTTCCTGGTCGCGGCCATCCCGCGCATCACCTGGCTGAAGAGATTCTTCGAGACTCGCTTCTGCCAGTACCTGGGCCGCATTTCTTTTGCACTGTACATGGTCCACGGCCCAGTGCTGACGATTCTGGGCGACCGACTCTACGCTGCCGCCGGCTGGAAGACGGATGAGCACCTGCGGCACATTCCACATTGGGTGGACAAGCTCTACCTCCCAAAGTCCGGCCCGCTGGGGCTAGAAGTTTCGTTCCTAGTGCCGAACTTGATATTGCTGCCCCTGACTCTGGCGCTGGCGGATGCGGTCACCAGATGGGTGGACACGCCGAGCGTGACTTTTGCGTCCTGGCTGTACCGCAAGACGCTGGGCTGCGGCACAGAACCGCTGCTGCTCGGGAAGCAGGCCAAGGCGTGACTGTGATTGGCCCCCTGTGGCTTAAAATTATATGTTACGAGCGAGCGATTTAATATTTTGGTATTTAGAAAAAAAAAAAAATGTCCGACGACTAATACTATTTTTTCTTTTTTTTTTTTTTGGCCGAAGGATTTTTGACAGGTTGCGGGCAATTTCCCGTTCCTGCAGAAGGGCAATATGGGTTCGGGATATTATGTTAAAATACTACTGTGTTGGATGTTGGCAGATGGGCTATTGGCGCAAACGAGTACATGTACTAGGGCATTTACGACTCTTAGGTCCGGCATATTTAAGTGTAAGGGGCTGCGGGCACAACAAGCATGGGTAATGTCATTAACGGTTTTTTTCTTCTTTCACTTTTTAAATTAAGTACCATGGCCTAATTTTCCGGCTCACTCAAGCAAAGGCAAAAAAACTTCATTCTTTCTCTAAGCGACTTCTGCGTTCTTGCCTCTCTTGGCTAGTCGTCTCTTATTCTGGAGCAGTCGTCTCCTGAAGATTGTAGGCCACCAGGCTTGTCGAGTATAGTACCTATAGTAGGCTGTAGTACTAGTATAGGTATACTTACAGTAGTCCATCAGAGGCGTCGGGCTACTCCGTGCAATATCTTCATCGCACGTTTGGCTGCGGATGTGGCTGAACATCGGCCTAGTAATCGCCTACTTGGGCAGGGCACCAACCAACGATCTCGTCTATCTGCGTGGCCCATTGGCTAGAATCCGCGGACAATCCTCTGCCAAGCAGATGCAAATGCCTCGGCTGAGCAGCGCATGTGCCACACACTTGATAGCACTGATGGAGTGTATCAAATTCAACATATCAACTCTGCAACAACCACAACAAAAAGACAGCAAACAGAAATCAAGATTTTCCCTTGCACCCACACAGTCCTCGTCATCATAGTGTCATGCCGCGCTTCTGTCTCTCCTTTTCGCCTTTTCCTCTCTGCCATCTGGGGCACGCGGCGATATACCACAAAGAAGAACGCGGCCAAATGCCCAGAAGCAGTCTAAGCGTCTGTCCCCATCCCCGCTGCGACTTTGCTTGATTCCGGCAGTGCGCAATGCCGATCGCTGATCTGCGCCAGCACGTTCTGTGCTAGTCTAGCACGGCTGCCAGAAAGGCTGCCCTGTGCTGCCCGCTAGGCCCGAATCTGCTGTCTTCACTTTTCCTTCTCTGTCTCTTTGGCTCGGCTGAATTCCCCCCTGGCCTCTTAGTGGAGGCCGCTAGGGTGTGGAGGTGGGACATGGGCTGAAGATTATGGGGAGAAGTGCAGGGACATGTACTGGTACAAGTGCTTCGTACATCAACTTGGAGTCTTGGGGTTTTTGGGGTTTGGGGGGCCAAGCACTGAAATCACATTCTTTTCCCTCGGCTTCCGCTTTTGCATATGACAATCGCTCTGCTTCTGGCTTCTAGCTGCTATCCTCTTCTTCCCAGGTTTCCAACGCACCATTGATGCCCACCAGCTTTGCTTATGTCCTCTACTTGTCTCGTCTGACCAAAGCGTCTCAGCAACTGTAGTAGATAGATTATTACCGCATCACATCACATCCCAGCCATTGCAATGTCCGTATTCCATTGGTAGCCGCACACCTCCAAGGTTACATTTTCCATCAAGCTGCCATCTTAACGTGCCGGGTTCCCTGGTACGTTCCAATCCGTGGCGAGAGCCGTCTCCACTGGAGTCTGCAAGACTGTACATCCTCATTAAGCTGGTTCACTAAGAGGATTTGCCTAGCAGTAGTGGCAATGTACGAAGTATACATGGCGGATAAGGAAGAATTCGGCGATTCAGTACTATGTACGTCTGCGTAGCAGCCTCTTACATCATCTGCCCTTGCAATTCGCTATAGCCAGTGCTGTGAGGCTCCATCCTGCTGCTGCTACTCACACCTGCGCAGCTGAATTAGCGGTTGGACCGTATTCACCGAGCCACATAGGCTTACAGTCGCTGTCATTATCATCGCCTGCCTCTCGTCCTCTCACCGCCGCATCTCGGATCCTCATCGGCGGTCATTGAACCCTGCTGCTGCAAATTTTTCTCCAGATACAATCTCCATCCAAGCCTGAGCGTCTAGTCGCTTCTCCGCCATCGACACCGTCATATCGCCGCGCTTAAGCGACTCCAGAGTCCCAATTTCGCGGTGGAGCCGTAACTCACCAGCCTGGCTCATTTGGCCCGCCTGGGCTGTTCTGACTTTCTCTTTGTATCACCTCTCATCTCGATGGTACCGCATCTGGGAATCAGGCTGTGGTCCCGTCGATCCAAGTGCACGTACTCAGCCTCGCATTAAGCGTCTGTCTAAAGCACCATCTTGCACAATTCTGCTTCTTGAATGCTACAACAACACACACTCCTCACGTACCTAGTACCAAACATTATTTTATCAAAGGTGCCTATTTTTTATTTTATTTCTTTTTTTTTTTTTTAGTATAGAGCATTCAGAATCACCAGTTATTCCCCTTCTCGTCTCCAAACCTGGTTATAAGCCCCCCACGCGCACAAGCGACCGGGCCGCTTCAAATTGGAGTCTCCTTTTTCTCGACTCCTACTAGGCTTGGCTTAGTAGCTCTGCTGCCGTGTTCCGGCAGACGTACATACGGATACCAACATCTCCTTCCGTCGCCAAGAGAGGAAACCCATTTTCAACGCCAAGTGAGGAAGCTTTCCCCTGTCAGAGAGGACGAAGACGTCTCGTCACGTCCTGGAACAGCACCTCGCGTCACACGATCCATATTTACAGGCCAGCAGTTGTTGGCTACCAGCGGCCTGACAATGTTTGTGAGAGACATTAGGCGCCTATTACTATTTGTAGTGCCTATCCTCATCCTCCTCTGCACCATCATCAGTTTTTATAGGCAGTCACCAGCTTTATCTAGAGTGAATCAATGGATCCAGCCCGCCGTCGACAAAACGGACTCTAATCAGGGCAAAGAAAATGCCGGTCTAACTCATGGAGAAGAAGCAGAAGTGCCGATAAGTTTTGGAAAGCCCGAGACTGGGGGAAATGCTTCGCCGTCGTATCCTACAGGAAACAAGTCTGCTCCGCTTGATATTCAGACCTCTCACCAGGAGATCTTCTCAACCTCAACCTCGGATAAGAAGTACTTTTCCATCGACTTTGTGGGCAAGCACAATGGCATGAATCCCAACATCATCCCTCACCCAACTCTGGAAAACACGTGGATCGTGGCAGCTCAGATGGTACGAGGCGAGGATGAGCAAACCGTCCACTTCACAGAACTTGTTTGCAACGCTGTTTTTCAAGGTAACGTCTTACGATGCCTTCAGTCTCCAAATATCCTCCCTGTTGTGCCCACAAAGGGCGGCAAATGTGAAGGTGATCTCGCGTACTTCAACTTCAACGTCGGTCCTCACGACGCCCGTGTTGTGTACGGCCCAGATACGCCGTACATCATTTACGGCTCGAATTCCCAGTTCACGTGCTTCGGCCAGTTCATTCAAGACTTCCGCGAACTTATTGACTGGAGAGGCCGGGAAGCCGGTTCTGATAGATTTCTTGTGGGGACAGAGATGCAGCGCCCGCTGCCTTGGAATGCCATCGAGAAGAACTGGTTCCCTTTCTGGGACCCCTTTGGTCAGATGTATATTCACTACGACGTCTCGCCTAAACGGGCCTTTGCTCAAATCAACGCCGATGGCTCGGTCGGCCTCGATCTATCAATTCTAACCGAGGCGGACGATGCTAAATGCATTGCAAAATACTTTCCCCCGATCCTCAACTCTCTCGAGTCAATCCATCAGGCGTCCAACTCGCTTAAAATCACCATGTGCAAACGGACAGATGCCATCTGCATTGCTAATGAAAGTAACACCTTCATTTTCACCATATGGCAGCACAAGACCTTTTACAACTTCCACGGAGTTTATGAGCCGTATATTATGCTCTTCCAGGAGCAGGCACCTTTCGCAATGCACGCCGTGTCGAAGAAGCCGCTTTGGATCCACGGTCGCAAGCAGCAGCTTGACCGAGACACCTCAGACATGTTTTATGTTACATCAATCGCTTGGAAGCGTCCCGGCGTTACGTATCACGGATATCTGGACGATGAGCTCTTCATTGGATTTGGCATTGAAGACAGGGAGTCAGGGGCCATTGATGTTACGGCCGAGGAGTTAATGTCGGGACTTGGGCTTTGCGCAGAGGCATAAGAGGCACAGTATACCCGTTAAAGTGCCTTTTCGATGTCACTGTTTCTTATATCCTTACTCTTTTACCCATTTTCAATTTTTTTTGTAAAGCCAATTTTTTCTTACTTTTGGTGTACTACTCCGTACCTAGTACTATATCAGCTACCTAGGGAGAGTTTACGAAGAGACGAATGAAACTTAATGTTAATCGTAACCAATTCGAAACGCAAGCACCCGACACCCGATGAATGCTAATTTGATACCCGAGACGCTGTACGGGGTACGAGGCTCCTTTAAAAGAAAAAGAAAAAACTCAATTCCGTTATACGGGAAAGGGAGAGGCAATAAGCTTTTTATCTTGCCCTTTTCCCTGTTCCTTGATATTGCGTTGCCCCTCCAAGGCTGTAAGATAAGGGGGAACTGCGCCACAATTCCATAACCCCTTTAGCTCCCCGTGGCTTAGCAGTGACGTTTTGCTGGCCACTTGGTGAGGCGGTGCAATTCTAATATCCTTAGAGTTCTGCTGGCATTACAGCAACGCCGCATCTCCCCCATTCTTCATGTGATTGATCCAGAACTGGGACGGAAACAGCTGGGCCATTCATAACACAGCAGAGAGAGCTGGCAAACTCTGGAAATCAAAGACTCTAGAGAGCTGTGCGGATACAACCAACGGCGCCGAGCCCGTATTCCAACCAGCTGTTCAGAGCAATGGCGCACCTAGCGGCAGCTAAGCTGCCCTATCGCGATATTAACCTCAAGGTCACCAGCGATGCCTACACGTTTACATCGCCTTCGTCGCCCGATGCGCCGTCCCTGGTGATTGACCGGCCGATGGGGGATATCCGCCTAGTCCAGGGCGGGTTCAATTCAACGAAGCGAGCGACGCGCGTATCCAGCATCTCCGGTATTCTTGGCATCATCCAGCTACCACTAGGTCAGTTTCTCCAGGGCTTCGGGCTCATAGACCACGCTTTGATTCATACTGAACGAGCTCTAATAATGATACAATTGCAGACAAGTATGTCATCATCATCAGCAAAGCCCAGCCCATGGGCAGGCTTAAGGGGCAGATGATCTATAAGGTCATTTCGACCGAGATTCTCCCCATGCGCGAGCGACAGATCCACGATCCGGACGAAGATACCTTTATCAACCTCCTCAAGACATTCTTAGCTCAGGCGCCGCTGTACTTTTCCTACTCGACCGATCTGACCAACTCTATCCAGCGTCAGTCCCATGCCGACACCTCCCGACCCCTATGGCTGAGGACGGATGACCGCTTCTTCTACAACAAGCATCTGCAGTCAGAGCTGATAAGGTTCCGGACCGCCGGCTCACGCAGCCAGCCTGGCCCGCAGCCTGCTACCGATCCCTACATTCTACCTTGCATCTTTGGTATGCTCGAGATCAAGCAGACCAAGTTCAAGAGCACGCCCCTGACCATCATTTTGATCTCCCGACGCTCGCGATACCGTGGTGGAACTCGATTCTTTACTCGTGGCGTGGATGAAGAGGGCCATGTCGCCAACTACAATGAGACGGAGCAGATTGTCATTCTCAACGACAGCAGTTCCGGGCTGGGAGGATTCGCAGGTAGTAGCGATATGCAGAGCGGCAAGTTTGGCACTTCGGCAGGCCAGGAGGTTCAGATTCTGTCCTACGTCCAGACTCGTGGCAGCGTGCCGACTTTCTGGTCCGAGATTAACAACTTGAAATACACGCCAAAAATTCAAGTGCGAAGTACCGATTCCGCTGTTGCCGCTGCAGCGAAGCATTTTGATGAGCAGATCCGCATCTACGGAGACAACTACCTCATCAACTTGGTCAACCACAAGGGACGAGAGCAAAAGGTTAAGGAGTCTTACGAGCAGATGGCGAAGGCTCTAGTGTCTATGCCCAAAGAGCGGCGAGAAGCGGACCGCCTCACTGACGAGAAGTTTACGACCATCCAGCCAGGCTCGAGCCGCCAACAGTTTGATCGCCTTCACTACGTTTACTTCGACTACCATAGTGAGACAAAGGGTATGCAGATGCACAAGGCCTATGCTATAGTCGACAGGCTTCGTGAAGCTGTTGATACGCAAGGGTACTTCCGCGGCGTCGACATGCCGGGAAACAACGACGGCAGAATCGAAGCCCGCAGCCTGCAGACCAGCGTCATGCGCACAAATTGTATGGACTGCCTTGATCGTACCAACGTCGTCCAGAGCATATTCGCTCGCCACATGCTGGACCGCATGCTGGTAGATGTCGGTCTGCTCGCACAAGGGTCGACCTTCCGCAATGAGGACCCCGAATTCGAGGTTCTCTTCCGCAATATTTGGGCCGACAACGCCGACGTTGTGTCCACGGCCTACTCTGGAACCGGTGCCATGAAGACGGACGTCACCAGGACCGGCAAGCGCACCAAAATGGGAGCTCTGCAAGACGGTCGTATTGGTGTCACCAGATATTGTCTCAACAACTTCCTCGACGGTCCTCGTCAGGATGCCTATGATCTCTTCCTTGGTGTATATCAACCTGGAGAAGCCAATGCTGGTACCAACCTCATCTTTGGCGACAGGAGGCCGGTTCTGATCCAGGCTATTCCTTACATCCTTGCCTTCAGCGCATTCATCGTTCTCGTGGGCATCTTCACCCCGCGACCTCCCAACTCGAGCGTTCTCCCCATGCGTCTCTTTATTCTTTTCTGGTCCGGCGTGGCAGCTTGGTGTTTCCACTTTGTCTGGACGCACGGCATGCTCTATGTATGTGACGATTCTTCTCGCTCTTTTGGAATAAAAACTAACACGTCTTTTGCAGGTAAACTGGCCTCGTCTGAACCCCCTACCTTATGCTGTTGATGGCTACGCCGACAACTTCTCCAAGGCCAGAAAAGACAAGGTCATTGGATCGTTCGTTGCCAGACATGAACGAGGATTAAGTACTGCCCGATTCATCAACGCAGAAGAGGGTAAAAAGAGGATTGAGTAGATTATGCCTCCTGCACCTTGGAGATGTGATCTTATGGTTTCTGCTTCCTTTCATTCCTATCCTTCTCCTCCCCTTCTAATTTCAATTTTCCCTTCGTCGCTGTTAGACTTTGCTTGCAGACGCAGCGTTATTCATGTAATCCTCCTTTTCCTTGTCTTCTTTCTTCTAGGCAAATTTCCCAGTCAACAGGCGAGAAAGGCCCCTTCCCCTTCATCTTTTCAACTTCTCCATTTGTCATTACTATTAAATTTTCCGCTTTTCCAAATTCGGGAGTCGTAGTCCCTATTGATTGTGCTGCATTTAATTTTGAAGAAGAAAAAAAGAAAGAGTCTACAGTTCACTTAAATAGACAGAGAATTTTCTTTTTCTTTTTTGTTTTTTTTCTTTGTCAGCCGAAAAGATTAAAAAAGTTTGCATTGGAAGAGGATCTACAAAATATTTTAGAAAGATGTAGTCAATATATTTGCGTAATTGATTGTAATTTAAAGCTTGAAACACGTGAACGGAAATTAATTAATTTGTTTCTTTTTTTAAAAAAAAATATTATATAGTAAAAACAAAGCAAAGAAAAATATATATAAAAGTTATCAACTGGAAATTTTTTGCTACCTCACTCCATAGCTATGCACCGAGTTATCCCTCTCGTGTTCAACCCATTACACAGAAAAATGATGAAATTTCAAACCGTACCAAGAATTTGAACTGAATTGGATTTGAAGGGGTATCAGACAGAAAAGAAAGTAGAAACAAAAAAAAAAGTTGGAGCTACAGCAGCTACATGGTTGCTGAATTTCCGTAATGTTAAAAACTGTTATGGAGCATGATGTCGATGAATTTCTTTCTGGTTTTTTTTTTCATCCAAGGCTCTTTTTGTTTTAAAAGTATTGTTTCTTCTCCCTTATTTTAGTAGGGAAAAAAAATATGGAAAATCTTCCATCATAGCCACAGAAGCCACTTGACGCCCCGCAAAACACCCTTCCCAACTCCAAGGAAGATGCGCAGAATCATCACCATGAACCAGACATACCACATGAAGCCCACGAGCAGCCATTCTACAGTAAGCCAGAGGCCGCGTCGCAGCCAGCGGAACCTCCTGCGGCGCGTCCGGAGCATCTTCTCCATAGTATCGACAACATGCTTAATCTCCAGAGGCTGGCCGAGCGCCAGGTCCCGGCTAATCTCGTCTGCCTCGTCGGCAGCTTTGCGGGCCATCTCGGACAGGTCATCGGCAATATGTGTGCGGACTTCCCAGACACGCGTGCGCAGAGCGTGAACAGTCTTGTCTCTAAAGTTGTCGGCAGAGGACTGCCATCGCTGGCCCCACGACTGGATGGCTACGCCCAGGGTCTGAGCGGCGAGGGGATACATCTCGCAGAAGGGTCCTTGTTGCTCATGAAGCTGAAGTCTGACTTGGACTTGATAGGGGGTAAGCCTGGTAATATCTGTCCAAGGAACGCCGGCAAGTCCCTTCTGGGAGGTGGCTTCGTTCAAGGCGAGATTCTCCTTGCTAAAAGGCTTGTGCTTCTCATATGCGCGGCGGTGCATCTCCATAGCCATAACGCCAGAACTGAGTATCAGAGCCCGCATCCTGGCAACTTCGCGCTTCGTAAGCTTCGCCGGGCCGTGCAAGCCGCGATCCGCAATCGCCCATTGCTGGGTCAGCGATCGCCCATGCTGGTTATCCTTATCGCTTAGTGAAATTGCTGAATTCAGGCGCTTATCTGCGTCTCGAACGCCATCGGGGACATTGTGATTATATAAAGATTCGGCTTCAGAGACATCCGAGTCTCCTCCTAGCCGAGGCTTGCGTGAAACCGGGGGAGATGCAGACGATGATGCTGATGCGCTTCGAATGTTAATCTGAGGGGGCCTGAGAAGATCAAGCTCGCCGGGCCGACGACCAGAATTTGCTGAGCCATCAGCTTTGGTGAGCTTCTCTCCGCCATTGGGAAGGTGGCGATAGCTTGGCATATGACGGAATTCGGGCATCGTGTCGAGGAAATGCTTAGGCTGTGGCTGTTGCCCTTCTTGAATCTTTGTAGAGGGTTTCCGCGACAGAGTCATTGGTGTTAATCCCCGGCCCCTAACTCTATCACTGTCGGACTCGTCCGTCGTATCGAGATCTGGTGTCTCACCAGGTCCGTCTTTCTTCCGTATGATGTCTCCCAGCTTTGAAACACCGCCTCGGAGTACATTATCAAGGCGTGGCCCCTTGAACATGCCTCGCAAGCCAACGCCTTCATCAGTTCGAAGCCGTGCGCTAGCCATGGGACGTAGATTCTTGCTACTATCTGATCCAGAGACCAACTTCCCAGCAGGACTAGACTGACGCCTGCCCTTGCCCAGAGTAGACGTCGAGCCTGAGCGTGCCGGATTGGTTTCGCGTTTCGAGAGTCGGTTTTCTCCATCATCATTAACTTCGTCCAATAAAATGCCCCCGCGAGCTTCGCCATTCTTGTCGCGCATCATTTGTTTAATCTTGTTGATAGGGTTTCTAGTAGGAGATACCGATCGGCTATAGAGTGGCGAGGATTCAATACTAGCAACCGACTCCGATTTTCCATTGCGAATGGGCATAGCCTCTGGTGAGTTTGGAAGTGAGAGTCGTTTCCCTGGAGAAATGGAATGGTGATGGGCATCAACACTCAAGCGTGTCGGAGATCCTTGCTTCAGCCTGTCAAACATGGCAGCCCTGCGCTCAGAGTCGCTGATTTCCGCTAAAGAAGAGCCCCTTCTGCTATTGTACCGAGATGAACGCTGGTCATCAGCGCTCTCGTTGTGGACTAAAGCCGACTCTTCGAGTTCCCTTTCGCGGGCCTCCCTGGCCACCATTTCCATCATCTGTTTTTGGAGTAGATCGTTTGAGTTGCTAGAAATGGTTCCCTTACGAACAATCTTGGCCCTCTTCTTTGGCTCGCTGTCGCTGTCGCTACTTGAATCTTCCGAGGAGGAATCCTTCCCGTGGTGACCACCACCGCCGCTTGCATGTCGATGGTGAAAGCCTTTGATATTATGTAACTTTTGTTTGGCTCTTTCCTTGGCACTGGCATGTGATAACTCTGTGCGGACTTTCGAAAGCCCAAATTCCTTTCCTTCGGTAATGGTTTCAGTCAACTCGTTGTCTCTCGTTGTGAATGGCGAGATCTTGCTGCTAGATTCTTCCACTTCTCGGGACAATGGTCTGCTCAGATCTGAGGATATAGGTGGGAATATCTTGCGCCAATGGCGATCTTCAATAAGATATTTGTGTCCGTTTTGTTCCAGCCAGTATGCGTCGGCGATTACATCGCAAGGATCCAAAAACCAGTCCACTCTAGGCCGTCGAGGTCTGGCAGCAGCGTCCGCAGGCGAAAGTAGCATATCCTCCTCCTCGGCAGATTGATAGCGAGGAATAGAAGATCTGTCGTCAGCAAGCGGCGTCCCCGCCATTGACATTTGCCGATACACTATATCAACCCACTGCCTGACGCCGTCTACATCGCTGAAGCCCTGCCGCTTTCCATCGATGACCTTCCTTTCACGGGCCCGCACTTTGCGATTTCGAATATATTGCAAGGGGTTGTACTGCCGGCCCAGCGTTACGGCGAGCGCTTGGGAACCCGCACCAAACGGAGAATCTGGTGAGCTACCCGATGGCGGCCTCTCGAGACCCGGCTTCAGAGGAGGCAGTACGTCAAGCAGTCGTCTATACTGCGCCCAAAGCTCGAGATGTACTTTGGCTTTATGCGCTCTGGTCAGTGTCGAGGCAGAGAACTGCCACCGGTATTGCGGATCGTGGGGGACCTCAAAGGAGGATTGAAAATTTCCACTGCCTCTCGATCCAGGAACAAGGGCTCCAGACGATGGCTCTTGGGGCAGACTGGGGGATTCTGTTCGTGAAAACTTGCGCTGCTGCTGAAGATGTTGTCTGATGTTGTTCGAAGAGCTCCCGTCCGGGAGAGGAGCGAGTCGCGGAGGAGCGGCCGTTCTATGACCGGTTCGTCGGGAGGCAAGGCGCCGAGATTCGCTCAGGCTGAGCGCCATATGCACAATCTGGGAGGAATCTAAATCGGCTACAGGATGCGGCTCTTGGTGGTGCGAGTCCGCGAACATCTTGCCCTCGGCCGAATGCCCAGTACTCGGAGGCGAGTTGGCAGGCTCTCCAGATCGCCGGATAGGCGCAGAGCTCTGTCGCATGCCCCGTTCGGGGCCTGGACTGGCCTGGAAAGGAGCAGCAGCAGCATCACGTCCACCGCCTAGCTGCAGCTGTGGTGCTGGAGGCGCAGGTGCATGAGAGTGAGCGGCCCGCTGTCGACGAGACCCCAGCAGCCGTCCTCCTCCAAAGGCGTCATGCAGCAGAAACCCGCCGCCCAGCCGGCCCTTGTGCTTCTTCTGCGCTCGCTCCTCCCGGTGAGCGTGTCCGTCCGCATGCGTTGAGACTTCGGTGTGGCTGGAGCTCAGGCGGTCGTTGCCATCGTCATGAAACAGGTCGTCGTCGTCCCGCTGGCTGGTCGCATTGCTCGACTTGCCCATCTCGTGGCTGCTGTTCCGTCGGCGCTCTGGCGTCGCAAGGCCATCTCGTCGTCCGTCTCGGTGGTTAGCTGAGAAGTATCCTGCAGACCGGGGCGCAGGCATGTGATGATCGGCCATGGCTCTGGCACCGGCACATAGTCGCCAGCGCCGCCAGCTCTAATGCCCGTTGTTGAGTCGTCCTACTGCAGGCTCGAAAGGGTAGGACACATTATTAAGAATTACTGCAAGGATATAACGAGAGAAGAGGGAGAGGAAGAAGGAGAAAGAATTAAAAGAGCTAAAAAGAGGTGTAAAACACAAGGGAGCTTGAGAGACAAAAGGGGGGAAAGTTATAATGAGGGGTGTTGCAAGTTCCGCCGCATGTAGGGATAGGAAACGGGCGAACAGGCCGTTCTGGTGATGCGCACTTGGGACGATGCAGCAGACAAAAGCAAGGCTCGGCTGCCACTAATCGACACAGAGATTGACTGATCGCCCGTCAAGACAAAGAAAAAAAACTCTGCTAGTGACAATAGCGCCTCGCTCTTGCGCGTGTCGAGCAAAGAACGATCGCCCCAATGCGTCGATTCGCAATGGCGACAACGAGGCGCAGCGCAAGCCCAGATTTCGCTTTGGGACGCGCAACTTCGGGCAATTCCCAGTGCCAGTGGCTTTGGGGGCCCTTTGCGGCTGAAGCTCGGGTTTTGGGGCCTCCAATCTCCAATTTTGCGTGAATCAAATCAAATCAAATCAAATCTGGCGACTGCGCGGCGGGCCTGTCCCTGCTTTGGAGATGAGATCCGGTTTTCTTAGTGCCGGGCATGTCACTGACACACTTGATCGTGCATGGAGTGGTGCAAATCACACATAAAATCATGCACCAGCGCGCCATCTCGTCACGTCAGAAGCCTATTTTTTTTTTTTTTTTTTTTTTTTTTTTTTTTTTTTTTTTTTTTTTTNTTTTTTTGGCAAGCATGCATCACCAACTTTTGCAAACTCATCGAATTATTCCTGCAATATTCGTTTCATTTATTTCACTTAAATTTCTAGTAGTACTTTAATCTTTATTTCTCTATGCAACGCATATCTATCGTACAATCATTATCCGGCGAGATTTATACCAGGCACCCACTAACCTACTAATATACCCATGCATATGCACTCCGTATACTATACAGATTCTAGAAAAAGAAGATCTACAGGGCACACATCAGGCTGCCACAACTTCATCACATCGTCCACACAACCCATCCTCCTCTTCAGCAGTGTATTTCCAGCACCGGGAACACTTGTGTCCCTTTGGCGGTAGCACATGCACCACGCCTTGTACGCCATCCACTGTAAATTCCTTTGAATAGCACCAGTCGTGACTCTCAAGCGAAAGGGAGCTGTTCAACTCCACGGATGACACCACAAACATGACGTCCAGTTCGTCTAGGTACTCCGCCAAAACGGCCGCCAGTCGGTCATCATTCACAGATATGTTCACAGAGCACTGGAGCGAGCTGCCGAGGGCTTTCGATTCTCGGCCCTGCTCCAACCCCGCCTTGACTGCGTCGTGCACGGCAGACAGGATAGGCAAGTCCAGGCGTAGTTGCGCCTGATCCATCGTCAGGCGCGCGCCATCAATCACACGTGAGTTATAAAGTTGCCGTGCCGGATTTTCGAATGACCTGCGGGGGGTTAGCTTCTTGTTAGAGAAAAAAAAAAAAAGTCCTCCAGGCACCAGCGATGAGAAATCATTTGCAGACGCAACTTACAAATCTTCTGCCATCCATGTTGGCCGGTGAGACCAGGCTTCCTCCACCAGCATCGGCGTTATCGGTGACAGCATTCGCAAGAATCCGATCAAGATGGGCACCAAAACACCGCCCCCGTCACCGCAGTAGAGACGATCCTTCAGCGCCTCCAGGTAAAATGCAGAGAGGTCCGTCGCAATCCATCGGTTAATCAGTCCCGTAGCCTTGTGGAATTCGTAGTTGCCATATGCCTCCCACACTTGGGCCATAACCTCCTGAAGCTGCAAAATGGCAATCTGGTCGAGCTTTGTCAACGGTGCCTGGAGCGCGGATTGATGCAGTGACCCAAGCAGCATCTTCAAAGTCGTCCGGTACTTGATCAGTGCACTATGTATCGGTTGCAAGATGGATGCTCCCACCAGGATGTCAGACGTAAAGTCACTGCTTGCTGCCCAGAGTCGCAAGGCATCGGCGCCAAGCGCATCATACCGTGTGACATTATCGTTCCCTTTGTTCTTCAAGGGCGGCAAAAGCTTGCCTTCCATGATTTCACCAGGACCAATGGTATTCCCCAGAGACTTTGACATCTTCTTACCCTGCGCATCAAGTGTAAAGCCGTGTGTAACGAGTGTTCCAAATGGCGCAGCAATATCAGCTCCAGACTTGCCATCTGCTGTTTGAGCGGCCACAAATGTCAGCAAACTTGACTGGAACCAGCCTCGGTGCTGGTCCGAGCCTTCAAGATAGACATCCACAGGACGTCCAATCTCTGTCCAGCTGCTTCCGCTATCAAACCAGACGTCCATTGTATCAGTTCCGCGGCGATATTTTCCTTTTAGCGATGGTGCAATCCACGCCGCATCATCTGGGCTGTCTGAGAACCAAGCATCCGATGTCTTTTGCTCCATAACAGAAATTATGTGCTCGATTGATTCATCCGTCATGACCGCGTTTCCAGTCTCATCGTAAAGAGCCGGAATGGGTACTCCCCAAGACCGCTGTCTGGATATGCACCATTCACTCCGACCTTTGACAAAGCTTTCTAGACGAACCTTGCCAGACTCTGGGACAAATCGCACCTTGCTCAACGCTTGTAAGGCGTCTTCCTTGATGCTTCCAACATCTGCGAACCATTGTGCTGTAGCGCGAATAACGACAGGTTTCTTTGTGCGCCAATCGTACGGGTACTTGTGTTGAAGTTTATGAGTCCAAAGCACATCCTCTCCAACCAGGTCCAGCACAGCTTGACTTCCGCCATCAAGAATAGACGGGGCAGAAGTAAGTTTTTCAGGGTCGTCCGGGTAAGCCTCAGGAGTAAAATAGCCTTCATCCGTAATAGGTGCAAAAGCCTCAATGTCCAACGCCGAGCACACTTGGTAGTCCTCTTGTCCATGTCCAGGTGCCATGTGAACCAGACCAGTTCCCGAATCAGCAGAAACAAAATCAGCATGAACAATGGGCTGCAAGGAAGACGAAGCGCCCCTCAGCTTATTCCGATATAGTAGACCCTTTAGCTGTGAACCAGGAATCGATTTCGCAACGAGCACTGCGGAAGGTATATTCTTTTGCACTTCCTCGGCACGGCTCTCTGCGACCAAGAGTCCGTCATTCCCAACTTGCAATATCGCATATTCGAGTTCGTCGTGCACGGCGATGGCCTTATTGGCAGGAAGCGTCCAGGGGGTGGTTGTCCAGATAGCAGCATACAGTTGTCCTTTGAACTCGCTCAATCCAGGAATTGAGCTCCAATCAGACATGACGGGGAATTTAACATAGGCGGCAGTAGACACATGATCGTCGCGATACTCCAACTCTGCTTCCGCCAGAGCCGTGCGTGACGAAATTGACCAATAAACCGGCTTGTGCTTGCGATATATGAGGCCGCTGCGGACCATCTTCTGGAACACACGAAGCTGTCGGATCTCAAAGGCCCGGTCCATGGTAGTCCATTTGTTGTCCCATTCTGACGCGACTGCAAACGACTGGAATCCTTTCATCTGGTCCAGAATCGTCTTGCTTGCCAGGCGCCTCGCAGACTCCCGAATCTTAGGCGGGCTCAGTCCCTTTGTACCACTCTCGCCGAGAGCTTTCATCTCAATGGGAAGGCCATGGCAATCCCAACTCGGTCTGTACATAACGCGCCGGCCTCCTTGCACCTGTATCCTATTGATCATGTCCTTGAGAATCTTATTGATCGCATGACCGGCATGGAGCGGTCCGTTGGCGTACGGCGGGCCATCGTGAAGCACAAACGGGTTCTCTTTGGGTCTATTGTCTGTCTGCCACTTATAAAACCCATCGGTACAGTCGCGCAGGAGTTGCTGTTGGAACTTTGGATTCGGTCGAGCTCTAGTCATCAGAGGTTAGCACTATCATCTTGAAACTGCGCTGTGTAGAGCCAGCCTACGGGAAGCTTGAGCGGGGCAGCCTCAGTGTCGATTTCCATGACTTTGACATTTTCGTACCAAGACCATGCCGGATGACTGGTACGCGCTGGGCCTTGGGGCCTCCACTGGGCAGAATGCGGCGTAATTGGCGTTTTTGTCACGGCGATTCCAAGAAAATGAAGGTTTTTTTTCCTTCTAGCAGCTAATATCTCGCGACATGCCACCACACCCCGCGCCAATTGCGATCCACGGCTCCAATTGGCCGCTATGGCGGGAGCTTTACAGCGGCCTTGGACCCTGTTTTTTAGTGGACGGCGTGGGGCAGAGCCTCGATTACATCACTGGCGAATGAAGCGCGAGCGTTGACAGCTCCCTTTTCTCAACGTTCACGCTCTCACGGTAGCTGTTGTAGTATATAAAAGGCTGGGAGAAACAGAATGGCGCCCATACGCCGGTATCTGAGAATCACAAAATATTCCGTTCTTGAATGCAGGATATACTTGGACAATCCGGCACTAGCACAGTCATGGCTACTTAATCCGCGAAACCCAATTCTCCCACAGGTCATCGAAGCCATCCGGCCGCTCGTGATACCCAAGCTCCGTGAAGAGAAAGAAAGAAGTAAGAAGAAGAGCGCAAAAAAGAAGACAATTAAGGATGTCATCGTAAAGGGTATATTTCCTCTCTCTCTCTCTCTCTCTCTCTCTCTCTCGCTGTCTCTTTCAATACATTATTACTTGGAATGAGCAAAAGTAGAGATCCTAACTTGCTGGCAGACGACTTTGAGATTTCCATGTTCTTGATGGAAACAAGCACGCGACACTCTCTACTCTCAAAACACAAATTCTTCCACGATAAAGCTCCATCTGCAATACAGTCCAACGCATCCAAGCTTATAGCGGAAACAAATTCCAGTCCTATCGACGTCGATGCCAGTGATTTCGCACCAATTCGCATCGAAGAGGACAGCGACAACGAAGGCATCGCTCTCAGCGATATCCCCTCGGCCAACACCCGCCGGCAGGCAAAGCGCCAAAGGAGCAACACTATCGAAGACGATGAGGATGACGATGATGAATTCGAAGGTTCTGAAGACGGCGGCGACGACGCCGCGGTTATTGATGTCGACTCCGACAGCCGCCGACCAAAACGCCTCAGGGGCCCTGTGAAACCGCCCGCCTCAGAGTCAGAGGGGCAGTTCCACGACGACTACAAGAAGAAACTCGCAATGGACGTGTCATATGAAGGGTTCGCGATTTACGGCCGCGTGCTCTGTTTGATCGTCAAGAAGAAAGAAGCCAGGACGGCGCAGCAGAACCTTGGGGGCCAGGCCAAGATGGAGAACTGGATCACGTCAACTCAGATTCCGGTAGGCGAGGATGCTGCATGATCGAAGCGAGAGCAGAAGAGGGGGGGGGGTGTGGCTGAAAGTGAAGAAGAAGAAGAAGAAGAAGAAGAGAAAGGAAGAGTCGGCATTTGATAATGCCATTTAGTATCGTGTATACTGAATACCTGAAGCTGAAACCACTATTTGCGGACTTTGTCATAGACAGCTTCGCATATTAACACATTAACTGTTTTGCGGCGCACATCGCTACACGGCCCTTTATGGCATTGCAGAAACTGCGTTAAATCAAGCTCATGCCACACAGGCAAGTTTGAGCGCTCAAGCTGAGCAATGCTATGCAAATGCCACGAGGACGTCAAATCTACGAGGACGTCAAATCTACTAGTATCAATGCACTCGCTATCATGGCATAAAAGCTCCGGGTCAGATCAGAGACCCTGGGCAAATACTGACATCATAACGGGTCCATGGCTGCGTTTGAGAGGTCCCCTACCACATGTCGTGCTGTTTCATAACGTCCGGGTAGCCCTACTATTTTTCAAGTAATAAGAATTGATGGGTTGACATGCTCAACATGCCTCGGTTCAACCGGACAATGGATCAACAAACCATCTGTTATCGCACCCATGCTCATCTTCAAACGTTTCAAACGGGCCATCCCGCTTCCCTTGCCTCCGTATTATACCTACACCGACCTACCTGCACCTGTATATGAAATGGTGGAGAAGGAAGCTATCAAATACTGGCCCCCCCAGCTCAACAAAAAAAAATTGGCGATATGTGCGGAGGTTATACTGTTAGCAGCAAAAATCGTCCACTCTGGACCTATCGACCTGGCACGTCAGGTCAGGACAGGCTAAATTAATTCCCGCCCTGCCAAAATGTCATTCCCGTGTCTGATGTTGAAGGGGTCTCCTCTCTTTCTTCCCTCAGGTGAGAGTCTAGATCTTGGCCAGTTGTTTCCCAGGTGCTCCGTACCATAGGCTGAAAAGCGCCTTTCAGACCGGCTGGCTATTCATTGTATGTAACTCACAAGGGTATCATTTAATATACCAAGCGCCGTGATTGGCCCGTCAACGAGAGCAGCCCGGGCCGTGATTGATTAATTGCCTCGTCTCGACTCACCACGTGAGGCGAAACGACAAGGCCGCGTCGCGTCTGATTGGCCGTGCCGAGCGACGGGAGCTGCCTCTGGCCATCTAGCTTGCATAATTCTGCATATTTGCTCCGTCTTTGTTGTCGCTCTGCTGTGTGTGTTTTTGATATCTATCATTTTCATCAGTTCGAGATAACGCACAGTAGCTGAGCAAGGGTATTTCGGATCAATGGATCATGTGCGCATTTTGCTGTGTATGAGGTGGCATGTTCTCATTTCAACGAGTCATTGGTGCAGCACGTCACGTCACCGCAACTTCTTTGGGTCATATTCTCCAGTCTGTTTTCATGCGCAGGTCGCGGCAACAGGTCGCAGGCGGCTACGATGGGCGGCGGACGGCTGGTGTTGTTGAGATACGGCCGAGCGCCGCAACATCTCGGCGGCTATCGTAAGACATGCTGGGCCAAATATCCCCATGTATTGCATTTTTACCAGGTAGATTTGGCTGGCGGCAGCCTCTGCAGTGCCAGGGTAGAGGGTCGAACATGGCAGGTAGAAGGCCAAAAATGCAATTGACATGCATACAGGCGTCCATCGTACGGTTTGTTCGCGCCTGTGTAGCATCGAGCAATTAAAAAAAAAATCTACAAGGCCAAGACTTTGGGGCATGCATAGCCCCCGCAGAGGGGTTTGCAGGTGCGCGGGAAGAAAAGAGCAAATTGTCGAGCGCTGGTTTGCCGAGAATACCGCGCGAGCTATGCAATGCACAATGTGATGTACGGCATCGTTGCTCGCATGACAGAACCCCAAGATACGTGGATCTTGGGAGGTACATTGGGCGCAAGTACCGTTCCCTTTTCTGTCCAGCCTCTTTTCTCGCGTACCTTGCTGCACTCCGCACCCTCCTCCGTGTCTCGACGATGCGTTGTCAGACACGACAAGCGAGTCCATCCTCCAGACCCCTGGCCGCAGGTGTAGCTCCAGCGGGCTCTCGAGCTGAAGCTGTGCTGGCAGTCCTAGACCGTGGTGTGCGATGGTGTTCATCTCGGCCACACAGGGACCCGCGCGCCACACCCTCTTAGCGGGCTCTCCCCTCAGTTGGCAGAGGCAGAAGCTGAAGCCATCACCAAACCGAAGGCCGTGGCTGCAGGCTAATGCAGCAGCGCGGCTTCACAATCCTTCAGAGCACCAAGCAGCATACCATCAGATAGAGTTTACCGGAGGATCACTGTGCCGATGCCGAAGCGAGCAATCGTCAAAACTCATCGATGCCAAGGCTGCAGCTCCTTTGCGTTGAATCGAATGCAACGGCATCCTGAGTCTTCCTCCATCCTTTGCCAATACGAGTCAAGGCCGCACACTCTCCGTATTCGTGACTCTCACGGAAAGCTCTACGGCCCCGCTGAGTCAATGACTTACCCTGTAAAAGCGGCAGCACCGCGCTCTAAATCGCACGGCCCTTCTCCACGATCTGCCCACTTTATGGTGATTCGAATATGTATGATGACATGATCAGCTTAATTGTGTTTTGTACATGCGAGTAAAGTAGCGACGGGAGCGGATGGCTGGCTGTATCAATATAGGGCGATGCTAGTATCAACGCCGGACTTGCTTCTCCGCTCGCTGTCGTCATATCTCCCACGCCTGAGAATGAGGGGCACCACCACTACCAAAGTCAATGCGACGACGGCGCGAAACGACTCATCTCAGTTTAGGGTAGTAGTCGAATGTTATATTATCCCTTCATCCGTGGATGCTCCCGATGGACGGGACTGCCTTGTACCCCGATACTTTCAACCACCGACTTTCATTGTACATAGCAATGTATACTTGACAGAGCTCGAACCACTCACGGCTCAATCGGATCGTGTGTCGTCCACAGGTCCTCCGTACTCCGTAGCAAGAAGCAGACACGTCCAGCAATCGATATCCAGCCACGAAGGAGACGAATTAGCCGAACAATCTTGACTTTCCCAGCGGTCCGACAATCCCCGCACCGCCAAAGCATCTCTCGACCGTCACAAACGGTTGCCTGTTCATTTCAAAAATTCCAAACTACCAAAGGTGCCTGAGTGCTAGGCAAGAGACCGCGAAACTCTAAAGCCCTTTCCGTGCACAACATCACACGCTTTTCCGTTCGTTCCCCAGCGCCTTGGATCTTACCCCAACCAGCAGCGCCTGCTATTTGCTGGAAAGAGGCGAGGTGTGGCATCCCATCGCTGGCCCGGCGATCGCCAGGGGGTTCGCTTGAAAAGCCACAGCACCCCTGTCTTCCACGTGGGATTTGGTGGCTTGACGGGAAGATTCTCGTTGGTGGAGCGTTCTTGGTCACTGCGCGCCGGCTGAACAATTTGGGCAAATAGAAAAGGAACGGTTTCGAGCGCGGCATTCATTCATTCAATCGTTCTTAACTCCACCTCACAGGAGCTAGCAGTACCTATTGAGAATTCATACGACTAGCGGCGTATAGTTTTGTGCTTTTTTTTTTTGCCCGATTTTAATCAGCAATTACACGATTAAGGCGTCAAGATTCACCCAAAACTCTCGTTTCCGAGACGCTCCGGCGGCCGCGCGCGCCTTGCTGACACCGTTACAGCGACAGTAACTGTAGATCGGCTCCGTGCATTCCATCGCCGAGCGAGCCGGATTTTCGTTGAAAGGCGCTGCGTCAGCCGTTAATCAACAGGAAGAAACAGGTGACATGGCTAGAATTGAGCCGGGAGAGAAAACGGCAGGTGTGTCTCGCGTATTACAGGTACAACAAGTATGGCGTGGGAGGAGAGCAGTAATGATACTGTACTCTATGCAATGCGGGTTGTATGGGTAGTATGCGCCATGTAGGCTGGGCACTCAACAATACTATAATTATAACAACACACACGCCACAGGATACTATACAATTAGTAACAGTACTAGTAAGTTGGGTAGTGGTGGTGGTGGTGTTTGGTGATAACCCAAACGATCAATAATCAGCATGCCGGGCAGCCGCATAATGAAGGATGCGGTGACTGACCGCAGGCGAGCGGCACGGCCAGCGCATTGCATCCTCACAAGGCTCTGCTTGCCAAGAAGCCCCCATTCAGCTTTCAGCTACAGTACTTCGTATGCGCGTGGCTGTGTTTGGTACGGCAAGATGGGTTGCCGTGCGGCTGGAGACGAGGGTTCGTGAGGGAGCACCCGCCGTCGCATCGTGTGGCCGCAGCGATGTGCTGCCTTAGCGACATTGACTCGTCCCAGAGCCGTCCACCGTAGGTATGCAGGTGTGTTATTGGGCATAGTGCCGAAATCCTCCTGCAGCTGCGGGCGCGCTCAGCCGTCGCTGGCAGCTCCATGCCCTGTCGCGAGATGGATGACCCAGTAGAGCGGTTTCACCCTCAAGACAAGGCTGAGCATCATGAGGATCCCCCTGCCTGACGAGCGCCCGATGACCTGGATTGCACAATGCGAGCATCGCAGAGGGTCCCCAGAGCACAAGCTGTCTCGCAATGCCCAGCAGGGTGGTGTCTGTCTGACAGATCGAGCTGGCATCAGCAAAGTCGCAAGGACGCAAGGATCCCCGCAACCACGGCAGTGATCATCTGACGATGGACCAGGGCCGAGCTGTTAATCCTACCATGCACGGCGAGCCAGCTGACTCAGTGTAGATGGCAGTTGTGCAGTAGCTTGAGTAAATCCATGTCGCAGATGCTTCGTACCAACAATATACTTGCCGACCAGTTCATCCATTGGGGGCTAGCATGGTGAACTGCAGCGCGTCGCACCAGGTACGAGATAAGCGGGCAAGTACATGTATGTTGACGGCCTCGCCGCGTCGCCTAGCTGCCAAGCTTTTGTTGTCGAACCAACAGCACAGCCAGCCAAAGCTTAATAAAATGAAAAGGAGAAAAGGAGAAAAGGAGAGAGAGATTGGATGTCGTGCTGAACTCTCAATCGAAGGGAAATGGAACGATTCGACGGCCCGACGGCCTAAGCAAAGCATATCGCAGCAAGAGATGCTGCTGCTGCTAGTGCTAGTGCAGGTGGTGCTCGTAACAACGAGTTCAGGTACCGCGCAAAAGCAGGGCGGCATGGCAAAAAGCTTCAGCACTGGTTCGGAAAATGCGGAGGGCCGGCTCAGCGCGGTGATTGGCAGGCGCCGGTTTGCGCTAGGACGAGGCCCAGAGGGCTGGAAACCGACCCCTGGAGGGCTGGCTGGGCTGGAGCGACAGCTGGAGGAGCGAGGGCCAGGGCCTGCAGACTAGCGGTAGCCGTGTCAACGCTCGCCGTTTTGCTTGGTGGTCGACGCTGCACGCTGTCCTCTGATTTGACACATCGATTTTGATAGGGCTTGGGGCGATGCTACCCTCTGCTTACTTGGCGAGATCTGCCTCTATATACTGTTAGCAGTTTATACTAGGCTACGTGTTACTTGCAATAAACGGAAGCTTAAATGCGCGCGCCGAGCGTCTCAGGAGGTGGCAAAACACGAAGCGTGCGACGGGCGCTGGAATGTGGCTTGCTGCGCTGTGCCTGTTCCTGGCAGAATGTTGCTGGCAATTTAAAATGAGCCGTGGTTCGCGAGAGGTGATGTGTCAGAAAGGCAGAAGATAGCACTACCTGGTAGGTTGTCGAAGCACCGTGAGGGAATAGTCGCTCGGGCAGGGAGGTGAGGAAGGTTTCGAGGTACCTGCATAGGGGCGAAGGACGGGCTCACGAAGGGGAATGGAAGAAGCCACAGGTCATTAAGAGGAACGGGAAGAAAAAAAGTCAATTGCAAACGAGCAAGGAATTAGCTTTACTTGTATGTCTCCCAACAGGAAAGAGAAAAAAAAAATCACCTAGCAAAAAAAAAAAAAAAAAAAGGATTGTAGATAGCGGTGTAAAAAGTCTTTTTTACTTGTAGCCCATTTAGCCACGATTATCTGAATCTTACGGTTCGTACGGAGCTATCATCAAATCAACCTAATTTTAGTCCTCCCTCCGGCGCCAGCCCACCGGCGATTTATTGACAAATATTCCGTCTTTTACGCTGATGATTACGGTGGATTACAATTCACTGCGGTTCCCTGTATTTACAGGTATGTATGTATTTGAAATACACAAGACAATCAAACGGCAGATCGAGTGGGAGAGAAGAGAGCGTGTGACTGACTGCCTGTTTCATGTTAGCTAGACACTGCTGAAACGACAAAAGGTCACCACTGATTCAGTCATTCGGCGTAGACCTGCATCTCAGCGTCATGATCTGTCGTATCGAACTCCTGCTCTCCGCACGTAATTTTGTCTTGCATCTCCGACACGCCTGTCCTACTCGCGCCAAGGGCTGTTGTTCTTCTAGAAGGGAGGGGGGTGTAGCCACCGTAGGGCAAATCAAGCCTCTATTAGTATTATACTTCGGCACAAAGGGAGAAAAAAAAAAATTTCAAACACCGCTAGCACGGCACAAGAGTCCGCCCGCTGGCTCGATCAACTCGAAACAGCGGTGAACTGTAGTGCTGTGGTGTTTTGTGCTTGTAAGAGAGAGAGAGAGAGAGAGAGAGAGGCAAATTGGTGCCGATTCGGCTGATGCCGCTTTGGGAGATTAAGAGGAGCGCTAGTGGTGAGACAGCGTCGAGCCAAGCGATATCACGAACAGCGCTGCCCAGCTTTTAGCTCGAACGCTGCCACGGCACTAGGGAGGAAAAAGAGGCTGCACGTGCGTAAATACGGAGCCCTGGTGCGAAGCAGTGTATGCATGCATGCAGTGGTTTGCTGCAGTATACTAAGGTATTCCTTCCTGCAAGGCGAATCCTGCGGATACTATAAACAGTCATTGGCTGAGGATTGCGTGTGGTGGTCGGTGTCATGATATGATGGCGATGCTACCCTATTACAAAACACTTGGCTGTCGGTCGGGCTCTGCACGAGGCATCCTCCGTGATTGCTGCTCTTGGTTTCTATTTACGAAAGGAGCATTACCGGTCCAAGGGCTTGAATCCTTCTTTTGGCCAGCTAAACTAGCGGCGCTCTAGCCCAAAGCACACCGACTGCCGATCTGTCAAAGAAAGGTGAGACTTGCGTGCCCTTTTTTTCTCTTACATGCTAGCAGCAAGTAAGTAACAGGTAGGAACTAGTCTAGCGTTCGGCACGAAAAGAAAAAAGGTAAGAAAAACCGAAATAAATTCAAAGGGCTGGCGGGTTCAGCAGATGCCGAAACAGCCTTATTCCCGTGATGCTTTCTAATCCATACCCTGTTGTCATCGTACGTCTAACATCCTCGTACCACTGCTACCAATGTCGAGTAAATGAATGAGACATTGAAGTAGGATCACAGCACCGAAGCGTAGCATCTGCTTTAGATAAAAAAAAAAAAAAAAAGAAAAAACACGCCATAAATGTCTTGTCTCTAATATGCCGTGTGTCGTTCTTTTGCATCACATGCGAGTACGAATAAAGCACATGAGGCTAAAAATACCAAACTGATAAGCAGGGCTGCCTGCCTACTAGGCAACAAATGATAGCCTATTATCCCATCCACACACGTCAAAAAAATTTCAGAAACGGCCTGTCAGGCTGGCACCCCCCCTCTAGGCCAGGTACCCGTCGCGGGGTGGCTCAGACACACACCAACCAGAGCAAAAAGGATGACGCCTTATCCGACTTACCGACAGCCCTGTCATGTCTCTCGCCTCGTGGTGGTCTGTGTTGCGAGATAACGGAGAGCGTGCCCACGAGTCAAGAATGGCATCTTCCCTGCCCCGTGCGCTGCCATCTACTGCTACTGAGTGAGGTGGGCTCGGGCTAGAAAAAAGTTGATTCTATTTTTCCTTCTAGGCTCATTCATCGTCTTGAGAGAGGAGATGTGGCGAATGGGCTGGACCCCGGATATATCCGGAGGCTCAACTTTTTGCCCGTGCCAGAAACGGTATCCACTTTACAGACGGAACAGTCGTTGGCTATCTTTTGCCCTTTCGTCCTTTGGTGTAAGGGTCCTGGAGAGTAAAATTGGGGAGGCGATCGTTATCGTGGGCGCTCGGCAGTTTTGTCCAAATGATGAAATGTGAAGACTAAGCAACACGTAAATGCAAGGTGCTAATAAAACTAGCCCCAACGCATGCCATGCCCACGATGATCCTGGGCAAACTACCCAGGCTGCGCTGGTAGGGCGCGTTGGGAAATTTCACAACCTACATGTACAGATAGGCCGGCTATACTAGCTCGGACTACAGCTGGCACACACCGAGCAAAAGAAGCAAGAATAGAAAGGAGCCTGCCGCGAGTATGATTTCATCGTTTGCCCCGCCGCGAATGACTTTTAATTTGCAACGTGCATCGATAGACAGATGCATGTGTTCAGCATACCAGGTAATTTTATTCTAGGCTCCATTGGGGGCGCGGTCGGGCTATTTTCTGGCGGGTAATGAACGATCCGGAAAAAAAAAGGAAAAAAAAAAAAGAATCCCTTACATCTCAACGCCAGAGACCATCCCCACAGTTTTTCAATATCGGTGCATGGGCACCTTTTTTTTTTTTTTTTTTTTTTCCTTTCAAGTGAGAGTATAGCGGGGATCTTAGGATTTTTTGATGAGCATACCCCAATGAAAAATTGACTAAATCGGGCATTTGGGTGACGGCTTGTTCGCATCAGACTCGCATGTTGGAGCTGCCATGTGAGTCATGCCCAAGCCAAGCCGCATGCTGAAGCCCAGCGATGGGGGACAAGATTGGCCGTGCAGGGGTGAAGCCGTGTTAGTTCATTCGCTCGCTCGCTGACACACACACACACGCACACACACTCACGCATTCTGTCACACAAAGTGACTGCTGCTGGTGCGCAAAAGTACTGGATAGTCGAGTAGACGGCTCCAGGTTCGTGGGAATGATGCCAAGAACGTGGCTCAAGTAGAGCAAGACTGCAGCGCGCCAGGTGGGCGAGACGAGCTTTGTACTGGCTACGTGTAATTGAGCGTGGTGAATGGCCGTACCCGGACGGGGCATCTCGCCCCAAGCACGCCTTTGATATGACGGGCGACTCTGTTCTTAAACACGCCGCATTACACGCTAACAACGGCCAGCAAAGCAAGCACACGCATACAGCGCCAAAAAGTCCATGTCATCATCGACTTTTCATCTTTTTAGCTTATTTCTGGGTCCGCGGCGGCGGTCACGAGCACCAGACGGGACCTAGGGTGGGGGACAGGATCCATTCTATGCTGAGTTGCCGTAACCACAGCCTCGGGCGGCTTGCTGAAAATTTCACTCTTGCCGTCTTGTTGTGTTGTGTTGGTCGTATTGCCCGTGAGACGAGGCCGATTGCCGATGGGTTCACGCTTGACCGAAGCTCTCGGCTCTGCAGCGTCCCGCAATGCGGTGAGAAGCGAGCCAGGCGCTTGAGTCGTGATGCCATGCGTGGTGCATGGGATTTTCGGTCTCCTCCCGGATGGAGTGGGCGATCCTCTTGCTGCTGTAGTAGCATTTGCAATCGGCGTGTTATAACCGGACTCTGAATGGAGAAAGACGCAAAAACAACGACAATGCAAGCTGGTCAGCGCTGTTTTTAGCCTCAAGGCAGCTCGGGTAGCTCTTTGATCGGGTTGCACCCAGCCTCGGCGATAGCATGGACAACACGAGCAGGCCACTGCATCTAAGCGCCCGCCAGGCCACGATGCTACATCGGAGACACTCAGTTCAATTCAACCAGGCCAAGAGGTACTTGTTGACAAGCAAAAGACAGTTTTTGAGCTTCTCAGGACGGCACCGTTTCACAGCTTGCCGATGGATGGCTGGCCAGGGTAAAAAACGTCCAACCGTCTTGACGTGCAGGCAGCTGACAAGAGAGACGACGTCCAACGCCCGACGCCCCGCAATAATAATAATCGCGATCTACTTCTGTGGCAGCCCTGCAGATCATCCAGAAGGAGGAAGCAGGCATTTCAGATCACCCAAGTCTGGCCCTCTGACGTCGCACTCGGACGACATGCGCATCGCATCTACACCGCATCGCCGCATTGAGACACCGCCTGTGAGAAAACGAAGAAGAAAAAGCCAACATGAGATCCATAATCGGGTAGCAAATGCGCTAGAAGGTTTTTTTTTTCTTCCATTGCTTCGTAGCGCAGCTCCATCCTCTCCACTGCTTTCATGCAAAGCAGCCGTCTGTTTACCGCCTGGAAGAGATTTTGGCGGTCAACGACGAGTAGTTCACTGCAGATATCCATCGAGTTACGGGACGGGGCCACCAGCGCAAGAGGCTCCAACGCGAGCAGGGGTCTCAGGCTGCCAAGCCCGCCGACGCTGGGGCAGCTCTCTGCTGGCGAGGCACCTGATCACTTTTTTTTCTCTGGCGCTGTGGCAGCCCGCATGTCTCGAGTGTGATTCGCGATACATGTGGCCACTGCGAAAAATCACACATGCACAGATGCATGAACACTTTGCAGGATAATGACGAAGAAACAGCCGCCAGACGAGCACAATAGGGATTGTCCGCATCAAAAAAAGGCAATCCCCGTCTCAACAGCACCCTTTTTTCTCTCCCTTACTGTATAATGTGCGTGCGTGTGTAGCATGCGGTACGGAGCGGAATGTATCGCTCACCATTCGCCATGGATGCTAGTAGCATTTCGTTTTCGCAGCCTCAGCTCTGTATGGCTCCAGTCTGGGGTGAGCATCCAATTTCAGAAGTGGCCCTGGTGCCCCACGATTTTTTGGCTGTGCAGTCCTCTTCGGGCGGTGGCCAGAGCGCCGACATGAAAAACGAACGAGCAAAATGAAGGGCAGAAGTGCTGAAACGTGCTAGCCCTTTTCTCCACAGCATGGCAAATTTTGGCACTAGAAGCAAGAGGGCTTCCAGAAGGCTTCCATACGGTGGGGCCGAAGTGCTGGGCACTCCGTTAAGGGGAGAAACGGAGGGAGATGTGGGCCAGGCATGTTTGATTGACCGGTTTGATAGCACGGAGAAGTGCGAACGTGGCCCTGTGGCCGTTCCCAATGGGTTCGCACGCCAGGTAGAGGGCGCCGGGGACAGTCGAGGCCTTGTCTGAGGCAAAGGCGCGATCCAGCGAGTGTGTAATACGGTCATTACGAGTACGCGCGCTACTGGCTGCGCGGAGGTGACAGGTCTTGCACTGGCGAGAGAGGCCTGGAAACGGAAAGGGGCTCGGCGAGAGAGAAGAGACCATCAGCCAACCAGCCAGCCAGTCAATCAGTCCATGCGTGTATCGTTCTATCTTCGGCCTCGGCTGGCTGCCTTGTCGCAAAGAGGCGCCGGCGTAGCAGCGGCGGAAGGCGGCAGCCTGCCATTCAACTGACACCAGGCTCAGGTATGTACTGATTTACGGTGGCATGTACGAGTACCGGCAGGCAGTCGCCAGCACCGCCAGCCGCGCCGGTGAGCGCTCGTACGAGCCAAGTAGCATTACTGCCTTGGCTTTGCCTTATCTAGGTAGGTACCGCTGGGCCTCAGCATGCAAGGGAGGACTGCCAATTTCACCAGGCCAGCTCAGCGATACCACCAAGCCAAAAACAAACCTAAATACAGCAAGTTTAAAAAAAAAAAAAGCCACCTCACCGTTTCGTATCTCGCTGTCTGAGTTTCTCGCTCGCCCTCATCAAAAAAGCCCACCGCTATGCTTTCCTCGCCCAGACAGGGGCCCCGGGCTCAGCAGCAGCAGCAGCAGCAGGGATCAGGGCTCGACTCAAAGCTTCCCCCCCTGTGCCTGTTTCAATTTCCTACCAGGCCCCGCTGGGCTGGCCGCTGCGTCACGGCCAGGGATGGCCCATCAGCTGCGAGAAGCGCCCAGCATGAGTTGATCCGTATCGAGCACGGGCACACGGGAAGGCTTGTGGGGGCTGCCATCCATCTTGCGGTCTGGGTTTTTTTCTCGAGAGGTACAAGCCCCGCTGGTACTCGCGCCGAGACAGACTGGGCTGACGTATGTATGTCCAAATGCAAACCTCAGCAGCACAGCGCTCTGCATCTCCGCACCCCCCTCAGCGCTGCACGCCCCCCCAATCCCACTGAGTACGAGCACTAAACAGAGACCCCCCCTGGCCTGCGCTACTCGCACGCTCTCTCTCGTCAGATTTGCCTTTGCTTCCAAAATACATAAGGACATCTTGCCCTCGCTTCTCTCCACGAAACCGTCTACTCTCCAGATCACCAGCATCAGAAACAACAAGGACATCTTGCAGTTCCTCCTCCCAAAGCCTTTCAGACTTGAACCTGCTGCTTGCACCTGTGCATACCTCGCTCAAGCTCGTCCACTCGACTACCTATTCACTTACACGGGACCGCCTCTACCGCCGTCCTCAACAACAACACCACAACTCTCAAGCTTCACAGCTTTCTACATCCTCACAATGCCTGCCCAGCGACCTTCTCACCTTCCTCCCTGCCCGGGCCCCCCTCCCAGCCGACCTCTTCCTCCTCTGCCTAAATGAGTGCCGCTTCTCTGAGGACCATCATTCGACTTCAGAATAAGAATGGCTACACTGTCATGGGCTATCCGGAACTCCACACACATATATACAAGGTTTTCAACTTTTCTTTTTATATTTTGAGATGCGGAACCCCAATGGCCTCTACTCCCCTTCTTCGTGGGGGACGTGACGCAGGGTTCCAGTCGGCAAAGGGAAAATCGCAAGCCATCTGCTATGCGAAGCGGATCTGTGATGCACGTCACCACTCCATTACTACTCTGTAATACAAATGCCTCTACCGCAGCGGGGCTGCAACATCACACAATCTACATGCGACGCGCTCTCCCGAACTGGACATGTCTCGCTGCCACGGCCGAGACGCAGTAACACCTGCTGCTACAACAAACCCCACCGAGCTGGGTCTCAACGGCGTGTCGACATCGAATCATCAACCCTGTTCTCATCGGCATTAATCAGAGAAACAACAGCTTCTCTACAATACAATACAACACAACACATAGCCGCAGGTTCCACCATTCTCTCAACTCTTGGCCACCTGACAGGCTGCGTTTATCTCGCTCTCCACACCGTCTTCGCTGGCTCGAGCGGGTACTTGCGCATCTTTTATTTCTCGTCTTCGACCTTGCTTGTGTTGTATTGTGATTCAATCTCATACACGCTCTTCTCTTAATACTATGTAATACTCTGGGCACTTTTCCTTTCTCTTATTTTTTTATTATTATTTCATCTTGGCGTTTATGCATATCTACTCGACGTCTATGGAAGGCGGATGGGGGCAAACATGATCGGACGATTAGGAATTGGAAGGGATCACACATGTACTATTACTATCAAGGAGCATTCGTGGGTGCGTCGCGGAATACCCTGGGATGTTGACGACCTGTTTACTTTTGGGCTTGGGAATATGATTGGGTAGAGCAATGATTGAAACGCGGGATTGAGACTATCTGAATACTTTATTTTGCCTAGTTTGGCGAACATAGACATGTTTGCAATGAAAACCTTGAGCATTTCTGCTACTATTACTTCATAACTCTTCGTTCCGTTCCACTCGTCTCTTTCCTTTCTAGGCTATTCTGGTGCTATGATCTTTGTTGGGTGATCGTCCGATGCGCAACAAAAATGACTGGTCGCCTGTAATTTGAGACAAGTATGGGGCGAGGTGTTTTATTAGGTGCTCAAAGAGAACAGCCAGTGCTACGTTCCGCATTCAATCTCGTGCCTCGCGCTGCGCCTCCGGAATACCACGCTGCGACAAGGGAAAAGAGAGCAAAAAAAGGGCCTACATGGCCCTATCTCCGACTTACATCGATGTAATCCGATGAAGGAATGCATGGTACGTTACAAACCCTGGACATTTTTTTTTTTCTTTCTCTTTCTTTCTCATCGATGCAAACCACTCAGATCATGCCAAGGCCTCTCTTTCTTTTCTTTTTTTCGGCCATCGTTGCCGCATTCCGTTTGCCAAGGTTCATTGCTACACTACACACCCGCTAGAGGCGGCTCTGAGGTAGGGAGTACTCAGCTGGTATGCATACTACTACTTTTTAGCGGAGAATCAGCGCTTTGCGCGACTACCGTATAAAAAGAAAAAAAGCAAAACAAGACAAGATTGTTCCTCGATTTTCACGTTCTCTTCCGAAGGGCCGGGGGGTGGCTAGGAAGAAGGGAAAGAAAAAAAGGGCCTAGGCGTGTGGGGGAGAGGACCGTAGTAGGGCAAAAGGAAAAAAAAAGGGACTTTAAAATGAACCGATTGTTTTTCTTTCGGCCGAGGCTATCACGGGGAGGCCGCCGCCGGGATTATCTAGTTTCTCATGCTGATTACTTATGGAAATACGTATATACTACTACTACATACTGCTACTACGACCTTGAATAAGAGAAATGTGTTGAATTAATTAGCTGCCTTTTTACGTCTTTCTTTATTAAGCTAAGCCGCGATGGAATGTTGTAAGGATACCCATGATAATTGTGACGAGAATAGATGCGTGTACTTTAATACGATGGCTTCACGCCGAGAACGAGTGCCGTGGAGCGTACTATTGCTACTAGAAATTCTCTAAACTGAAGCTATTAATTTTTTATGCCAAACTTTCTTTTCTTTTTCCTCGGGGCTTCTTCTAGTGAGAATTAGACAAACAGCGCTGAGGTGGCGGTGCTAGTCAGGGCCCATCTGGTCTTAATTAGGGGAGCTACCGTTGCTAGATGAGATTAGGATCGTGGCCTTATTTTCTTTTCTTCCTCGTCTTTTTTTTTTTCTGCTAGTTTGATGTTTTCATGACTCGGAGAAATTCGAAAGGAAATCGGACCACGGTGGCGGCTGTGATCCTCTTCCGAGATTCAGCGATATGGAGCACTACGGAGTAACTACTGCTCGTTATCTCCATCTAGTAAGGCAATTAAAGTGGTAATAGCGGCATGTACTATTAACTACGCCTTGTACACCTGGGGGATTTCATCTCTAATCGAAATGCTCTTCTTGCAGTGGCAGACCCCTGCAGGATCGAAAGCGGAATAGCCCCGTTCCCCATACAATTTTAATTACAACCTGAACACTGCATATCTGTGGCGAAAACGAAAAAGAACACAAATGGAAGCCTGTAATATTACCCATATGCACGATTAAAGGGGGCGAGAGGCGATTTGCGTAGTGGTGTTTGTCGCATGCATCGCACGTGCGAAGCAAACAAAACAACATGAACAACTAACATATTTTGGGGTTTAGGGCCTGGATTGTTTCAACGGTTCGTAAAACAAAGGGGAAAAAAAAAAGAGCAGCAGTAATCATGATGTAATATAGACACGGCAAATGATCTTGATACGAGTACGCTGTTGGCTGTGCTCACGGCACGGCAATTCACCATTGCTCCGAACCCGCCAAACCAAGCCTGCCACTACTGCTAGCACTACTACCTAATACTGTATGACAAGCCTGTGCCTGGCTGGATATGGACCTGCATCCAGACCTGAACGACCTGGACCGTCTACATACAGCTGGCGTTGCAGTGGCGATAAAGGCCCCAAACATGGTGCTGACGGCGGTGGGCACGCAAGGATCACCCGTTTCTGTCTGTCCAGCTACAGCAGGAACCCGTGAGTGCCGTTTAGTTCTTTGCTGCAGCCTCCAGGTTTCTGAAACATAAAATTTCGCCACCCTCCAGACCCTCCTTTTTCGTTGGGGGCGGTGTTGAAAGGGGACATGCTGGACATGCATGCACAAGTAAGCAAATCGCTGCAAAGCTGGATTGAAATTGCGATGCGATGCCGATTGCGATAGCCAACCCCCCGATGCGTCCAATCACATCGCCAATCCCGCATCCCAGAAAGCCACCAGAACCCCGGCGATCCCCGCTGGCGTCTTTTACTCTTTCTTGGAGGGGGGGGGGGCCGCGTCTCAGGAAGATCATTCGTTGTGCAACGAGCAAATCATCTTCTTGAGACGCAGGAGACGGTCTCGTGCTGTCGCGCGGCTGAGGGGTGCCCTGGCCTGGTCTGGTCTGTTATTGTTGATGGCGGTGGTTGTGCGGCTGGACAGTTGCTTGCCACGTATCCCTGGTGTTTAACGTTTATTGTCGTTGAATAGATAGCTACCTTACGTTTGATAGGATCTTGCTCTGTTTGTCACTGCCAGGGATGGCTGGGGGAGTATTCGTTGGCTAATGCCAATGTCGTTCTAGCCCGGCTCAAGAAGACGCTTGGTTGAGTCAACGATGGACGAATGATTGACATGTTCCCTTGCGTTTCAGCTCGCCGGGGTGGGCTTCGAAAGAGGCGCCACGATCGTCTCTCGTACCACATGCAGTGACACATGACCCTTGGGGTCTGCCTGGAGAAGCACATAGTCTACTGTACATACAGTACATGCCGACAATGTAGTTTGCGTGACGTGTAGCCCATGACGGTTTGTGCAGTCTTGTGTGTATGCAACCATCGCTAAATAGATTGTTTCGAGAAGTTCATCATGCCACCCTGCTCTATACGAGCATGTGTTGTCTGACAAAGCTCGAAAGCCACACCCTCCAGTGCTATCAAGATGGATATCTCCCAATGACAACCCTGATAAGACATGGCCTGAGTTTGTTTCTATATCGGGATGCAAACATATATGGTTATTACTCCGTATATACGAGGTACCTGTCTGTCAAGTGCTGTTGAGATTGAGATGTCTTGGCGCCATTTTTTTTTATGATATGTAATATACGCTTCTGTGTCTTACCAAGGGTCCCCCGGATTTCTTTTCGACTATATCAAGCCACTTCACATGCGAAATGAGGAGGGCAGGGCTTCTTAATAGCTGCTGCTATGGATATGCCTGTATTCCAGCTGCTCTTTGGATGCCGAAACCCATGTCGTCGAACTACATATTACTGCGAATCTAGATCTGAGCTAAAATAGAAAACTATTTGCCATTCTAACCAGCAAGAGAAATGAGGCCAAGCTGGCAAACATTGAGAATTGGATTTGACGATCCACGTGGGAGGAGTGTTTGTAACTTTTCGAAGTATTGTTATTTCCAGGTTGTTGGGAGGTACACAATACGCCAAGGCTAGGTTCCACTGCCCATCTCCAATTGAGGGTGGCGTGTCTTTCTTTGCCATGCCTATTGTTGTTAGTTGGAGACTGTTTAACGGGTCTGTGTGACTTACTGGCAATTGTCTCTTGTTAATGAAGTGTGTGGTCGTACTGACGACATCAGAGCATAATTGTGGCCTGATGTTCCCGGCTTGAAGGGTAGCACATGGCCTGAGCTGTTGTGCTCAGATTTTACTGAGTCGTGAATGTTCTCAAGAATGAAGCTTGTCATGGGTAGGATGCAATCTGTAGTTACCTACCATCACATCGTTTTATAAGCAGATGTGTATAAGTGACATCCCACTCTAAGATACCGCATTGGCCAATGTCTTGAGAAATGCAGTGCAGCGGTCCGAATAGATTTTATAACCGTCATAATTGAATAGTATGTTTGATGACTAAAATGTGTACTGATTGAATGAATGAATTTAAAGCTCCTTTGCGATGAAACCATGGAACAATAAACATCCGACTTGGAAAAAGGCAGTGGCTCATGAAGTAGTTGTAAGTAAACATGCTGGAAATAGCAGCTGAGTTTCTCTCTCCTCCTCCACTTACAAGTGTATCGCGATTTATGTGTAAAGGTATTTTTATACGGTCAACTATATGCGCATCTTGTGTAATTGTTTGTGATGCCCACCTCTAAAGTTAGACATTATCGGTGTTGTCTGGTTCACTACAAGTTAAAATTTTTGAACTGACGGAGCCCTAAACTCACATGGGCTGAATCTTGTCTTGCAAAAAATCATTTTTGGATATCACTGTTAGGACGGGTTATATTGTCTGATCGAGATACAGTATGACATCGGTTGGCAGTCTACGTGGTCTAAAGACAGTAGCTCGCAAGCACCCGCAACTACAAACACATATCGTTGCCTTTGGCGAATAATACATAGAAAAAAACAGGATAAAAAAATTTTTTTTTTTTTTTTTGTCAGGCTTCACTTTAAAGTCTACAATCCCATTGTACAAAGTCAATCCCTTCTTTCTTAGCACGGCCACATCATACATGTATGTACGTGCATATCGATTGCGGGGAAGTCCACAGCCAACTTCTCACTGAAACGTATCATAAATAAATGATGAAATAAATATAATCTGAAGAAAATAATACTACAAATCGTTCAACGAATATTAGACCACTACAGACATGTAGGTTCGAAGACGTTGCTGGTGGCGCATCTTAAAGTACATGAACCAGTAACATTGACAGAATTCGCCAAAATTGTGGACCAGCGACCAAACCTTTCTTGGGAATTGATGCCTCTTGTTCTAGTCCCAATCTTTTTCAACGTCAAAGGCAACGAACGATTTGATATTGACAATCTAACCATCTCATCACAAGAAATCGTACATCAATCTGCCAATCACTCAAAGAGAATTGACCGCAAATTGGATCGAAACGCCACTGCCCTCCCAAACTGCCGCGATAGTTTTCACCTTGCGCAGACATCATCTACGTGGCAAATCCAACGACTCCGCGATGCTACATCTTCATGTCTGGGGCTCAGCTTTTGGGCTGCCATCTATTGATGCAGAATGCTTAGCCATTATAACCTACTTTCACAACGCGCTGCCCGCCTCATCATGGCGTCTCATACCCAGCAACGACCCCTCCGTCAGCCCATCGAGTAAGCCGTTAATTTCACTCTTCACCATTCATTCACTCATTCCACTCGGAGCTGCTCGGTCTCGGAAGTGATGTCAATGCAGGATGGCTGATTCTTAGTGATTAGATCTCTTACCAGCATTAAATCATGAGGGTAACTGGACAAGCGGATTCCAGCCCATTGTCCAGTACCTGGCATCAACAGCCCTTTGTGATGGCCTAGACCAGAATCTCAGCCCTATCCAGCGCGCAGACAGCGTCGCCTACAGCGCCTACTTGCGGGCTCACGCAGGACCTCTTGTAGACCTGTCTCTCTATGTCTCCGCGGCTAATTGGGCCACTACTACCAGACCAGCATATAGCTCACTGCTATCGTTCCCCCTGACGTGGACGGTTCCAACTTTGATTAGATCAGAAGCCATCAAGCGTGCCGAGCACCTCGGACTCGCCGAACTGGACAGCGATTTTGATCCTAGTAGCGGCCTTCATCTAAGTGCTGGAAGGGACGCACTGCCTGAGACGTTTCGGCGGCATATCCCTTTGATGATCAAGAAGACTGTCCATGAGGAGATGACGCCAGAGCAGGCAACAGCAATCCGGTTATTTAGTCTGACTGAAGACTGTCTGACGGTGCTGGATGATCTAATACAGGGAGAGAGTGAAGATCACCCTAGATTTTTCGCTGACGCTCCAGTTACCTCACTCGACTGCTTGGCATTCGGATATCTAGCTCTCATGCAGAAGCCTCCTATACCCCGAGCGTTCCTCAAAGATTGGCTTGAATCGAAAACCCCAAGACTACACAAATTTGTCGACTCTATGCTCGCCAGAAACATCGCCGGACGCGGCAATCTTCCCTGGGCGGTCCCCGACCCGACCTCTGCCGTTCGCTTCAGCGGCCGCGTTTTCGACTCTGTATTACGCCATCTCCCCAACGTAGGCGAGCAATACGCGTCGGAAGTACGCCGCAGGGCGGAACAGCAGACGAAAGGCTTAGACCAGAGAGCTCTGATGTTGATCGTGGGCGTGGTACTTACCGGCCTGGCGACTGGCTATGGGTTCCAGACCTATAGGGCGATGCAGCCGTTCGGAGCATCCACTCAATCCTGGCAGCCTCGGCGGAAGCAGTCGAGGCTGAGCGATTTTGGACAGCTCGGCTCGATGCTAAGTAGTGCTATGGGGCCCTATCAGCCAGTACCCAGTGGTCTTGATTTAGGAACTCGAGATCACGGAGGGCCTGGTGGAAGGTTGGTGGAAGTGGACTCCGAAGTAGATTAAAGAAATAGAAGAAGAAAGAAAGAAAGAGGAAAGAAAGAAGAACATAATCTCAACATTTTGGTAATATCATTATATTTAATGGTTTTCTTTCGCTATGATAAATGCTTGCTTCTTATGAGCCACTTTCATCGCCCATGTATTTATATGTTTGATCCGCAAAACGATATCCCAATCACTTTGAAAATCTATTAGTGTTTCAATCCAGCGGGCGGAACAGTCGCTCTATATTTGTCGAATCTCTTTGCCCACCATTTCTGGCCTCTCCACCTCCCACTCATCTCTCAACACGGCAAATGTCAGATCAGATACAAACAGGCTTTGTGCCAGACTCCACACCAGTGTAATGGCGTAGAAGAAGTTGGCGTTGCCACTACCAGCGTATATCCACAAATGGTAAAATGCAGGGCCGAGGAAGGTCGCGTATAGCATGGTGGCGGAGGCAACATATGTATATCGCATAATGGGGTATAGGTGCCGGTATAAAGCCAACATGGCGAGGAACAGGCTGGTATCTGCGATGGATGGGTATGGTTTGAAGACGGCGAAGATACCCAGGAGAATTGTCAAGACAGCCAGAGGTTGGGTGCGCAGTCGGATAGAGAGGCCACCCACATAGATTACGAGGTGTAGCCAAAAGACGGCCAGGAAGAAAGCCCGGAACGAGTCGAATATCTCGATGAAAAAGTACCACCACAGCCCGACGTTGGGAGTTAGGTCGGATAAAGTGAGCTGGATGCCATATGTTCGAGCCAAGAAGTCCCACGAGTTGCCTGTCAGGGCAAAGGACATGGCTAAGAGGACGGAAATGCAGGCAGAGGCGATCAGGACAGTCTTAACCGAGAACTGGATGACGGAGCCGATACGTCGCTTTTCAGATTGGCGGTCATAGGCGAGGAGAACAAGAGGTGGGAGCAGGAGAATCGGGTACATGGATAGATATGAGGCGAATGAGATGGCGACCATGGCGTTGAAGGGGGAGCCGGAGAGGGCCTTTGCAATGGCAAAGAGAATCGCGCAGTTTGTGAAGACGCTGGTTGAGCGGCCAATGCAAGTCGCGAGAGTGTAGGGATTAAACAAGAAGCTGCATGGCTACGGTTAGCACCAATTGCACGTCCGTTGAATTCACTCTCGTGGATGGGGGGCTGTCATACGCCGCAGCTACCAGAAGCCCAGAGGACCTCTTCGCTCGCCGGGGCGATGTGTAGAGTTTCGACTGGCCGGCCTCTCCCGAATCTGCTATTATGAGGAGCGCGTATGCGCTGAGAAGGTCCACGAGGATGTACAGCACTGCCGTAAAGATGGGCCATGTCTTGACGTCTGGAAGCAGCGAGAATAGCGGGAGGAGCAGCGGCGCCTGGTGGAAGACACCGCCGTCGTAGGGCCAAACATTGTGGTTGTATAAGAACAGTCCCTCTTGCACTAAGTCGCCAACAGCGAAAATCAAAAGATAGTCAGCGCATCAAGCTCAATTGCCGTGTCTCTGCGGTGGGGTTCGCGATGCGCCTTACATCGTTTGAAGCTCGTCACGGGCGTGGAGATCTCGACGCGGCCGGTCAGCAGATCGGGCAGGCTGGGGAATGCGGCAAACAGGATGAGCCTCAGCAAGGCAGCGCCAGCGAAGACGCCGACCTTGCTCTGCAAAGTCATGGTGGTGGTGGTCGACATGGCATCTCCTAGGCCATGTTGAGCGAGGGGGAACGGATATTGCAGGTTTGGGAGGTTGCTAGCATCGCTACGGAGGCCACTTGGCCGCAGCTCAGCCTTGCTGGCCAATAACTGGTGTTAGCGATCCTCTGGCATGTTTAGCGCTGCTCTCCAGGCTTCTACAGGCGGACCTGAGAAGTGGCTTGTGAGTGGCTTAGGCGGGTCGGGCGGTGAGACCAAATTGGCAGGCTAGTCCCATTAACGGCAGAGACTTGGGCGGTGGCGCATGGCATTAAAATTTCCAGCTTGGCAGGAAGAAAAAAAAAGTTCAGTTCATACAATTGGCGATTGTACTGCCCCGCGGTCCTTTTTTTCCCAACGAGCATCAACACCATATATCGCCAACAATCAACACAATGGCGCGGATAAAGAAGAAGGGACAGGCCGGTGCGGCTAAGAATTTTGTGACGCGAAATCAGGCGATCCGAAAACTGCAACTCAGCCTTCCCGATTTCCGCAAGCTTTGCATTTGGAAGGGAATCTACCCTCGCGAGCCTCGCAGCAAAAAGAAGGTCTCCAAGTCTTCTACCGCCTCGACAACCTTTTACTACACCAAAGACATTCAATATCTTCTCCATGAGCCGCTAGTGCAAAAGTTCCGCGACCACAAGTCCTTGGAGAAGAAGATCTCAAGGGCATTGGGTCGAGGAGATGTCAGCGACGCCAAGAGACTAGAGACCAATGCCAGCCGCCCAGAGAAGACGGGAAAGCCGACCTATACTCTGGATCATGTGGTTCGTGAGCGCTACCCGACATTTGTTGACGCATTGAGGGATTTGGACGACTGTCTCTCCATGCTTTTCCTCTTCGCGAACCTGCCGTCGACCTCTATGGTGCCGGCAAAGATGATTGCCCGCTGCGAGCGACTGTGCCTCGAGTTCCAGCACTATCTCATTGTCTCAAAGAGCCTCACCAAGTCTTTCCTGTCCATCAAGGGTATCTACTATCAGGCAAACATTCAAGGTGAAGACGTTCTATGGCTGGTTCCTTACAGGTTCAACCAGCGAATCGTTGGCGATGTCGACTTCCGCATCATGGGAACCTTTGTCGAGTTCTACATGACGCTCCTCGGCTTCGTCAACTTTAGACTGTACACCTCAATTGGCCTCAAGTACCCACCCAAGTTTGATGCCGTCAAGGATGAGAATGCTGCCGAGCTGGGTGCCTTTACGCTGGAGGGCAAGACTCTAATTGGCGGCGAAGAGCAGAAGAAGTTGGAGGATGTTGCTCACAAGCCGGATCCTAAGGTTCAAGCCGCTGTCAACAAAGTTCTGAAGAGCATCACGAATGGCGACTCAAACGGCGCTGCCGCTGAAGAAGCCAAGAATGGAGACAGCGACGAGGTTGACCAAGATGCAGCTGGTGCCATTGACAAATTCGAGCCCGCTGCTCCTGGAGGCGACATCCTGCTCCAGCCATCCTACAATGGCACCAACCCCAACTCTCTCTTCTCCAACTTCACAATTTACCTGTCCCGTGAGACTCCCCGCCAGCCACTCGAGTTCATCCTCAAGTCATTTGGCTGCAAGCGAGTTGGCTGGGATGCCGTGCTTGGTGGTGGTGCCTTCACAACGGACGAACTAGATCCATCAATCACACACCAGATTGTCGACCGACCCCCTATACAAGCTTCAATGGACGAGGATGGCGATGGTGAGGACAACCAGACTGCGCAGAAGCTGGCGGCCAACCGACGTGTGCCTGGCCGGATATATGTCCAGCCCCAGTGGGTCTGGGATTCCGTCAACGATGGCGAATTGAAGGAGCCTCATTTGTACGCACCTGGTGCATCACTTCCCCCGCATCTGAGTCCATTCGTCCGCAAGGTGCAAGGCGCCTACGACCCGACAATGCCTCTTGAGGACCAGGAGCCTGAACATGAAGCCCTTGAGGCTGGTGACGATGATGAAGAGGCTGATGCGGATGAGACTGTAGAAGGCATGGATGTTGCAGAATCAGGAGATGAAGATGAAGACGAGGACGAAGAGGACGAGGATGAGCAGGATGAGGATGATGAAGAGGAAGAGGAAGAAGAAGATCACAATGATGCCCTCCAGCGCCAGATCGAGCTTGAAGCAGAGATGGCCGGCAAAACCGTCCAGTCAAAGACGGCTAACCCCAAGACTAAGGCCAAGGAGGATGCACGAAAGGCCCTGGCAAAGAAGGCCCGCGAAGAGGCCGAAGACTTGGAGCGAGCCAAGGGTATGCTGAGCAAGAAGAAGAGAAAGCTTTTCGAGCAGATGCAGTACACAAACAACAAGAAGAGTGCAGAGGATGCTAAGCTGCGCTCAAAGAGAAGAAAGGTGGAGAAGGAAAAGGCGGCGAAGGCATAGATTCGGGATGTACTATTTAATATACTAGTAGTAAATGGGTTTCAACGGCGTATATGCGGTTTAAATAAAATGTTTTTTTATCCTTAATAGAGATGATTTTGAGATAAAAAGTGTACGGAAGTGATACTTTGATTGAGAGCCATAAATTCGTTGATAAAAGTTGGAAGACTGTGCTTTGGTAAGAGGGACTTGAAATTTCTTCTTAGCACGTGAACTTATACTTTTCACCAGAGCAATTCAATTCACCTCAACCTCATTTCTCATCAATATTGACGTTAAATGCTGACCTCATCAAAGAAAAGAAGATCAGAAGTTTCTTTTCAAAATTTTTAATACGGAACGACTCTCAAATTTATCGACGCATGAAAGACCCATCTATCGATATCGAGTGATGCGGTGATCTTCAGACATGGATCGAAGTTCTCCAGAATGGGATCTCGATAGCGACGAGATCGCATCTGTCACTTCTCAAGACCTACATGATAATCGACCAAATCGCTGGACGGGACACCAGAGAACATGGCAGCGCATGACGGCAGAAGAGCGGCGGCTCTGGCAGTCGATGGAGGCTGTGGAAGACCAAGATTTGGCGGTTCATTTGTACAACGCGTTTGCGCTGAAGAAGCGCGGCAAAGATGCTAAGACGGCGCAGGATGTCACGGTTACTATGGTATGCCTACCCATTATTAAGTTACCCTGTTGATCTACCGCATCTGGATCTTAGTTTATGAATGCGAACGAGAACGCTGGCTGACCTTTGGTGATAGGAAAATGGGCAACAAGGTATATGGGCGCCACCAAAAGTTTGGACCGCATGGCCGATAAATGAAAGGCACGTGCCGCGGCAGAAGGATACCCAGAGAGAGGATGATGGTTATGACAGATTTACATTTCGCAAGACGGAGAAGCAGATGCCTAGCTCTGAATTGCATGATGAACTCGGAGCAACAATACTGAGAATAGCTGGAGAGCGTTTTCACAAAAGCAAGAGGAAAACGGTACTTGCATCTATTGAGGGAGATCCGATCTCTTTGGATATAGGAGGATCAGAGAGAGAAGATGGAAAAGTGTCAAATATACCAGCTCCGTCGTCTCCCTCTTCTGTTTCTGGTCAGGAAGATATGAAGATGATGCCGCTCGATGAGGGAGGTCGAAGCCATGGTGAGGATGAACTCCACTCAGCACGATCAGGTGGAAAGAAGAGGAAGACCCCAGAGACATACGAACCAGTAATGTCTTGCAACGACGATTTATCCTACGCACTCATTAAGCCATCTGTTCGACATATTCTCTCGCAGTTAGATGCTACACTACATATTCTTCACAATGCCCGCACCGCCACCACAAATTATGCATCTGATTCATCCGCAACATCCGACTCGGAATCCGACACTCGTTCTGGTCCCAAACGAGGCCGTGGCCGTCCTCGCAGCACGAAGCTCACAGGAGCAACAGCCTCTCCACACACAGACGGAGCCACTACGCCTAATGCCAGCAAACGTGGTCGTCCACGAAAAGTGCATGTCCCTCGCGAAGGAGAGACTCACGACGAAATGCTGGTTCGCATCGCACGCGAATCGCACAGGAGACTCCCAAGCACCGCAAAGGACAGAGATGCAGCATTCGAAGAATGGCTCCGCCAGGGTGATGAGAAACTGGAGCGTGAAGCGGCCCTCCTTAGAGAGGAGGAAGAGCTGGGAATCGATCCGCAGGCTAGTGCCCAGGAGAGACGACTTGGCAGGCTCGGCCTCCGCGACTGGAGCGATGTCATTGGTGCCGCTGCGCTGGCAGGCTTTTCTCACCAAGTAATTGCAAAGGCGGCTAAGCGATGTGCGAATTTATTTGGCGAGGGAATGGTTATGCGGCGCTTGGACGAAGTTCCTGCTTCGAGAGGACCGCCTTTTCACACAATGGAATATCGCCCAGAGAAAATTAACCTTAACAGTCCAGATGACGATTCTGATTCGGATAGCGGAGAAGATGCTGCTACCGCTCTATCATCTCGCCGTACATCTCGCCAGCCATCACATAGCCGCCTTTCAAACCGCCGCCTCAGCTCCTCGCCCTTCCGCGGACGCTCCTCGTCTCACTCTGTGTCATCAGCCCCACGAAACCGCTCGCATTCCAAATCTCGATCCCGGTCGCGCTCCTCGGCCGGCTTCCACTTCTGTCCGGTCCCAACCTGCGAGCGTTCGACCACGGGCTTTGCGCGGAAGCAGAACCTCCGACGGCATATGCAACTTGTACATCCTGGGCGCGGAGATGAAGAAGAGGACTGGGATAGCGAGGATGAGGTATTTGGGGCGGTGCATGTGGATGGGTTCCTGAAGCCGATTCTGGCTGCTCGCGGATGGAGGGAGAACGTAGCAGCGAGTTCGTTGGTTATTAGGAAAAGGGGGCGAGAGCGGCGAACGGGAGAGGATGAAGATGAAGAACTATGATTCCGACGGTGTTATAATAAGGTGCATATGGTCAATTAGAATGATGGATATGGATAAATAACATATTTAGCATATAATCTCAGGGCTTGGAATCACCGATACAGCAATTATTGGCTAATGTTTGAATTCCCTATTGATTTGGTTTACTCCACTCCATGACAGATGCCTATACCTAAATGCCCTATAGTACCTATACACAAAAAAAAAGGAAATGATGCCAATATCTCGTAGCTCTGAGGCGACGCTAAAATCAGAGTGCTCGAGCAGCTATACTTGCGGAAACGCCGCGAAGTCCTAATGTGAGACGAATGAAACAACGCCAAAAGAAACGTAAAGCTGAAAAGGGAACAACAAAAAAGGGGACAAAAATGACCAGATAAAAACCCATAGCCTCTTAATAACTCGTTCTATGCCATGATAAACCATTAGAGGCTTCCTTCTGCTCCACTTCCATTAGTAAATAATCTCATCTCTTATCTCAGTTTCGGTTTCAGTCTCGATCTGGGCCTGGGTCTGGGTCTGGGCCTGGACATTGGTTTCTGTTTCATTCTCTGACTCGCTCACTCCTGCTCTCTTTCTGGCCTGTTCAAGCTTTTCCAGGGCATTCTTAATAATTTCATACTGCTCACTCAGCGTGGTATGAGTCTGGGTCCTTGGTTCCTCTCCCCAAGCTACGGAAGGCTCATCGTTGCGTTTGAGTAGATCTCCCAGATAGAGTCGTATATCCTTGAGCTCATCAATCAGAGATGAGAGATGAGACATTGCATTTGTATATTGTACATTAACTTCTTTTAGCAGGGTGATTTGCTCATCGAAGTTGCGCTCTTCTTCCATTAAGCCCCCGATATAAGCCCAGAGAGCGGATATAAATGATTTTGGTTTGGTTTTCTCTGCGCTAGAGAGGCGTTGGGCCTGGTCATTAATTGCGCCTAGGTGAGTCTGGCCTTGGTGGAGGAGTAATGAGAGAGCTTTTCCTTCCTCAATTATCTTATCTAATCGATCCTGAACAAGGTTGATATGCTCGGAGTATTTATCCAGCAAAGCCCGATCATTACCAGCTTGTTCTGACGATTTGAATAGACTTAGGGGCCGGACAATCCAGGCCACGGCAGGAGGTAGAGAAGGCGCCTCTGGTTCCATGGACAGAGAGTTGATGTGACGAAGAGTCCAGCGGTTAATATTGATGACGGAATCAACTGTTGATCCGACATGGATATAAAATGTCTGCAGATTTCCTCCTGCCTGACCGACCTTGTCTATGTAAGCATTGAGCTCCATAATGAAATCCTCCCTAGCCACGATTTCGCTCTCTTTGAGGAGAGATCTCAAGCTTCGAGTAGCGATTTCTGAACGCTTTAATTCAAGTGGCATGGAGAGGCCATAAGCGCTCTTGTCCAGCACACTCTCAAATCCCGATTGAACTTCCATGAGGTTGGTGAAATCAATGAAAGAAGTAGCAGAGCGGCTAGATTTCTCGGTTTCAAAAAACCCAAGCTGGAAGTTGGAAACGCTGGGAATCTCATTTATAGAATCGAAAGTAAAGGACTGGATCTTCTCAAACGAGATACCATTCGAATAGAAGAGGTATGCTGTGAGGGCGATTATGAGAGGTACTGCGGTGTAACGGTAGAAGAAGGCAAAGGCCTGGGCTAGTTTCTGAGAAAAGCTTGAAGTTGATGATGATGGCGAATTTGGCTCGGCGTATTGCCAGTTAAGCGAAGTCTCGTTCTGCTCCCTTAGAAGCCTAGCATATTCTCTCTCCTCATCCTCGTGCCAAGCCCCGTGGCGCTCGTCTTCTGACGATACGCTACCTTCCTCGGTATCATCGTCAGCCTTTGCAGTTCGCGAGGCCTCGCTCGCTACTAGATTATTGGCTTCAACGAGAGGCATGCGGAGCTGTAGTTCGGGGGGTCGCAGATACGAAATACGCTGCATAGACGTAGCAGCGCTTGAAGTCAGGGTTGGCCGGAAAGGCTGGCGCAAGATGACTTGCTCGTCGTCTTGGAAGGTATTAAAATCGCGGATGCTGTCTTGAGACGCAAAGCTCATGCTGCCCTGACTTTGCGAAAAGGATTGTTGAGTGGGCAATCCAGAAGATGGCATAGCGCTTGAGGGAGGGCTGAAATCGTCTCCGAACGCCGTATCAATGATGCTTGTGTCGAAGCTATCATTTTCGCCATCGACAAGGCGCCATGAGCCTTCGGCGGGGATTTCGCGCCGGCGCGGCGGCATATTTCTACGATTTGGAAGGTATTGGCACGAAGGATGGTGACTGGAATGCGGGTTGGCAAAACGAGCGATAGTAAGTCGGGTAGGCGGCTCCGGCTGCTTGTTGCGACTCTTCCCTTGCGTTCAAGGGAAGGGATGGTGGTGTTGATTGACACTAGAATCAGCCAATGCCACTAAATCCTTCAAGATCTCGTTTAAAGTATGCCGAGCTCCCAAAGCCACGATCTAAGGCCTTGTCAGGGAACTTGTAGAAAGCCCCCAAGGCGTGAACGACGGGGCAGGGGTTGCAATCGCGCGAAAGAGGCAGCAGCAGCTATTATTATAGGAATGCGATGTTTTGATCGACGTGATATGGCGGGATCGCGTTGTGGCGACGAGAGATGAGTCATACGGCTGGTGATGGCGAATAAGAGAGCAGCAAACACAAGCAGCGGCCAGGCAGATGCGCCCGATATGCGGGATCCAGAAGGCAATCGTGGTGGATTCTCGTGGTGTTGATGAAAGAAGCTCGGTTTAGAGCTAGGCTGCATTGTCTGCGGGTCTGCTACTTTAGTGCCGTCTAACGCGATGGGGAGCGTAGCGGGGGAGGAGCCGCTGATTTAGTGGGAAGAGTGCCTGTAGGGGTTCTGTATGTGCTGTATGTTGTATGTAGATGCGATGCGATGCGACCTTCACAGAGCCTGGGGAGAGCGTGCTGATCCGATTCGTTCGCGAGGCTGGCAGCTCAAGGCGGTAGATTGCGAGTTTTTCTATGATGGATTCTTCGGTAGCGATATGTATAGGCGGAGGCATGAGTGGCGGTATAAGGCCGAGGGCTGGGCGGTATTGCTTGGGGCCCCTCAAATGGCACCAGGACAGAATGACATGAGATGTTGCTGCTGTTCGTGGTGGACTTCATGCTTCGTCTTCGTCGATAAGATTATAGCACAAGTATCGTAACAGACGGCGTTGTTTTCTGAGCAGACGCGACGCCTCTCAGCTTCAAAGTGAGATGATGGCCAGGCAACAGTCCGGTTAACCGCGCGCCATTTAAAATCGTAAATTTGATGAGAGTCAGACAAGGCGAAACAAGTCCAGAGAAATCGCTCTCTTCAGAGGAATCACAGCGTATATTCGTGAAGGCGTGAGTTTAAGTCGAGTCTAGTTATTGCGAGCAGCAGGTTGGGATAAAGAAACCACCTAGACATGGGAAAGTCATTGCTTTTATTTATGCATTACCTTGGACCCCAGCCATGTGTCTGGCTGGCACATGAAGGGTCTTACAGTCTTACCGACCCAACTCGTCTGACGGATCTCGTGCATCCTTGTGGCTTCTCAAGTCTCGGTAATGGCTGATAGGGATCACAAGTGGCTGTGGCAATATCAGTATCCGCCGTGTCAACAGCGCTCCATCCACAAGATGACTTTTATTGATAGGAGGCAGACAGATCATGGTAAGCAGGAAGAGTGAAAATGCGTCAAATTGTGTTCACAAAACATGAAGCCCATGGATATGATGCCATCACTGGAGGATTTTCATGTAAACCCCGCCGGAGGGTCTTAATTTGGAAGTGTGTTGGGTGTAGTAGCGGATTCGAGTTGAGACGATCAACGGACTGTATCACATGATACTTGGTTCTCGCGTACAAGCCGTCAAGGGGCCTGATGACCTGCCTAGGTAGAAGCCTTGCGATGGCTAGCCGGCACATGAAGTTATACTGCCTATACTCCAGAATGCGACGCCATATTCACAGAAAAGCAACTCACGCACACTAAATCGAGCTGTGGAAGCTGGAACCGGCTGGTGGGCCCGACCTCGCACAGATCCACGAGCCGAAGCCACCCCAGCCAGACCTCGGCTCAGGCTGATTCGATCTAGCCGTTCAGCTTTCATAATCGGATCGCAGCGCCTCTCAACAGCCGCCGTCACTGCAATGCATCCTTGACAACACAACGGAGCGACACGACACAAGGCGACAAACAACGACAATCCATAACCGCAACTCAATGCCGACTTGATGAACGACTCGAGCTTCGTCCAGGCCCAGCAGCGCGTCGCTGCCCGACGACAGGCCCGCGAGGCCGAACACAGAGCCAGGACCGCGGCTCAGCGCGAAGCCTCTCGCGTGAACACGCAGCTGCAGCGTCTGCCATACCCGCTCAACCGCCTTGCCAATGCGTGGGACTCGGCTTCTTCCATAGAAAACACTCGGCCTGCGTTCCGTGTTGCGCAGGTCGATGCCGAGCTCTTGGATGAAGAGCTGCTGGAGCTCCTCAAGGGACAAGTCGGCGATGCCCTCAAGTACTATGCCGGCGGACATCTCAAGGATGACTGGTCTGCAGAGATCATGCTGGCGCTAAGGGCCATCCTTTTCAAGCTTACGGTCTGGGACAACGATGCGACGTACGGAGCGGCCCTGCAGAACCTCAAATACACCGACGCCAGAAAAGGGGGCCCTGTGCTGGCACCCCCGACGAAGCTACAGAAGTCGCTGTACGGCCTTGTCACAGTGTTTGGAAAATATGCATGGACTAGATGGGAAGACTGGCTCGTAGACCAGGACGATGGATACAGCGATCCCCCCCCTGTGGTGCAGAGGCTATCTCGATTGACGTCTGGGCTGACAACAGTCCACTCTGCCGCGGCATGCGTCTCCTTTCTCATATTCCTCTTCCGCGGACAGTATCGCACGATCCTCGACCGTGTTTTGCGGATGCGGCTTGCGCCTCCCACAAGCCACGTCAGCCGCGAAGTTTCCTTTGAATACCTCAACCGCCAGCTTGTCTGGCACGCCTTCACCGAATTCCTCCTCTTCGTTCTGCCATTGATTGGCATCAACCGTTGGAGGCGATGGCTGAGCCGCACCTGGCGGAAAACCAAAGATATTGTCAGCACAAAACAAGTTGGCGATACTGCGAGCGGCGAGTACGGCTTTTTGCCAGAAAGGACCTGTGCCATCTGTTACCAGGATCAGAACGCTGCGGCGTCGTCAGAATCAGAAATTATGGCGGCGGCAGCATCTAGCGGCGTGATCGGATCGGCGCAGACTGATGTTACCAACCCATACGAAGCCATTCCCTGCGGATGCATCTACTGCTTCGTCTGCATTGCGACGCGCCTGGACCGGGAAGAGGGCGAGGGCTGGACTTGTCTGAGGTGTGGAGAACACGTCAAAGAGTGCAAGCCGTGGAATGGAGACGTGCTCGAGCCTTCTCGTAAATCAACCTCGACGAAAACGGTTGCGTTTTCAGACGATGTGGTGGGAGGCTTCTCAGACGCAGACGATGCCTCAGTCATATCTAGAGAAGAAGCTGTTGGTGCGGAGTCATCGAGGCATTGAGAGATACACTTGCATCGCCTTTACTCAGCTGAGGATAGGCTTGGCTTATAGACAAGGGATCAACATGGGGAATGAGTTCGATTCTGGGATTTCTTTGTACTTGTATAATATGAAGCGCGAGATGGTTTTTTTTTTTTTTTTTTAGAAAGTTTGGAAACTGGGTGCAAAATTTGGACACATTTACAGCGTAGTAAGTATTGCTTGTTTCGTTATACTCATGAAGTCAACAGCAACAAAGGGCCTGACCTTCTAGATTGGCTCCTATTCATAATAATACGCGATATGGGACAAAATAAAGTAAATACATAGACTCTTAAGAAAGAAACCATTGTGAGGTGTCTTGACTTACTTGCACTGGATACAGGTAGGTATAAACGAGCGTCCACTGCCTGCCTGGCGGCAAGCTTGAGAGCTCAGTCAGCAGGCTCTGGTAACCTTACCGAGGTGTGGAATCACAGCATCTTCGTCCGCTAAATTGCCCGCCAGCTTAGTGCTCTTGCTGTAGCGCTGTTAGTGATGTCATTACCGGCACACCGCCTGGTGGCTCCAGGTGGCTTCAGGGGTCCTTCGGCGGCAACCGCGTCATTCTGCCGCCCAGCTGTGCAGCAGTTAGTGCCAATGCCACTGACCTTTGCGCTGCGGATGGCCTGGATGCGCAGATTAGAGACAGCTTCGCAGTCCAACCACGAGCTGCGGCCTGTTTCCCCCATCATGCAGCTGCAGGGATGCCCCTCCGCGCACGAGACCCTGCTGTAGGTCATCTATACATATTGGCCTTTGTTCTCATGTGAGCGAATCGCATCCCGATCTGATCGCCTGTTGTCTCAAGCGCCGCATCGCACGACCGCGCTCGAGCCGCCGAGAGCTGTTTTGGTTGTGTAAACCGGCAAAGATCCAACCTCGAGAAGAGAGGCTCAAGGACGAGCAGCGTCGCTCGCCTCGCGCCTCTTTCTCTCTTGTGCATCCTGCGTGTTTGCCATGCCCACCTTCTTTCAGTTCACCCAAGGCACTGAATCGCGCGTGCGGCCTACAGACTCATCGCCGTTGCTTGGTCGCTACCGAGCGGTGCCTCCCCGCCCTGGCATCGGACAACGTCGACCGAGCAGTCCGTTGGGCTTGCTGTCCAGCCACTATGAAAACGGCCGTGACAGTATACATGTTGGATATGGAGCGCTGATTGTGGCCGAGATCGAAGCGGCGCGCCTGGGCTCTCTAGGCAACTCTGGCATCCGAGATGACGAGGCTCTGGCTGGCATGTCGAGATGGGAGCGGCTGTGGCAGGGATACTTCATCGACCTCTTTGTTGATCCAAGACCGTCGGCGGTGAAGCGCGTGGTGGACAGGTGGTGGAGTCGGTATGGACTGCTGGTTTTTCTGCCCGCGGCACTGGTATGTTACCACGAGTACTCTTCAAATAGGCGGCGGGTGAGCGCTTTTGCAGTTGCGCTGAGGCTGACGCTTGTGTAACTTAGGCCGTTGCCTGGTGCGCAGTTCCCTTCCCGCAGTACTCGTTCCCGGACGATGGCGACGATGGCGACGGCGAGAGCAGCGTTTGGCTGCGACTTACACGAACTGTGGCGACATTTGACAGCAAGACACCGGGTCACGGTGCGGCCCGCGTGCAGGTCAACTTTTGGTTCTTCCTGTTTGTTTACTATGGCTTCTACAACCTCAGCGCGTTGATCTGGATAACCAAAGTTTTTAACCTTTACAGATTGAACTGGTAGGTGGTAGCTGTTCCCATGGAGTGGCCATGCAGCTTCAGCTTGACTGACAAAACTCGTCATTAGGTGGCCGCGGTCTTTTGGATTTCCAGTCACAGTCTTTCTCTTAGCTATCCTGTCTCTCGCAGTACCCATCCCCTTGTACTTCATCCCTTGTACTCGCTTTCTCACTGCCCACAATACAGCATGGGTCTCGTGGACATTCATCATCATGGCCATGCCTGTCGCCATCGCTTTTCTTATTCTCATGACAAACGAACGACACATTGGGCTACGGCACTCTTTATCGGAAACACAGCGCATCTTCACAACCTCATGGTGGACAGGAGAGCCCGACTCATTCCCCAACCGAGAACGCCGGCGCCGCGATTTCCCAGACGATCTTTGGGAGCAGGATGTCTTGAGGGTCTTGCCTCCTTCAGGGCCAACCAGGGTGACACTGCGACGGCGATGGCTGCCAGCAAGCTTTGTGAGGTTTCTGTGGTTCTGCGTGGCGCTCTTCATCGGGCTGATGGCCTATGTTCTGGGAGAAGCGTATGCTGAAATTTATCTCCGGACGTTGCCGCACAATAACTTTGAAACTATTATATACGTCTACGGCTGGGTGGTAACAGTGCATTTGTTGGATGCCCTGACAGGGTGGGTTTTGGGTATCAAGGAAGGCGAGCGGGTAGGGAGCTATCCTTTAAGTTGGGTCTTTAAGCTGTTTGTCTCCCCTTTGTAGCTTTGAATGCGACGGAACCTGCCACTGACACGCTTGACCAGATATTTCATGTTAACCTATCAGACCTACGTCCGAGCTCTGTACGCCCGGCTTCGCTCGCCGTCGCAATTCATCATTCTTCAAATCTTCTCCTCCACGGGGCTGGTCATCATCTCGCCCATTATGATGACCCGCCTCTTTCACAAGATACTCACAATTCTAGGCCTTAGTGGGCTGACCTACGAGACTTATCAAAAACTGCAAACTCGAAACCTCTTCATCCGCTTTCTGGCCGAAAATACGTCCATGGCCACCTTCCTGGGGAGCATCTTGGTGCTCCATTTTGGTGCGAATAAAGAAGTGTATCCATATTTTGCCTTTGACAAGGCCGAGGATGAAACTCTTCAATATGACTTTAACCTCACGTTTTATGCTTCCATGGTTACGTGGGGTTGTGAGCTGGTGGCTAGTCTTGTCGTTCGAGGGCTGATTGCTCTTTTCTTCAGCATTGACGTTGGGTTGGAGGGTAAGTTGGATCTTGCCGTCTGGCCAGAACTGCTGCCTACGAGCGTGGCTGTGATTCTTCACGTTTTGCAGAATATGCTATTCTCGATTATACGTTTACAGTTTCGGACATGAGAACTTCTTCCATTTGGCGGGTAGGAAGTTAATTCGTGTGGGCGAGGAAGACCAAATTGTTTGAAACGGATTTGCTAAAGTTTATTGTGTATCATTGACTTCATTAAGCATGCGATTGATAAACCGGATAGATTTGTGTTCATTTTTTCTTCCTTTACAGCTACTTTGTCGCCTTTTCTCCTTTTCTCTCCTTTGCTGCTAACACAATAGTAGCCTGATACCCACTCAACGTTTATATAGCATTCGTTCTCTTATATATCATATGCTCAATTCTTGAAGTTTGGGAATAGAAAAAAAAATACAGATGTTTTCCGAATGCTCACGATTTTTAAGAATCAAGTGAAGCAATAAAAAAAAAAGGGTCAATGTGAATGTAGAGCGCTTTTTCAATTAATTCAAACCAGCTCGTAGGTGATTAAGTAAAAGTACAATAGAATATCCGCTCACTTTGTTTGACTTTTGTCTCTTGACGCATTTCATCAAAACAAGGAAAAAACAAAAGAGAACCCAATATACTAATTTTTGAATGTAATGGTCTTTGTTCTCACCCACTCATCGAGTCCAGCCGTTGCGTTGAAGCGCCCAAACCCACTCGACTTGGTTCCTCCATGGGGCAGAACTGCTTCATCGTGGACGGTCATGTCATTAATGTGTACTGCCCCGGACTCGATCCCCCTTGCGAAGCGAAGTCCCCTCTTGAGATCCTCAGTGAAGACGGCAGACGTCAGGCCGTACTCGGTATCGTTTGCCAGCTCCAGGGCCTGCTCTTCCGTCTCGACCTCGTAAAGGGCTACCGTTGGGCCAAAGGTCTCTGTCTTGTAAATGTCCATGTCGGGCGTCACGTTGTCAAGAAGGACAGGTCGCAATTCAGCTTTGCGCGCCTCGCTAACGCTGACGTCTCCGAGAAGCACCGTCGCGCCTTTCGAAGTGGCATCTTCGACGAGAGCCTTGTTACGCTTCACGGCCGTTTCGTTGATAAGGATAGCACCAGGGCCGTTGGAAGGGTACAGCTCGTTCACGGCGGCTTTCAGCTTCTCCTGGAACTGGGCTTTGACGTTTTTGTGGACAATGATGCGCTCGGTGGCCATGCAGGTCTGGCCGCCGTGGAACAAGGCGCCGAATGCGCATTTCTTGGCAGCCAAATCCAGATCTGCATCCTCCCACACGATGGCGGGCGCTTTGCCTCCAAGTTCGAGGAGGACCGGCTTGAGGTGTTCGCCAGCAAGTCTTCCGATGGCCTTTCCGACGTTGGTGCTGCCCGTGAAATTGACTTTCCTCACGAGGGGGTTGGCAATCAGTGCTGCTGTGACCTCAGCCGCACTCTCCCTATCGTGTGCAATCATGTTCATGACGCCGTTGGGCAGACCGGCCTCGTGGAAGATGGATATCAGAGCAAACATGGTGCGGGGCGCAAGCTCTGAAGCTTTCAGGATGGCGGTATTTCCTGCAGCAACAGGGCCGACCATAGAACGAGCAGGCAAGATATAAGTAGCGTTCCTAGTTTTCAGGTTGTGAGATGAGGCGGGTCAGGAAGGCTCTTTGTGAAAAGGGGCGGCGGCTTACCAAGGGGCTACAGACAGAACGACGCCATAAGGCTCTCGAAGGACAATTCCGCTTGTGTCAGGATCCATCAGCGTAGGGAACGAGCCTTCTATGGATGAGATGCGACCAGCGGCATCTCTGGTCAGGTCAGCCGCTGTGTTGATGTTGAAAAGAGCCCATGGCGCAGCAGCTCCCGTCTCGCTTGACATAATCTGGGCCAGTTCATCGCCCTTCTTTTCAATGAGGTCGGCAGCCTTGAGGAAGATGTCACGACGATGCGACGGCGTTGACCTTCTCCATGTCTTGAAAGCCTCGGCTGCGGCATCGACCGCGGCATCTGCATCCTCGACAGAGGCAGATCCGCATCGATGCGTCACCTCGCCAGTGACAGGAGACACAACGTCGAAACTCTTCTTGGCATAGTAGTTGTTGCCGTTGATGATGAAAGGTACTGTCGGCGTATTGTCGGTCTCGGACCACGTCTTACCTGCGGCCCGGCTTTGTTGGTTGCGAGTTGCAATAGAGTGAAAAGAAGGCCCTTGTCTAAGCGCAAAGCCGTTGACGTGGCGCAAAACAAAGCGCGGGCGCAACAACGATGCCTGTCGTAGCGACATGTTGATAAAATGTTTTCTTTTCTTTTCTGCTCTATGCTCGTGTGCAGCTATATTATGCTCGTTTACTCCAACTTGGTGATTATATATTTTTGTCTCTTAACTTCGACGAGCGACAGAGTTTTGAAGGTTGGCGATCTACAATGGTCTGTGCGGGGTCAATTTCGACGATCCAGTTACGAGAAAATTGGTAATGTCCGCTGTGACTGAGACACTGAGCAAGGCCAGGATCCTTTCCACTTCTCCGAATATTGGAGGAAGTCTCTTTTGAGTAACAACTGCTGTAGTTGATAGACCCTTGTAGAACGTTGCGCAACCGAACGTTGCGCAACCGAAAGAAAAGGGTTACATCGAGTTTCTCTTGGCATTAGTCGGTAACTGTGGGGATTTCCGAAGGAAAGCTGGAGTTATGAGTCGTTCAATGATTGCATGATTCGTTCGGTAATCTGCGAGTCGACATATCCATTTCGGCGGCCATAGTTGCTTGTTTTGTTCGTTTCCTCATTTCCACTGTTCCAGCTTATCCGGCTCTAGGAACGGCTGAGACACTGTTGCGGTGTTTATCCGGATGACTTCTAGAAGAGTGTGTAAGTGACTGAGCATTGTGCACATGAATCTGTCTACTGAGGAAACGCGGTTAACGCAGCACCAACCAGGCTCCGGCAACGTGCCAGGAAGAACAAATTGAACTTCGGATTTCGTTTTGGGCGGTTCTATGCGAACCCCGTGATCAGGCACCGGCCTCAGCACTCTTTTAACTGGTGGTGGTGGCGTTGGTTTGTGATTCATCTTGATGACTCAATGTAGCGAACAGCGTCACTTTTCATCAAACAGGCGGGCCAATGAGGTCTTAAAATAACAGCACCAAAGGGGTCAAGGATGAGGTCTGCCTTATCATAACCCCACGCTTCCAGGAGAAAAAAGAGGAAAGCCGGGACGAACTAGAGATGCCGGTTTAGAGTTGCGCCAGTAGAGGCCCGAGACAGGCTACAGTCGATCCGCCAGTGTCTTACGTTTCCGATAAGCGATACGCTTGCCCAAAGCTAATCTCACGTTTATTAGGCACAAGACGATACGGTCTGTGCAATTCGCCGATGTGTCTGAGGCGGTGTCAAAATACCCACGTTGGGCTGCTGAGACAGGCTCTGGATTTGCCTGGTGAGATGGGGCGGGAATGAGGTTAAAAGCAATCTCAGGGGGCTGACTCCAGCTGGCCGGCACTACTCCGTATCTGGCAGATACAGCACAATTCCACGTGGAATGGAATGTTTAGGTTGTTTTGCCGGGGGAAAAAAGGAGATGCTTTGTTGGGAGATATACGTGTACAAACGATTTACTATATATAACACGGCAAGCATGGGTGAAAGGTACATGTATCAGTCAGTACCTACAGTAGTGTCATGATATGATATCACTGATGGCATCGAACGATAACTGGACTGCGCGCCTTAGGTAAGCTGTTATAAACCGGGTAAAAGACGGAATAACGCTGAGTACGAATTACGATAAAAGAATAAGGCACATATGCACAGGCATGTGGTGGCGTTTTGCATTTGAAAACATGAAGTAATTCTGTTGCCCATCAGAGCCAGTCAAGTCATAGGGTCTTAGTTACTACTAGTTAGCAGCATGGCAAAAAGGCAAAAAGGGCGTCTCGTATGTGCTTGGTTCATGTCACGAGCAGCAGTACATACATAGTAATAGTTGTAGGGAGCCTAGTATGGCTATTAGTATAGCCGCCGTTGTTTCTAACGTCAATGCAAGTCTACATTACACGTACATAGCATGTAGTATGTAGTCAGAAACATCAGAATGCTATCTGGCTTGATTTGTGTTTTTTATTGCTCATGCTCCAGCTCTGCTCGTTCCCCGTACTAGTATCTACTGTAGCACCTCCTGCTAATACTATAGCCTGCTAGTTCGACTGATCCTTCGAATTACATGCTTGGGCTTGTGTGTTCCGCTCCTCTGGCGCCTTACTGGGACATTTAGTCTAGTAGACAAACTCAGTAGCTCCGCGGCCGTTCTCCGTGCAGCGGCATTAGCAGCTGCACCTTGCCATGAGCCCGACACCCTCCACTGCCAGCCGGCCAATCAGCAGCCGCAATGGCTCGCCATGTCCACAGTCACAGTTTGACGACAACCCCGCTTCTGAATAATTCAGTCGAGCGCCGATTGGCTCATGGCCGCAGCCAGGGCTCGCTGGCCCGCTGTGGCTGCCACTTCTCTCCATGTGCTCCGCACCCTGCAGCATCGTCGGGTCCGTTTCTGGGCTTCCTTGGACACGGCCTGCAGATGGCGATTGGGGCGTCGTGAGCACTTGCATACGGAGGCGTCTGATGCTGGTACACCGGTTGCAGCAGGTGCAGAGCCAAGAGGCATTGCGACTGCACACGACCTCAGCGACGGGCAACGAGCACCGGTGGCTGGAGCGCGCACCGTCCCTGGGGTGGCGCAAACGGTGCTTGCAGGTTCTGGGCACAGGCGCTGGCCGTGCTGAGCTACAGCGCCGTGCCGTGTCGTGCTTGTGCTGTGGTTGCCAGCGGTGGGGCCGGCCACGGTTGGAAAAAAATAATCACGGAGACTGCAGCTGGCTGTATGTACATAGTAAGCCCGCCAGCGGCTGGGCCACCATGCCTTAGTGAGCAGCCGCCAGCAAGGTACCGTCGACTTTTCGCCAGGCGGCTACGACTTTTCCCTCCGCCATCACCAAAAAAGTGTCGGCCGTGCTGTATCCTCGTCCGCACTCGGCCTCAGCATCAGCCATTCTCCCCTCGTCCTGTTTCTTGTTCTGGCCGACGGCCCCGTTGCATCACCTCCAGCGCATCGCATCTGCCGCTGCTCCATCTCGCCGCAGCCTCGCGCAAAGCGCTCCCTCCCCCAGGCGCCGCCAAGTTGAATATCGCCTCTCTCCCAGCCGCGCCCCTCCATCCATTGATTGCCCTGATAACACCGGCCAGCAGCCTGCTGCCAGGACCGTCTCTTGGCTAGCCGACAGGCAGACTGAACACCCTCACGGGCAGCCACGCAGACAGGCATGGATGGCTCACCGGGCCTTGGTCGTGGGGCCGCCTCGATGAGCCCGACCAGCCCTGCCAGCTCCCGCCTGGGCAACGGAATGCCCAAGCGCAAGAGAAGCAACGGCATGGGGGGCCTCGAGAGCAGCCCCGGCAGCATCAACGAAGACGACCACGGCGACCATCATGAACACGGCGAGCACGATAAGAAGCGCCAGCCGGGCGTCAAGCGGGCGTGCAACGAGTGTCGCCAGCAGAAAGTGAGTCAGCCCCTCCGACCTTGGCATCTCCCCCACCATCTTTTTTTCAACACCGTTCCAGTACACCTCGGCGGCTTGAGGGGCCCGGCCTCTTCCCGGCCATTGCTTTGTCTGGTGGCTAATTCGTGGTGCAATTGCTGCGCAACAGTTGCGGTGTAATGTCGTCCAGGAACCGTTCCAGAGCTGCTCGCGGTGCAACCGTCTGAAGCTCGAATGTAAGATCGAATCAAACTTCAAGCGCATCGGGAAGCGATCCAAGCACGCCGAGATGGAGAAGGAGATTGACCGTCTGCGGCGTAACATTGCCCGGGCACAGGCTCAAGGCTACATTTTGGAGGACGACGAGACTCTCAACTCCCCCATGGCGCCGAGCACCGCGACTTACTCTCACACGCGAAATCCTTCCTTGATGGGGTCCGACGAAGCTGTATCCTCGCTCTTGCATCTGAAGAGAGGAGGCTCGTACAGCATGCCGCGCTTCTCACACGAGCTGGAAGGAGTCCAGCTGACTGACGAAGGGGTCACCAACCTGTTCAACGAATTCTTCGCCTTCTACCATCCTTTCCTCCCGTTCTTGAATCCCCAGCAGTCTCCGGACGTCTATCACCAACAACACCCTCTCCTTTTCTGGTCCATTGTCGCTGTTGCTGCGCGCCGTTTCAGTCCCGCCAACTGCCCGAACCTCATCTCCAACCTGTCGGGACCCCTAACTCGATTCCTGTGGACCACCATCGGCGAAGTACCTAGCAACTACTACGTCGTCAAGGCCATGTGCTTGCTCTGTGCCTGGCCGCTGCCTACGAGCACAACCTCGTCTGACCCGACCCACATCCTGTGCGGTGTCATGATGAAGACGGCGACTGGAATCGGATTGCATCGCCCCAACCACATCCAAGATTTCTCGCGAACATCCGTCGATCTGAACAAGGAGCAGCTTGCTGACCGTGTGACCACATGGGCGGTATGCAACATCGTGGCTCAAAATATCGGCACAGGCTACGGCCAACCTGCGTCCTCGCTGTATGACTGGACACTGGCCCTTCGACCAGGCGACGACCCGGCCTTGCACCTATCTCCCGAATTGGAGGCCCGCCTCCAGATCGAAAGATTCTGTGACAAGGTCTCCAAGGAGATGTACAGTAACGCCAGCGATCCCCGAGGAGTTGCCGGAGACGAGCATCGGGCAATGCTCATGAGGGTATACCGGCGCGAATACTCGGAGCTATATGCATCCATCATGTCCCAGCAGCTGGGCCCGATTGTGAATCTGCATTTGCGGGCCGCTGCCCTTCACATGAGACTGGCGGGATTTTTCGATTCTAGTAAGACACCCGGCTATCTAGATGACTTGCTGGGTCTGTGGCGGGCGACTGTCAGCTTTCTGGATGATTTATTAGAGGTAGACAAGGTCACCTCTCCGCGCGACAACATCGGCGGCGCCTTTTTGCTCTATGCGACCAACTACATGCAACAGATGTTGGTAGCTGCCGCCTTTACCTTGCTTAAATTGATGAGGTCTTTCTTCTCCAAGACGATTGACTTTCAGCGTGGGCGAAATCTCTTCCACCGCTCCATCCAAGCCATCCGAGCTACCAGCGTGGTGTCCAATGATTTGCAATGGCGTTTGGCCGAACTAATGGTGCAGATGTGGAACGGCGCCCGTTTGGATCAGAAGAACTACAACCAGGAAGACGATACCCCCATCCAGGTCGACGACAGCCTACAGCTCAAAGTACGATGCCGCCACAGTATGAGCCTTGTTTTCGATTCCGTTTGGCGATGGAGGGAGGAGTATCAAGCTTTGGGCAGAGGATCGCTCGAAGGTAAGAGATACGCTTCGACCTGTGGGTACACCAGCTGCAATTCAAACCTGCAGGATTTCCCCCTTTTCTTTTGTTCTCGACTCTTTTCTTGTTTAAACGAGGAGCCAGTCTTTTTTTCAATCATGGCTGAAATGAATGCTAACATGTCTGCTGTACAGCCGCCTTAAAACATCCTACGAACCCGGATTCGGCCAATGAGTCCTCAGCCGCGTCTTCGCAACTTGACAGCACGTTGATGCCATCACACACTCTTCCCACGCCCAACAACATGCTCACTGCGAATGGTGTACTAACACCAGGCGCCCCAGGCTTGACTGCCCCTACAACCGCACCGACCAGCATCATTGGAAATATGAGCTACGGCGACACCACTTATGACTTTTTCGATCCCCAGCATTGGATGCTGGATGGCCTCCTTGATTTCAACTATTCGTTTGTACCCCCTCTCGAAGGTGCATAGAGTGCCCAGGCTAGCTCTGAGGGGTCGGGAACCTAAATCCATGAGTCGGTCTATCTCTTTTTCTTCTCTTTCATTTACTCCTAGTATTTCCTTTCCTCAATTCCGGAGACCCTGTCCTAAATAGCACGTTTGCAGAGACGACAGAGAAGACCGCTAGTATTAGACCGGATTGATTTCGTGCTGTGAACAACCAGATTGCAAAAATGATATTTCATCGTGCTATTTCATGGAAAGGAGGGGGGAAGATTTCATAAGTGAGTTTGCGTTTTTATACCAGAGTGCCTTGCTATTACGTTTGAGTGTTGTTTCCTTTTTTCTCCTTTGCGGCATTTCATTTTAGGACCGGGGAATGCCGCGTAGACGTTTTTCTCGCGGATACTATACCCAGGTCTTTTCTTATCTTATCTCATCTTTTTCTTATATATATATATATACATATATATACGGCTACGGGAGTGTTACGTTTATATGTTTGCAACGAGATTTTTCCTATCTACTTTACTTCTCGCGAAAATTCTGGGGGCTAAGGCATTCATTGGATCTCGGGCTTTTTTTCTCTATCATTCTTTTCTCTCTTTTTCTTTTCTTTTCATTTTCGTTTTTCATACATACACTTTGGAAAATGGGTTCTGGCTGTGGCATACAGACGTATGGACAGATATGTAGGTAGTAGTATAATGAATAACTGTATATTGTATGGATTCTGGCGCTTTCGCTGTTAAACTCGATATATCTTGGTAATTATCGTGGTTGTGTATGTTGATGCCGCTTCCCCATCCGAAGGCTACCCTAGAAGCGCGTATGCTTTTTTTTTTTTTAAAAAAAAAACAGCGTTCTTTCACCAAGAGCATCTCCCTGTGCTAAATTAAAGGGGAAATTACTATCAGTTATGTCAAAGAATAGAGAAAGATTTTTGTTCGGATAGTCTTGTTGTAGCAGCGCCATTTAAAAACCCGACCGTATCGACTAAAAAAATCGCTCGTCCACGCATCGTGAAATTTCAAGAAAAGAGTCAAGAGTGATTACACCCATAATTGAAGAACAACGAAGTGTTTAAATCAAGCCGGAATGATAGGAGTATAGCATACAAGAAAACATTATATACATATATTTAGTATATATAGAACAAAAAACGGATCTCAATGTGAAACCCAGCGCATAGAGTAATCTCAACAGACAGCATGATCAAACAAACAAGAAGCCTTTTCTGTCATGAACCTTCGTAATGCGAACAGTCTCGCGTCACTTTCAAACAAGTTTAGAACTCTTATTTCACAAGACCTCGAATTTCCTTACCTGCTAGATTATAGCCGTACAAGAATGCCCGCTTACATATGCAAAAAGGCATAGGAGAGTGAGAGAATTTTACTCTTGCACGCCACCCATACTACCAACTGACTCATGTTCACGGACAGATCCCGAACTGTCTAGCTGTCAAAGAATGAGAAATCTATTCCATTGGAAATCCTCAAGTGCTACATCTATAATAATACCGATACGGAGCCCTTCTTTTTTTTTTCTTGGTGACTGCTATGAGGAAGAAGAAGGGGGGGGGGGGGGGAGGAGTAGCAAAAGCCAGCAAGAAAGCAAGATTGAATACTCTCGAAGTGTACGGGATAGCAATTCTAATCCCATTTGGTGTCTCAAGCCCAATACTTCTCCTAACCTATGGCAAAAGAACAAGAAAACGAAAAGAGGAAAGCAAGGGAGGTTATGCAGCTACTACTAACTAATTTTGGGCTTTGAATATTTCCATGATACGGAAAGAAATTATTAGCAGTTATCGACATTCCAATGAGAAGAAATGGACATATTACCGCACAAGAGTAACGATATTTCCTCACAGGACGCTAAATCAGTTTCTGCTGTTGGTCAGCCTGCTCTAAGAAAAGGGGCGGTCAAGTATGATTTTTTATTGCCTTATTTGAGCAATTACAAGAATTAGATTAAAACCAAGGCCAATCAGCTCCAAATGAAGCGGGTAATAAGAGAGTATGAATGCGCCTAAAGAACTTTATTACTCAAGCACCCGCAATCGTGTTGGTTTCCAAATTGCTTGTCATCTACTCCTCTCCCACATTTTTCTTTTTTTCCATTTTAACCGTTCCTGCTCCCAAAAGAGTCGATCCAAGCTTGTCTGGACCCTTTCTTACCTTCTATTTCAAGTAAGATTAAGTATGCGCCCGTTGGTCGTTGCTCTTTCGCCTCACCGCAGTGTTATGCGTGCTCATAACCAACCCTTTTACGTTTTGCCCCAATCTCTTCGTATTCTCTTCTCCAGCAGCTAAGAAGGATCTGTTGTTATGTTAGTCCTTGTGCCAACACTCAGATAACGGGAGGAACGGATAATGCCGCCAACAGAGTGAGCATCTTCCCTCTTCTGCATATAGCATACTGGCCAGATGCCGTTGTGATTTAGCTGCCGTCCCTGAGCTCGAGCTCGAGCTTGTAGCAGAGAAAAGACCTCTAGGACTCTTCCTCCCGATTTGAAAATGGCTGTGTCGTGGCGTGTCGTTGCGCTTGGCCGCTCACATGGGCCTCGTCTGGGCCGCGACAAGTGGCCGGCCCCAGGCGGCCCAAAAAGCGACCGCGATGGCGTATTCTCGCAGAGAGAGATAGTAGTAGACATATAAAGAAAGAAAGGCGCAATTTTGATTCTCCCTCTTTCCCCCCCTCCCACAGCTTGAAATCTGCCTTGATTGAGGCGCGGATCTTGGTCGGAACCGGATGACAGCTGGGGCTATCGCTCATGATCAAATGAGCATCTAGCTAGCAAACCATCCCACGCATCTGGGGTCGGGACCAGCAAATTTGCCATTTCGATCCAGCATTGTCAATGGACAGTGAGCTATTGCCTCTCCATCCCAAGATAAACTAGCTGGCCAAAGAGGTTCACACGCCCCTCTCCTCACTCCTTGCAGTACCTGATGGATGTTTTACTTCCCCCTAAGTCTTCTTTTTCAAGCTCATACGGAGTACATTCCGCTTGATACCGCTTGATAAACTGACTAAAAAGACGAAAAAGCCTCGGCCACATTGTGGCATGGAATACGAAGACCGGGTTTGATTTGCCTAAGTGGAGAGAGAATGGGGAGGGGGGCGTGCTGGCCTCCAAGTCTCAAAACGATCGAAGGACTAATTCGTGTTGTCAACCAACAGCAGCAAAAGAGCCCCGTCTCCATTCCTCACCAGAAGGGGGTAAAATGTAGAGACGAAAAACAAATGAAGGAAAAGAGGAAATCTCGGACTTGGGAGATCCGCGAAGAAGCCAACACGATCGATGGGGGTTTTAAGATTCGGCCTGATCTAGCGGAGACATTTGGATGGCAAGAAGTCGACGTTTGTATTCGAACTGCCGGCGGAGTCGTCGAACGCGACCCATCCTGAGATCCGGAGATCTACGAGAGATGGCGAAGTTGGTACCATCGTTCCGCTGGCTCCCGCGTGCTAAGCTTGTGAGGTGAACATTGAGGATATGATCTTTTTCGGCAATACTAAATAGGCATTTACAAATTCTCCCAGAGCCCGGTTTTCGAGGAGTCTTTTGTTTTTGGGATAACGCCACCGGAGCGCGAAAAACAGCCAACTTCTTGAACCGAGGGTGTGTCCGCGCGATATACGGAGCCTGCAATGATTGTGTCTTCACCGGAAACAGGCAGCACTGGATAAGTCTTGACTCTCAGGTACTCCCGGTTATTTGCCTTCTCATCATCATGGAGGTGAGTAGATACCTGTCGCTGATGAACTTGTCAAATTATTACGGATAGATGATGTGGCTAGCCAAGAAATAGACTGGTGACGAATGAGGAGAAGAGAAAAGGAGAAAAGAGCCATGATCATGCCTCTACTTGTAAGGTAATACAAGCAGCGTGAGGAAGATAGGCAAAAACCACTAAAAATCGATGATTTCAAGACGCATTGCTCACCCTGTGTCTCTTGATGCTGCTCTTCTCGCTTGGCACTTCCATGCTAGGATTAGGCCACTGGCTTTGCGCAGAATATGGCGTTCTCTCTGGCCCCCCTTTCCTTAGACGCCCCTGGGTATCTATAGATGCACACATGGCCGGCATTTGATGACTCGTTTCGGACATCTGTCATAACCGTCTCCCCCTTCTGTCTTTGGGATCACCTGCCCAGTATGGGTGTGTGTGTATTATATGATCATCATCGAGAGGACGGACCATATTTGATGGGCTTGAATACAGTTTCGGGCATGATGACATCCGCTGGCATGATCAGCAAAAGAACGTGGCTCTTTTGCAAGCAGCTAAGGCACGCGGGGGATGTGCAATGGGTGCTTGGGCTAAACATCCGCTATTGGAGTCGGCCTTGCGATAGGAAGAGAATTTGGCTTATCATTCCATTATAATGAAGGATATTTGTCGGTACGGAAGAGTTTCACCCCCTCCTTCAGGCCGAATCTCAAGACGAGGGCTTTATTCAAGGGGAGTGATGCAGCTTGTTTCTTCGCTCGCTATTGGTTGCTTCGGCCGTATAATGTTTGCAACTATCTCATACACTTGCATGGAGAGAGCCAATACGTGTGCATTGCCAGCATCACATTAGCCAATGCCAAGCCATGAACAGAACTGTCCCCAGGTGGGCTGCAAAAGTCGGCAATAACGGTGCGGCTTTTAGCCCGCGTGCTCCGTGAGAAATATGAACAGCACGCGCCTTGGAGGCTAGACCCCAGAAGATTTGCAGCTAAGAGATAGGGCATAGAGTGAGCTAGCGAAACTTGAGCCGCTCATGGAGGAGAGAAATGCCAGGATGGGCTCCTGGTTAGGGCACGGATGAAGTGCGGGAGAGGGCGTGGTGTTAGGGAGGCAAGTTATTCTCGTGCGTTCACGCTCTTATCCCGCATTCGGGCAGTCGACAGTGGCAACAGAAGTGCCACGGCCATTATACCCCTACGGGTGGACAAGAGGCTGTGAAAAATCAAGGGGCTAATGGAGCCAAGATGCTGTTCTAAGGCAGTAAAGAACCCTGTATCCGGCATCATCCCAGTGGCCATTGTCTCCACGCGCATGGAGATGGAGGGAGCGAGCTAGAGTACTAATGCGAGGAAAAGTATCTGTACCGTCACATAACCTGTGGTTACCAGCTCATCCTGGCTTGAAAGGCTAGGATGTGAATGGATAAAGACACCTGTACGCGCCTAGATTCCGTACTTGGATTCGACAATCTCTATTTCTGGGCCTAGGCAGCGACGGCCTGCTGCTGTTCAACGCTTTGTCAGTACAAGGCGCAAATTTGCTGAAGCCTACGGCTACTGTGGACGAGCCAACCGTGGCAATTCTCGACACTTCCGGAACGCGCTATTTCGGAGAAGTACCTAAGGTGTGGGAGGGCAGGACAAATTCTCACTCCGTACTCCTCATTTAAGGAGAAATTAAGACTAGCTACCAGGTAGTAATGTGTGTGGCTCACCTATCTATAGAGTTCAGTTGAGAACAACCTTTGTTCATAGACAAACATGTAATCAATTGACGTATCATGGCAACTTGAAATAAAATTTGCCTGCTCGGTAGGCAGATTCTGTTACTAAAGGTGAGTTCAAGAAACTTGTGTAAGGCGGTATCGAAGATGATCGAAAAGAGACGATATCGCCGCTATCCACAGTCATAAAAATATGATCGTAATGGCCAACCACGAGGACTACCTTGCTTTCGGAAGGTACAAAAGAGGGCTTGCAGGTAGCGCGCTGGTGTGCTGTAGGAAGAGGGGAGAGGGGAGAAGGAAGTGCCGAAATCAGGATGGATGAGCCAACAGCACAGCTAATTGAAAATCGATTACGTGACCCAGTGCTCACCCACTATTGACAGTGCAGAGATAAAGATCGACTGCTAGTTGCCGGTAATCTGACGCCTTAACGCCTTGCGGCGGATCGTTTTATGCCATGCCGTTTGATTTCCCAAGTCTTCAGTACCAACAAGCAGCTCAGCCATGCGAAGTTGACGTTGCCGCTAGAGAAAGGTCCAGAGGAAACGCAGATGGGAAATTGAAAATGAGCACAGGCTAGTACAGAGATGGGACATGGGACGAATCGAACTAGCCAAAACAGGCCCCAACAGCCTGCCAGTGTCTGGATTGCTTACACGCAAGAATCGCCTAGATCGCGAAAGGTCACATACAGCTAGCAAGTTGAATACAAGGTCGCCCTCTGGTGTGATCGTTGGGGGCCTCGCGGCTAATCGTAGATTCATTAGGCGCGGGAGCAGCAGTGAAGCCGCGGCAACGTCTGAGAAACGCAAAAGAAAGGGGTAACGTCGCCGCTTAGATGGTTGCAAAACCGGCGCTTAAATGTGAAGAACAATGGTCATCAACAAACACGAGTATCCGCTGGCGAAATAGCCGCCGAGTGTTCCACTTGATGGATGAGGAGAGTGAGCCGATGTGCCGAGGGCGTGGAAAAGTGGTGGAAAATTTGAGCGACAAGAGGAAAGTGCGCAGAGCAAAACTCATTCGGCACGGTGTTCAGAGATTAAGTTGGTACTCAGCGTTCCGTACCGATGATCAACAATACCTAACAAACAGGCCGAATTACGCAAACAAGGAACAGCCGGGGGAGAGGTCAGGGGCAAGCCAATAAGCAGAAACAAACCATGTAGTCCAAAGAGTGTTTGTTTTACCACCCCAAATTGGCAAATGATATGCGAGCAATGGCAATACTTAATGGCGCCATGTGAGATTGCGCACTGCGAGATGGCTCAATGTAAGGCTGACTTCATTGTTTTGGGAGATTGGGGCGAAGCAGAGTAAGGCCGCAGAACAAGGCCGCAGGTCGAGTATGAGCGCAGCAGCACTCGTGTATGGAGCATCTGTGGCGCATGTTCACGGTTTGAGAAGTAAGAAAGTTCAGAGAAATACGAGACATGGTCTTCCTCTTCCCTGGAGACAATGCTGTAATCGCAAAGGAATAGCCTAGTCTCCCTAGGCATCTCGAGGAGCAGAGGCCACGAATGCGGCACCGAACACCCCACCCAGTGCTAGCAGTTGCATAGGTGGGTGGAAATAGAAAAATGCTGTTGGTCAAGAGGCCGGTCAGCCTGGCAAAAGGAGGGTATGGTATGGACGATTCTGCGTTGGCCTTTGAGCGAGCAGGTAGGTCTGTAGTTACAGTGCAGGCTCGCTTACTGCGCTATCGGTACCCAATCGCAGGTGTTTTCGTGGCGGGTAGACGCGCGCGTAGGTGTGCCGCTTGCGGACTAGCGTAAAACACCGGAGAGGTCGCCCGTTGGCCGAACAAGGGCTGTGCGGGCAAGTACAAGGATCCCTGGTTTGTGGAGGGGGCGTGGCTATTGTTGTCCAATGCGGATCGAGAAGACCCTTACTAGCGCGTACCGACGGGACGGATCGCACTATGTTAGTGCACATTAGCGCAATGGGCCGCGATGCCATCAGATGAGTGGCCAGACGCGGGGCCAAACTCTGCTGCGTCGTCGCAAGAACCAGCACGCGGGCGAGAAGGGGAAAAAAAAAAAAAAATGAGAGCGAGAGGCCTGCCCCCTTGCCTGACTCTCAGTCCCAGTCGGATCATCCACAGCCTGGGCCCATCACTTTCGTCCTCAATGACTCCCTTCCCTAGGCCGGTGATTCACTCATTCCGCTTCGGATTTTGTCCTCCGACTGCGACGTCGTGCTACCACCACTCATAATTTGTCCAGATAGGGGCATGGAAACGGTGTGGCGCCACTGCCCGGCCTCTGTCGTCAGTCAGCGGTCATCCCTCCGCCTCCCCCATGTTAGTACTCCGCATTTTGTGATGTGCCGTTACTGGAGTTGCGGCAAGATCATGTTGGACAGCACTGTAGAGCCAAAGCGGGCAAAAGAGGGAAGCTTTGAGCGTTGGGACGATCGCATCGGCAGTGCCCTGAGGACCACTGGCTCCCGTTGCTGAGGCAAGCTCAAGCTCTACAGCGGAAGCAAGAGGCACACTCCAACTGCCTGCAGCCGTCTGCTCAGGGCAGTGGAGCCGCATATCTCAAGCTCATGCATCTCTCTCGGCCACTGCCATAAGGAGCACGGCTTCCTCTCGGGCGAATTCCGCCAGAGCACCCCATGCCGAATGGTTTGCTGCGGCCTAGAACAAAAGTTCAACATTGCCTCGACTCCGCTGCGCGAGATTTGAGAATGTTACGGTCCCGACAGCGTGGAAATTAAGGCAAGGCCTCGTGCGTTCATACAACCTTGGACGGGGGTATCGGGCAGCTTGTACGACGCGACCTTTTCGCACTCAAGCAATGCGCTCAGGTGGACCGCTACGAGTGAAGAGGACTGCTTCGTACTCTACTCTCCAATGGTGTTAAAACCCCGACTTTTTCGTTCTCTCACGCTTAGGCACTTGACTCGATCAGTGGTGACGGGCTTAGAGTTCTCGTAGGGCAATCGGAATTGGCTACCGCCTACACTGAACTCTGCTAAGTGGGACCGGTGTCTTGCCAGCTAGCACTGCGTATTCTGTCAAAGGCTGTTCGACATCTCGGTAACATTTGTTTCCGAAATTTGGCTTGATTGTTGGAAAGTGCACTGGCCATGGCAGAAGGAGATAAAGAGCCAACCACGGCAGCAAAAGCGGCAGCACCAGCCGTTCCCTCTATCCTGAAGAGTGGCTACTGTCTCTCATGAAATTTGCTCGAGGAACAGTGCTGCGCTAGAGGCGTCAAGAGTGGAAGCAGTGCGCATGAGCACGGAGCGTGGCGTGGCAAGCTTCCGTTGCGCTATTTGCCTTGGCATCTATTGAAAATACATGATTGCCACCTGACAAGCCATTGAATGATGTGATGTGATTGAGTGACTGACTGAATGGCTGAGTGAATGGGCGAGCGGCACATTTAGCATTCCCCTAGCTAACAGCTATGATCCACTGGATAAACAAGCACACAAGCCGCGCCCCCTTTCAGGGACATCTCGTCGATAGCTGCTGATCTACCGGCCGGAGCCAGGCGAGAGAAAGCGGGGGAGAAGAAGCGTCGATGAACGGACGTACGAAAATCGTAGCCGGCAGATTAGATCCTAGCATCTCTGTGAGCTATTGTGAAGCATATGCCGCCACCATCCGAATCGACATACAAGTAGCCGTCGGTCGAGACGGGTATCAACTTTGTATTTGAGCGATCGTCTTCCTCTGCGCGAATTGCGGGTACGTTGTCGGGACACACAAGTCGGGGACAGCTTTTGCCTCAGTCCCTTCTGATGCTAATATGCTTGGATCCGTGAAGTAGAGGCTTTCGAGACTTGTAGGTCGCTGCGCACGGCTGCAGACCGAAGCTAGCGGCACCGTCAATGAGGTGCTAGGCCCAGAGCACAATCCAAAGCGTGGCCCGGCTTAGGACGACGTGGCTCCCTCTTGTGGGATAGATTCTGCGCTTGAATTTAGGCCGTGTCACGTCTGCTGGTCGGCTCCTAGCAAACTCTTTTAAGCCCTCGCAGAGTGTTGCTTATTTGGCCATGACCAGCTGCGGCAGCGCCGTAGACCGAGATGAGTCGCTAGAGTTTTGCAAACCTCGATTGACTGATGAAGATTGGCTCCAAGAGTGACGACGATGTGAGCATGGCCGGCAGTTTGGGCCGCACTGTGCTGCTGCGATGTGGTGCGCGAAGGCAGTGCTGCGGTGCGGCCCATTCAAGGCAGACAGAGAGAGGAATTGCTTTTCACACTGCACACTGCACGCTCCATACGGAGGTACTAGCAAGGTAGATACGAAGCACTTCGGCAAGGGGACCTGCCAACTGTATTTTGCCCAGTTCCTGCAGTTTTTGAGATGCTCTGGAGTAAGGCAAGTACTAGGTACGTACTAAGATATTAGCGTGCGGATGTGCGTACTGGCTACCGCTCGGCTTAGTAGGCGGTGTCACATTCCAGCAAGTACACAGAACCTCAGCGTCTTGGCTGAGAAAGACAGCGCGCTAGACTCAGCTGGGAAGACACTTTAGCCAGAGTAGCCCTACTAGGTCGAACTGGAATTTAGACCAGCGAATGATTTCCAGTTCTCCACCGCCCGGCGGATCCTGGATTCTGCCACTTGAGCCATTGAGGCTCCCTCGCATTGCCATCATCATTCACCTCATTCAGAGAGCTGCAAGAGGTGGCTGACTAGCACGATCTCGGCAATCGCGGGGTCTCTTTTGCTTTGGATGGCTCATGCTCTATGCCGGGGTTTTGCATCTGCCAGCGCACTGCAGTCTGCCTTCGGCCTCTCCCTCGTGGCGACTTGCTCTGCCTTGGATACGATACTATGGACTATGGATCTTTCCGCCTTCCCGACATCGAACATCCCTTGCAGCCTCTATGCCACGGACCTGGCTGCCAAAAAGACTTTTAGGCTTCAATCCTCTTCTCAGAGGCTGCGATGGAGACCTAGCTGGGAGACTTAGAGACTATGATATCACGTCTTACAGCAGCGGATGTGTCTATCATAATAGCTTCTGCCCGCAATGCGGTCATGGCCCGATGAGTGTCTTCACATGAACAGTGGGGATAGATCTAGCCCCTGCAGGAACCATCTTTGCGTAAATGTATTTTGCTCCATAGCAATTACGAGTACATCACCGACGGACTATTTCAAAGCTGGCATGGTTTCTTAGATATGTCAGTGGCTCGTCGAAGCCCTTTCATCTGTTTCGGCTGTCTCTCCATATCCACTGGCTACTCTTGGATGTATAATTTTTGCTTGCTTTGATTGTGGCTCACGAATGCATCTAAAGTTGACAGCAGGAACAGCCGTTCAAAGCTGAATCTATCAACTTATCGAGCAATGCCAAACGGCAAAGTCAGGTACTCGGTAGATACTCTGATATTGGGATATACCTACTTACTACACGCAGTCGCCCATGCTCACCGACCGCCGCCGAGGGAAGAGATGGACGAAAAGGCACTCAGTTCCCTCTGGTCTAGTGTCCCCGCTGCTATTGATTGTTCGCTGACTCTTGCCTGGTCTCTTTGAGGATGTCCTTTTTCCCATCTAGTCGTATCCGGCAGCGGCTTACAAGTACTACATTTCTATTGTCAGGTGTCCACTGCATGCTTTTGATTTGCACTCATCGGACTAATTGCAGTACGTACTTCGTACAGATGGCGGTGGTGGTGCAGCACTACATGCATACAAAAAAGACAGACTCGGCATCTCCTTGAATCTGCTATATCTACACCCCCACCTGTTCGCTCGCACGCCCCGGTCTATACGCCCAGCAAGTGCCCAATCTCCAGTTCTGGGTGTTCTAGCCTAAGTTGCGTCCTCGGCGGCTATCTCATGCACGGCATGACAGTATCTGCCACTGTATGGTACATTGCGACCGCAGCCCTGCCTGCATCTACAGGGGGCTTAGTTCGACGCCATACGACTCTAGCTGCACTCCCGACCCCCTGGTCGATTGTTGACCAGGGGGGAGAACAGCGATCCCCTGTACCCTAGGCCCACGCTGTGACACTTTGCACTGATTTTCCGTGTGCTCGTCGACTCACTTCCCTGCAATGCTGGATGCTACCTGAAAGGCTGCCCAGTGTTGATCTGAGCCTCCTCCATTTATACAAAGACTCTTGCCATCTCTTCCTGTCTCATCCCCCTCACAAGATTCTCTTCTTCATCCACCACCTCAGCACCTCTCGTCTTCTTCCCCTGCCAGAGCAACAGCACCTTCGACCATCCATCGCCGCGCCGAAGGTAATAAGCAGAATCCTTCACCTTTGACGGCTCTTTGGTCATTGCAAACTGTCCACCCCTCATACCCGCCTTCCAGTCATCTTTCCCCAAACAATACATAAACGTGCCTCGTTACGAACTCCAAGCGACACAAGTCTCTTTGTCCCTCTTGCTTTTTCTACACGCCAGCTACTATACGAATCAGCTTCAAACAGTTGGTTAAGCTGATACCCTTTGCTACCCTTTGCATCACCGCCAGCATTTGAATAGTCGGCTTTTGGCAAAGGACTTACCTGCCAGATCCTGCAGCTGCATTGCCATTACACTTGTTTTCTATCCCCCCTCCTCTCTTTAATCGAAAAGAAGTGCTTGGCTGGTTTTTCATAACGCCCAAGGCACTGTACCTAAAGCTCCACCTGCATGAACATGGTAGAGCAACAACAATACATTACTGCAGGTCTACCACACACAGGTGACCTAGCAGGATCTCACAGCTTGTCTGACGACAGATCCATCGCGTCTGTGGGCACTCCAACCTTTCCAGAAGTGACGCCCTTCTCAGCTGTATGTATTTCCCCCCTTTCCCCCGAGAGCCCGCGCTCTTGAAAAAAAAAAATGCATCATTCGCCGTTTTGCACCTCTTTTCCACCCTGTCTTGTCCTGGCTCTTGCAATGGCTGCAAGCTTACCAATCGTATTTTTTACATAGGTCTCTTCTTTCAACATCCCTGCTCCGTGCGACTCGAGCCTTCTTACTCCCATTTCTACCACCAGCTCTCCCCCACTCCAACAGATCCGTAAATTAGGGGCGCAATATCCCCCTCCTCCGAGCACTCCCTATACACAGGTGCCAACCCCTCCCGGAAGCTCAAAGATGTATCACCAGTCGTGGAGTAGCCAGTTCGACATGCACAGTCAAAGCGCACAGAGCAGTCCCCCAATGAGTAGCCATGTGCCAGTGGCACAAGACTTCTACATGGAAGACCGCCGCACGCCCAACCCTCCGTCGGAGCCCTACTACGGGGCCTTCAGTGTATCTGACGGCCCAGACGCGCAGTCAATCCACAACCCGGGACCAGCGCCCTATTATGTCAATATGGGCATGGACAGTCAAAACTCTATGCTGATGCGCGACAGTCGTCAGCTCCCATTGGATCCGCACCCCCGTGACATGGAGCGCGGTCCTCATCCACCATCCCTTCTCAGCCAGCAGCACAGTTCGCACTATCATGACATCCGGCGAGCGAGCACAGATGATCGCAGCTACAGCAGCCGTGCCGACCCTATTCGCCGCTCTTCCAGCGGCTCGCCTCGCCGCCGCCCCGCAACTCAGGGCAGCACGCGAGTGAAGAAGTCAAGGTCATCAAAGAGGGGCGCCTCGCATCGCGGTCAGCAGCAAGCTGACCCTAGCGATGAGCATAAAAACTGCTTCGGTCAAGAAGTTCCTCCCCCAATCAAGAAGGGATGTCCCGAAGAAGAGAGATGCATCTTTGAGTCTCGATGGCGACACCGCTCCCAAAGGGGGCAGGATATGTGGGATAGCATCCAAGCCGACTTTACCAAGAAGTTTGGCAAGAAGCACGGCAAGGAAATGCTACAGATGAAATTCAAGCGCGGTCGTTCCAAATTCTATGAATGGCTTGAGCAGGATGTAAGTAGACTTTGCTTTTTCCTTCTCTACCCTGTTCCCAACGATGCTAATGGCATTATTTTATCAAATAGGAGAAAATACTCCGAGCCGCTTTCAAGAGATTAGAGAGAGAGAGATATCAACTCATTCTCAACTACTTTCTTGAGATGGGCGGGTCCCGAAACATGCTTCTAAGCGCCAGCGACATCGAAATCAAGATCGTCAATGATCTCAAGTGGGAAGAGGCGATTTACATTGAGGGCTTGGACGAGTGTATTCGCCGACGCCGCAAGTCCATTGTCAAGAAGCGATCCGGTGGCCGAGGAGAACCAGGTGGCGACATCGCCGTGAGCGACGACCTGTTACGAGTTTCCCAGGCCCCTCATAACGAAGATGAAGTGATCAATCAGGTATATGCCGCACGACGAGATCGCTGGGACGAAGACATTGCTTCTGTAAACGGCGAAATGATGAATGCCCATTTATGGGAGAACCGAGCTCCAATCAAGTTGGAGAATGATACGCTACTTCCTCCGTCTGAACATTTGGCACGCATTAACGCTCACCCCGTCGCCAGCCCTTATATTCCACCAATATCAGTGTATCACCAGCCAAATTCAAAAGCGGCGTGATGCGGGAAGTGCAACAGCTGTCAAGGTTAAAGGGGATGGGGCAGAATCGATTGAGATCAGCCGGGGGGTGGGAAAAGGAAGATTTTGGGGGGCGAGGGTTGCCCGTCTCTCTCACTCTCTTTCTTTGTTTTACTGTTTAAAGAACTCCAATCTTCTCGACGAGGAATCATCACTCTTTTTCTTTTTCTTTTCAGGATATCACGCATTACTCTTCAAAGATCTGTTTTATCTATTCGTCTTGAATGCTTTTAATTTCTCATCTGGTCTTTGTCATCTTTTTTCATCTTTCTCTGGTTGATGCTGGTACAGCCAAAGGTTTGGGGGGAGGGGGGGGCTTGGGATGACAAAAAGACGGATACAAATCTCACGATACTTTTTAGATGCATAATGTTTTGACTTGCTGAATTTACATCGCATTGTCTATAGGTAACCCAGTCATTGAACACATGAGGAATGTATAGTATAAATAATCAATACAACGTTGAGTTACTACGATATCATGCTTGATGAGCGCAGGAAAGCCAAATCTTTTGAGTATAAGTCTCTCTTGATGAAGGATTTCTATTGCTACTTGGCCCCTGTGTGCGACAGCCCACAAATGGCATGCAGTATGTACATCGGCCATAAATAGCCAGGCGCACACGGCGATAAGGGCGGCTTGGCGAACGATTGCTACAGGCCGGAAGGCGAAATTGTGGGCCGCAGATAGCTCGCAGTCTCTGCGAGCTGGCACTGCTAGGCCATATTCTACGACTCTGACCAGGTGGGTGCTTAGGTGTGTGGACGACGCTTTCCTCTGTCTTCTCTTTTCCTTCCACACACGCCTGTGAATGCCCGAGAACCACCGAGCAAAAGGTACTTGGCGTGCAAAATGGATTGCTCGTACTGTGCGTAACTGCATATTGTATCGCTGGACGCTGTGCACGACTGCATCTAGGTATTGTTTATTTATATTGTGACACGGCTCCAGAGACCTAGTACTAAGGAGCTACGAGTACTTAATTCAGGTACCGTACCCAGACACACCTACTGCACTATACCTTAGGGACCTCAGGTTGGTACGGGTAAGTGGACGGCCTCCCAACAAAGGTCGCCCAACCTTTAACAGCAGCAGTTATTATAATTCTTTTATATACATATGAAAATAAAGGGGGAAAAAATAAAAGAAAGAGAGAGAGAGAGAGAGAGAGAGAGAGAGAGAGAGAGAGTTAAAAGAAACAGGAAGGAGGGAGGGAGGGGAACGAGAAGCGCGTGAGAGGGGATGAGCAACCAGGCAAAAACATAAAGGAACGAGAAGGCTGCGGCGCCATGTTTTATCGTGCCAGGGATACGCAGCGGTCATCGACTCAAGCTCTTTCCTTCAACGTTGCCCAACCGGGTCGCATAGACAGCTGGTCTGGTCTGCGGCTTTACCGCTTTATTCTCTTTCTCTTCATCGCCGTCTTCTTCCGCTTCTGCTTTTCTTCCATTCCGTGCACCCTCGCCCCACGCAGGGCCTCGCACCGCAATTTCATGCTGTAGCCAGCTTGCTCTTACTTGTACCTCCTCGCCTCTTCCTTTTGCCCCCTCCAGGGTTTGTGATGCAGTGTTTTCTGCTCCAGGCAAAGCGCGAACCCGACAGAAGGGAACTGGTGGTGTGGGCTCGTCGCGGTTTGGACGGTCAGCCCGTGTTGCCTGTTGCTATGCCTGCTGGGCGCGTCTTCTGTGTCCTGAATGGACAAAATGCCCTGCTGTTTCCACTGACCTTGCATCGAGACCTAGCCACCCCCGTTTTTGCCTACTTCGAAGTGGCTCGCGAGAGGAGAAAAGGTGAGATGAGACGAATGGTCGCGGATTACCATGGCTGGCATGTCGGCCATCCACAGTCGCTTATGGATACTTGAACGGTGCTGCAGCAGCCCTGCAAGACTCATGGAGGGCGCATTTGTTTCCAACTGTTGCGAAAATGTCTCCAAGCCGGCCATACGGAGGCGCTTTGTTGGTGGTCAGCGAACACAAGTCCAAACTTGGGCTCTTTTGGCTGCAGGCACGCACACACACACATGTTCTTCGTTGTCGATACACAGTCCCCAGATGGAACACTCTTCGCTGCAGCGTTCTCACAAAGTACACCCTCGTACGAGTACGCCCTTGCTCCCCTGGTTCTTTGCCCGTTCCCTGTTACGTTATAGGCGGAGCGACAGTGTGTTTTTTTCACATGCACGCAAATACTATCCACGCCCCCCCTTCTCATCTGACTCCATTGACAATGAGACGCTAGGATTTACTGTGCTGTCCTTTTGAGTTTCTCACTGTCTTGGGAAGGGATCAAGGGCACTTTGGTCGCGTCAGAGGAAAAATCACTGCGAGAAATGGCTCTGTCAATCGTTAAATGTTTGGGTTGAAAATGCTCAGAAACTGGATTTGGCTGCCCGCACGATCACAAAACGTTTAGCTAGCATGGTTGGCACATGGCCGGCTTGGGATCGTGTCGCTTAGCACCGCCAGGGGAGCAAAGCCTTGGAACTGCTGGGGCTGAGGTCTACTGTAAGCTCGAAAATCATGATCGAAGTACTTCTAGTGCAGATGCGCTAGGCGGGAGGTAGCATTGCAGAATGCCAAAAAGAAAGTGAAGAAAACACGAGAGAAGCAGGGAAACAGAGAAAGACGGCCTTGAGCCCTCTTGTTTGGCCTATTCCTTCCCCCTTTCTTCCCTTTCCATCTCTTTGTCAAATTCGCATTCTTACATGTTGCCGTTAGTACTAGCACATGGCAACACAAGCAAGATAAAGTATCAGATGTGCCCACAATGTTCAGCCAGCCGGCGGATAAGGCGCTTGGGAGCCGCCTCGCCATCGATCTCGCTAGGACAACAGTTCGATCTGCCAACAGTCCACAAGCGTGTAGCCGCCGCGGAGATGAGCCTATCTTGAACGCGTGTCCGCTATTCGCATTGCGATTCCAACGACTTTGCCCCCCTCTTTCCATTTCGTTATTTGAATTTCCCCAATGGACCTTTTAGATTTCTAACTTCGCCTTGATTTTCGGGCGGGATTCGCGGATGAACACAGTCGCACTGTACGGCACACCCATACCCTGTCGGTCCCGACAGTCTGGAAAATGACGCGGTGGAAAGCGGATTCGTAATTTGGGGTCCACGCCTCCCATGAAAGTAGCGAACCAGGCGAGGACAGACGAAGGAATGGAGGGCAAGGGGCTGTCCCCTCCTCCTTGTCTCCCGGTTTCTCCTTCGACTTTGCGGTCTCTCAACTCTGAATAGCGAAGCGAAGTAAAGCTAAATAATTGTGTCAGAGCATAGCAGCGTGGCTTCGGTCAGGTAATGGCAAGTCGGCTAGCGGCCGTGCTTTTGGCTCGTGTTGACGGCGCGCCCCGTCCGGCCGCGGGGCGTAATGCGGAGTCCGTGTCAGCCGATGTACGGAGCAGCGCTCCAAAAAATCGATGATGGCACCGAAGCAACGCTTCATATGAGGTGCCACTCGAATGAAGGAGGAGCGTTATTTTGCATACCGTACAGGTGCACATGCTTCATACAGCGCACACAGGGAACAGTCCTATTCGATATCGTTCATCATTCATATCCATCAAGACGGTGCAGCAGTGCATTGAAAGTAGCATTATGTACAGGCACACTCCCTCGTATAGCAGGGATAGCGAAGCCAGCGAAGCAAGCCGTTCAATTTATCCACCCATACACACGCCCAGGGTACTTTACGCATCCAAGTAGCTACAGTGTGCTACGTGACAAGCGAATAGCCTGATTTCTGCTGTGCGGCTTCTCGAACGTCGTTCAAGGTTGCGATGAGGGCTGAAGCTTGCGGACGGTTCGCTACATAACAAGCTTATTCGGTCATACGAGCGACATATCCGACAACTTTGGGAGTGTATGAAGCATGAATATACGGCAACTTACGTGTATTGATTGCTGTGCGTGGAAGCCTACAGTCGGATAAAATCCAAGAAGGTAGAAATACAGGGCTGTCGGAAGAAAAACAAAAGCAGAGGCAAGAGGGTTGCAATGCGTTTGGCGTCATGACATCTGCATGTCTCCCCGACCGTCTATGCCGCAGCTGCTCGGGAGTTGATTTGGGGCCTTGGGTGTGCGTGACCCCGGGCAGTGAGGAGGTGCCGAGGCTAGACGGAGGAATGGTGCCATGGATGTGATGAGATTTGCGCAGAGACAGCACGCACATGCTGCCAATAGCACTGGTACCTATATTGACAGAGCTCAGATAAGTCGAGATGCTATGGTATCCACTTGAGCTGGAGGAAAGCAGCAGGTAAGCAGCAATCACATTTCAAAGTAGCCATGTGCACTGCGGTAAGCCCCATATGCGAATGGTATGTCACTGCATCCAATATATTCGGGATTACCTACTAGTAGTAGGTATGCCATTTCAGCACCGCCCTTGGCGCTGCTACTATGTAGCAATCTCCTGGAAACGTTTGTCTAAGTAACGGCGTGTCACAACATCGAGTACTTGGCATGGATGCAGAATGGCTTTAAAGCAATTTTCGTCTGAGTAGGACGACCCTCCGGCTCGATACCCAAGTATGTGAGCCTGAGTCTACTGCGTACATTGGCGCCACTTATATTCGATCTGGCTAGTCTATTCTGCTGTGCAAGCCTCGATTAGACAGATAGACCTAGCTAAGTAAGGTACCGACAACTTGCATGCTGCTGTGCGTCTATGTTCTGTACTCTGTGCCTAGACTCATGTATCACAAACTACTGCACCGGGGGAAGAGGGGCAATATTTTTTTTTTAGTCGGGCAAGGGCTCTTTTACCATGCAAACCGATGTGCTAAGCGTGAGGCTAGGTCCTTTCATTTATTTCAACCACACGCTCTGGAGACTGGCTCTCAAGCGATAGGGTGACGGTCATCGTTCGGCATTGCAAACATGTTGCTGCTGGTGATCAATTCTTCAGCGATGTGAATAACTTGTACCGAGTAAGCTGTCTCCCTGGAACCTTCACCTTGTTGAATTAGCGACGATTGGAGTAATCCCCGCCCGTTTCCAAAAATCCGGCGCTTGTCCTGTTGCAGCAAATACGCAGCATACCTTAGGTATCATGACGAATCCTTTGTATTTTGTCACTGTATGCTTGTTGCATCTAAGTACTATAATGAATGATACACACGGAATTGGCCCGCACAGGGAGGTGCCTCGTACAAAACTAACCCATTCCTCTCTAAAGTGGAGCAATTCGTCCGTCGCCTTGACCTTTGATACTACAGGGGTGTTTTTACCAGCTATTCACAAACAAGGATTTCCTTCTTTTCTGCTGAGCGCTCGCTTTCTAGTTATAACTTGACATACTGGGGGAAAAACAAATTCGATCGTGGTTATGGAACGGCAAAAACACCCTTCATTTGCATTACTGCCTTTAGGAGATCACTATAGCCGGCACTCGCCCGCAGTGCAACTATAGTTCTGAGGCTACTAGGGGCTGATGACAACAAGGGGGGGGCGTCGTCTTGGTACTCTATAGCAGAAGACATAAGGCGTTGTATAGTTACACACTATGCTAAAGGGAGATGGAACAATTGCCGAGATGTTTGATATTCGCTGCATAGTACTAGTACGAGATAAAATTCATCCAGATACCCAGTAGTATGCACCGGCTAATAGGCTGGGGAACCGAGGCCGCCTTATTAGCCTTGTAACTCGTTGCATTGCTAGCAATTGAGCAAGGGTAAACATACACGCTCAACGGCTTGACTTTACGCCTGCCAATGCCCATGTCGTCATACATGAGAGTATTGGATTTAGATCTGCAAACACTAGACACGAAAAGTAGCTGAAGAGAATACTCCCCGTGTATGTCTCCGAACCCTATTCCCTGACGACCATGAGCAGCAAGCACAGACCATTTTCCAAATCAGGTAATAAGCAAACATCCAAACGATGTCGACTAACAGTAGTAGATTTTTTTTGATGTTTTCAACTACTGTATACTACTGGCCGCTAAAGTAGGGGCCAAAGCCGCCCTGGCCTCAAATGTGAGGGCTGGCATAATTAGCCACAATTTACCACGACTCGCGTGCATGAAAAAGGGTAGTTACACGGCATTGACTAACAGATGTCGTTACCCAGATTAAGTGAAAAGAAGGAGAAGGGCAAGGAGAAGGAGAAGAAGGAGAGGATGAAGAAGTGAAAGAGAAAGAAGAGATTTTTTGAATATGGTAACACGAAATTGGGGGCGAAATTTCCGAACATATCACCGAAAACGTGCTTTATGGTGTCGGTGGCTTGCTGTGCCCCATGACTAGTCCAAGGTGTGGGAGAGCTGAGTCTCAGATTCGCTGTACTACCCCAATTGACTCAAGGTTGCTCAGCTTTTCTTTTTCATTCTATTAAACAGAATGTGGATTGATTGTTTGTTCAGCCCGTGATAGCTTGACGCCCCCTCTTTTGGACTCTTCAGCATCCATGAGATCTTTTGCTGCTTGGAACAGGTAGTTATCGCAATCTCGGCGACATAGAATCTTGGATATCCCACGTGGAGCCTAAATTGCTGATGGTGTGACAAGCCACGAGGCATCATCGCCGGTTGCCGAGAGCCAAGATGCCACCGAGCGTTGGCTTGCTTTGTTTCTTCATTTTGATGTACGCGGGTTTCCACAAGGCTGAGTGGATTGGCCCAATTCAAAAATGTAATGTTACATGTGGCAAGTGATTGCGAGTGTCTCAATGGATTTTGGTCTGTCAGAAAAAAAAAAAAAAAAAAAAAAAAAGGACGGCAGGGGGCGTTTCTCTCGTATGATTGGAGGCTTTGAGCATTGTTCNCCCATTGAGCTCCTCCTCCGCAGCACTATGGAGAGACTGAGAGAAGAAACAAGGGGAAAAAGGATTGATTCACGTCCATTCGGACAAGGTACGCGGAGCGAGACGCGGAAATATGGGAATAATGAGAATCAACCAGCTAGATCCGAGGCTCTCTAAACCCATTTCCTAGCGCTTGAGGCCGTTCGCACTAGGGGAAGCAAGCAAGCGGAAGCCGAATCCAATGGAGAGCCCTGGAGCTTCTTCCTTGTAAGGCAGTAGAACGAGAAAGCTTTACGGAGAGAGCCCCATCTCCCAGGTGTGTTCTTCCGAACCCTCCGCTCCGCTGTGGAAATAACAAAAACCCTGCTTGAAGATTGTGGTTTATAGCGTACTGGCTATGGGCGGCGCTTTAGCGTGATGATCTGGGGGTCTCAGGTTTCTCACGCTAAAGGGGGGGAGGTAGAAAGGCGTGGAGACTCTCCGCGTCTACTGCTTGCAAAAGGGCTCCCTTAGCCACTTCACCGTAATCACGGGGGGGGGGGAGAAGATCTCAGCGGCGTCTCGAGGCTTGGTTTTATGTTGATCTGTAGAGACGCCGACTAGGAAGAAGCCGAGTTGTGTCGTTCGTGGAGTAGAAGTTCAATAGTTGGCTTCACGGTGGCTTTGTGGCGGCTTAAAAAAAAAAAGGATCTTGCCACGTGGAATGGTCAAGATGAAAGACATTTCTTCATCTTGGCGCACATGTTCGTGTGCATGTGTGCTCATTCTTCTTTTGAAGCAATGACCAGGCTGAGGGTAGAATAAAAGCAAATAACGAAGCTGGATAGCTTCTCCTTCTGGAGGCTGGGCCATGTGGCTTCCCATTAGCCTCCTTGTCTAGGGGCGTGAAGCTGTGGCCCCATCCTTTGTTCTTCTCCCTTGAGCTGAGCTGACCTTTGTTTCTACACTTCCTTAGTACGTCTCAGTGTGAACTTGGTGACATTCATACTTTTTCAAGCAAACTCACTAAGGCATTATCTGAGCAAATCAATGGCTGCTTGTATGATTGAAGAAACATGGCGGCTGAAATGCAACTGCACTCACACCAGGAGTCCAGTTGATATCAAGTTTACGACAGAGCAAGCTTCAACTCTCACCATTGGCGCTTCAGCGTATGTCCTCTCGGAGGTAACCTCTTTCCCCATCCCCGTGGATGAAAATCTTAGGGCTATCCTCCGCGGCGTTTCGCTAGCGCTGGGTCTCGCGGGCCCTAAAGGCCAAGCTATTGTACATCACCCGTCGCCTCGCTGCATTCCGGAACCGATTGGGCTAGAAGTGGTTCGCTTTTTCGCAATTGCCCTACGGAACTACTGCTGTTAGTAGGTTTAGCGGGAGCAAAGGCTGCTAAAGATGGTTCCGGTAATACAAGTATAGTATGTACCAGGTTAAAAGTGTCTGATCTTCCGGGGCTTGAAGCCGTGCCGGGATTTGGTGCAGCTGGAGGCGCTCACTACAGCCGAGGGGAAAGCAGACTTTGGGATCCGTAAATTAACAGTGGCAAGGGATCTATATTCCCTTACAAGTATGACTCTAGCCATGTGCTGCAACTGCCGCTGAGTGGGAAAAAATATGAGCAGTCGCTAAAGGAGGGACGGAGAAAGGGGGTGGAGGGTGGAGGGTTTACCTAAACCACCACGATGATTATTAGTGGACGGAATATACAAGGCGAGAACATGGAGTACTCGTAGGGACAAACGGTCTCTTCTCCACAGGATGATCAACAAACCCCATAAATCTTCTATGTACGTATCGAGGGAACCTGTCAAAGTTGCAACAGGCAGACATAAGTCTGTCACTGGCCAGGCTTGATTTGCACAGAGCAGAAGCCTCTGTAGCGGCTGGCACTCGGAGGCTTCGTGGCCACGGCTGTCGAGGATATCATGGAATGCTATAGGCTAGGATAACTCTGAAAGCTGCAGCACGGAGTTATTCAAAGGGTACTGTCTGTCATTTCGCCTTCCTTTTATTCCAATACTCCGAATCTCCTTTTGGCTCCAGCAACTATGTCAACAAGGCTTCCACGACAATACAAGAACATGCGAATCACCGCAACGATCCACTTTGCGGGTCGCGAATTGTCCCTTAGCCATACGGGACGGAAGCCATATGCGGCTTGTGTCCAAATCTAGTCCTCGCCTGCCAAGCGAAAAGAAAAAAGAGAGAGAGATGAAAAAGAGCCACATCTGAGCGAGGGGGCGTGCTTTTGAAAAGTGACACGATTGTGCCCTGGGTTAGGGTGTGGGACATGTCAAGTTTTTCTTGTTTGAATCACACAGCCGCCTGTCTAATTTTTCTGCTCTTCCTGCTCTCGCCTCTTCTCCACCCCCCTTCGTGACGCCTACATAGCCCATCAGCCATGTGATCTGGAGCCGCCCCTCTATGAATGTGTCGTTCGTCTCGCCAAGGCCATGCAAAACCGCTCCCGGCCACTGCCAAAGAGGGCACGCCAATATTTCGTTGTATATTCGTGGCCACAATGGATGGACAGGTGTGCCTGGAGAAGAGGAAGGGGGCCCTTGTCGCGGACAGAAGGGAAGGACAAAGTACTATTTGGAAGGCAAAATACTATACACTTGTACCACCCCTGGCGGATGGTGATGTTGATTGGGGGAAACAAGAGCATGGGGCAGACAGCAAACAAATCAGAGCAGGAAGAGTATATCCGTCAGAGGACGGAACGTGTCCGTCGACGCTCGATCGGTCGACGTACAGATACAGATCCATCCCCCTTCGGCAGGGCCAAGCAGGCATCCGATCGCTTGTGCGAATGACGCTCCGCGCGGAAGACTGAAAAAAACCGGCGCCTCGTGCTGCAGGCAAGGGCATCGCGGACTGGACTGGTCTCGCCATGGCATGCCAATGCCACGATGCGTGGATATCGCCTAGCCGCACGTAGGGGAAAGAAGGCTACTGCCACTAACAGCAGTAGCGACACTCGCGCTGCATGAAGCCCTGCGCAGCTCGGCCATAAGTGGATGAGCCGGTCCATGATCAGCCTTCTAAACGCCCCCCTTTCCCCTCTAGCTTGGCGCCCGTTGTGAGATTGAACGAGGATCCTCCGCTCCCCTGACAGCAGCGAGCTAGCCAGCGCAGCAGCAAAGTACATACAGTACGGATCCCGTAGCCCACAAACTGTGGGGGATGGCTGCTGATCTCTCGTACTTCCGAGATTGGGCCTCGCCACGAGAAAGAGGAGACACAAGATGGCGCGACAAATTTGCTGCTGCGTGTTAGTGTGAGATGCTAGCACGAGATTATCTCCCTAGCCCGCTAGCACGGGTTCTGGTACAGAAGATGCGCAGAAGCTTTCGGAGTTTGCTGTTCTTTTAGCCTGGCGGGGAGCGCGATCCGGCAGTAGTTTGGTAGCATTTGCGTTTGCTGTGAGGTTCCGAATGTTCTCTTTTTTTAAAAGTGACGTGCGGCACAGACGCTTTCCGAGACCGTTTGGATAGTGGCAAGGGCTAAATATTTTTTGTATTTATGACATATTAGCATTTAGTCCAGAGAAGAGCATACATGTGCAGAAAGTTTGTGCGGAATTATATGAGACGCGTCCTCGTATTGGCGGAGGGGAGGGATAGTCTACGTTAGGCAGCCCTGTTCTGTAGTTAGTTAGCCAATGCCTTATGGCATCTACTGGCTTGTCTCCTCTTGTCTCCTCTCTTCTCCTCTCCGTTCTGTCTTACGTAGAAACCAAAATAGATCGGCCCCAAAGGCAGACTGAAAGGCAGAAAGAGAACGGTTTGCAGAGGGACGCAGGATCGCCTGGAGATGGATCTCAGATGGCGGTGTTGCTCATCGCCAGGCCCGTTATCGTGGCCCGATTCGCAAGGGTGCCTCTTATGAAGTAGAAAGCCCTACCACCTATTTGTGAAACCCAGCCGATGTTCTAGATTGTGGAACAGGGCGTGCGAGTTTGCTGCAGTACCTTAATTCTGGAAATCACTGCTGACTTGCAAGGGTTCTCTTGCTCTTACTCCGTAACCCGTATCTACTTGAAAATGTGGCGTTTTTTTCGGACGAACTCAAGCACCCTTCCACTGCGAAAATCCCAGATGCCTGGTGGATAATGACTGGCCGAGCTCCGCGTGGCTCTCGCGCTGTGCTGCTTTTGTCTATTGCCTAGCGTGGTGGAGATGCTGCTGGGGAGATAACGGGGTTGTCATTAGGAGCAGTTCGTGGCCGGGGGTCCGTGGATAGAGCGAGAAGAGGCATGTATGTATGTACATCCAAGCATGGATGATGAGCATGGGGGGGTTTCGAGAAACAATCGCCAGGGCTCTTTTTAGCGCCGGCGCGCTTGAGCAAAACTTGATGTTTGTGTCTGTTGGACGTATCGACACCCTCTATTCGCTACCGATTCGAGGCGAAGACATGCAGGTCCTGCTTCAAAGAACCCAACCGTGGCGTGGCAGTAACTCTCGAGCCAGAGCAAGCTTGGCTCGCTAGCCAGGCCGTTGAAGGAGTGGGATACATGTTCGTGTAAGGATGCATATTGCTGCTGGTTATAGGCACGCCCGTGACATCAACAGACCTTCTATTCGAAGCATGTATATCTGTGTCTCTTACGAGGCAACTCTCCGATCCCTGTTTTTGCTGCTCTCGCGATTTTAGTGATGCAATGATTAGGCGGCGCCCCGTGCAAGGAAGTTCGCATGGCTAACTGTCTAGTCATTCGTGGGACATTTCGTTCAGATATGAGATACCCCAGCTGGTTCCTTAATCCTATATTCAGGCATGGTAAGGTAACGGAGAATAGCCATCAATAACACCGAAGGATCGGGGATCGAGGATGATGTGATAGCAAGCAGCTGGTCATATACTTGTACAAAGAAGTAGCCAATGGAAGGAGTGTCTCCCCGTTGCTGCCATAGATGATGAGACTATCAGAGCTTTCCCTCCAGACTCAGATGCCGTCTAGATACGCCACCGTTGAAATAAACGCAGGTGTCTGACTACACATAGGTAGCTTAGCGCTGCTGTTACACAGCCTACGTGTGCGCTTGTAGCCGTCTGCCGTTTGGCCCAAGTCCTATTAGAGACTCTTTTTCGAGACCTGATCCTTGTCCGTCATTAGCGTAATTGGCTCTGTTCTGCAGATACACCTCTCAGCAGCCGGGCCTATAGAAGATGTCGATTACATTTAGCCCAGATTGCAACGTGTATTTGGGGGCTATGTTCCTTCGTTCGGTTGTAGGTATTTGCCCAGTATGCGCATATTTCACGCATCTTCCTGACAGCTGCTCTTCTCATCGTATTTCAGCCAATCATAGGTGCACGAACAAGGCTGCAGCTGTCAGATTGTACGCCATCTATCGAGCAGCTCGTATTATCGCCAATCACAAATCCAGCTCGCTTTGCCCATGGTACGAAGCACACACACAAGCTTGTCAACCTGCACTCAAGAGCTACGCAAACACGATATGTGAATGGCAAAAACGTACAAGCCAAGCGGCAAAGAGCATGAGGCGCACGAGCCCGGCGTTTTCTCGCGTCTCTGACCGATAAGTCCATGTTGAAGTTCCTTTCCAGCAAAGCCTTGTTCGAATGACTCATCACTTTATCTTGTATTATAGAATAGGCTGCCGGGTAAACAAAATCGTTGTGGAAAAGAAGCATATTCATGGAGGATTTAATAAGCGTTCATTGTAGGGCCTCTCATTGGGTGGAATGCCAGACGCTAGGACAAATGCACTAGCCACGTTTTTGGTGCACCAGCCACATATTTTTGTTCCTGACGTGCGATCGCCGTCTGTGGCGCCACGCAAAAGATGACAGACAGCACATGGCGATGTGGCGATTCAACGGCCAGTGTCGGTGACAGCGCCGTTCGCATTTGACGTCTGCTGTAGAGGCAAATCCGCAATAATAGAGAGCTCGGGAAGGGCTTCTCACTTGCAAGCAGCTCTATGCTGCCGCCGCCTTCGATCCCTCGCCTTTCTCCTCCAATGAGTCGCCCAGCACGTGCCAGCTTTTACGAACGGCCTCGCTGTGATATCAACACTCTTCGAAGCGCTGCGGCTCCGCGCCCAATATGATGTTATTAGTGTTCGCATTGCTATGGCTGGGCCATTCACTGCTGCGGCCGGTAGGGGCTATGCGCTCGGACTATCTGGCCCAGCTGCGGCAGGATACGGTGGACATGTTTTATCATGGATATAGCAACTACATGAAGCATGCGTTTCCTGAAGATGAGGTGGGTTTCTTTTTGTGTGCTATATCATATCCCATATACCATGTTAGGCAAACCGGGATACTAGTAAATAGAAGGCTGACCGCTACGCTTCCGATATTTAGCTTCGCCCAATAACATGTACTCCCTTGACACGGGATCCTCATAATCCTGGGCGCATCAACCTGAACGATGCCCTTGGTAACTACTCCTTGACTCTGATAGACAGCCTGTCTACTCTGGCGATCCTGGCTGGTGGGCCGCAGACGGGATCATATACCGGACCGCAAGCTTTAAGCGACTTTCAAGATGGAGTGGCCGAATTTGTACGACATTTTGGAGATGGGAGATCGGGGCCTTCCGGTGCTGGGATACGTGCTAGGGGCTTCGATCTAGACAGCAAAGTCCAAGTGTTCGAGACGGTTATCCGCGGCGTGGGAGGTCTATTAAGCGCGCATCTGTTTGCCATTGGAGAGTTGCCCATTACTGGATATTCACCCAAGCCAGAGGGAGTCGCGGGCGACGACCCTCTAGAGCTGGCCCCTATTCCATGGCCTAATGGGTTCAAGTACGATGGCCAGCTATTGAGACTTGCCTTGGACCTTTCTGAAAGATTGCTCCCTGCATTCTATACCTCGACTGGCATTCCATATCCTCGAGTCAATCTCCGCAGCGGTATACCCTTCTATGTCAACTCTCCCCTCCACCAAAACTTGGCAGCAGTTCTGGAGGAGAAGAGTGCCAATCCAGAGATCACCGAGACCTGTAGTGCTGGAGCTGGCAGTCTCGTCCTTGAGTTCACTGTCTTGAGTAGGCTCACAGGAGATCCGAGGTTCGAGCAATCTGCTAAGCGGGCTTTCTGGGAAGTGTGGCATCGCAGGAGTGAAATCGGCCTGATTGGAAACGGGATTGATGCGGAACGAGGGCTATGGATCGGGCCGCATGCAGGCATCGGCGCAGGCATGGACAGCTTCTTCGAGTATGCGCTCAAAAGCCATATCCTTCTCTCGGGCCTTGGGATGCCGAATGCTTCTACGTCGCACCGACAGAGCACCACTAGCTGGTTAGACCCCAACTCCATACATCCCCCTTTACCACCTGAGATGCAGACATCCGACGCCTTCCTCCAAGCATGGCATCAAGCTCACGCGTCGGTCAAACGGTACCTTTACACAGACCGGAGCCATTTCCCTTACTACTCAAACAATAATCGTGCCACTGGTCAGCCGTATGCTATGTGGATTGATAGTCTCGGTGCATTTTATCCCGGACTTTTGGCCTTGGCAGGTGAAGTTGAAGAGGCTATCGAAGCGAATCTCGTCTATACAGCGCTTTGGACTCGGTACTCTGCGCTGCCGGAACGCTGGTCCGTCCGCGAGGGCAATGTTGAAGCAGGCATCGGCTGGTGGCCAGGCAGACCCGAATTCATCGAATCCACATATCACATATATCGTGCCACTCGAGACCCCTGGTATTTGCACGTAGGCGAGATGGTACTTCGGGATATTCGACGTCGATGTTTCGCAGAATGTGGCTGGGCTGGGCTCCAAGATGTCCAGACGGGAGAAAAGCAAGATCGCATGGAGAGCTTCTTCTTGGGAGAAACGGCAAAATATATGTATCTGCTGTTCGATCCAGACCATCCACTGAATAACTTCGATGCCCCCTATGTCTTCACAACAGAAGGCCATCCGCTCATCATACCAAAGAGTAAGAGGGGTGCCAATTGGGAGAGCAGTCGCAGCATGAAGAAGGGCAAAGACGTTGCAGTCTATAGCTATTACGACGAAAGCTTCACAAATTCTTGCCCTGCACCTCCGCCGCCCCTGACCAATCAATTGAGTGGTTCAGCCACTGCTGCTAGGCCAGACTTGTTTTCTGTTTCCCGGTTCACAGACCTGTACCGAACTCCGAATGTACACGGGCCAATTGAATTAATTGAAATTAATGACAGGAAGAAAGGTCGTGTGATGCGATATAGAGCGCTTTCCAACCACACCATCTTCCCGTGGACTCTACCGCCAACTATGCTCCCCAAGAACGGCACTTGCGTTGCTCCTCCCGAGCGAATTATATCATTGATAGAGTTCCCGGTCAGCGATCTTACCAGCGGCATGGGGGCGCACTTTGGCGCACAACTGTCGTGGCAGACCCATCTGGGACCGACAATCACCGTGATAGAAGGACTGCGACTTCAGCTCGAGCAGGTGCTGGACTCGGACACGGGCACTTATAGGTGGAGGATTACGCATATTGGCAATACCCAGCTAGGCCGTTATGAAACAGTATTCTTCCATGCCGAACACATCAGACATCTAAAGGACGAGGCTTTTTCGTGCAAGAGAAGGAGGGATTCTGTGGAGATTGAGCTACTGGTAGACAACCCAGAGCAGAATAACAAAACGCTCGTGGTTTCCGAGGATCTCATTGCAGCTGAGAGCGACGACATTATGGACGACACGCTCAACGCCGACTCGCTGGCCCCAGACTCATTATTCCAATCAATACTCCGCGCTGTGTCTTCTGTCTTCGAGCCAGTTTATACCGCTTTACCAGAGTCTGGCACAAGCAAGAGCGGCGCCATGATATACAGCTGGGATGCTTACACTTCCACCGGCCCCGGTTCATACCCCGTACCGCCCATATTGGATACTCCCATCACCGGCAACCCGTTCTACAACTACAGGGACCCGGCTTCCAACTTCCCCTGGTCGACCGTCTACCTCGCAGATCAAGCCTGCGACGGGCCGCTCCCCGCGTCTGCAGCTCGTGAACACCAGGTCATCGTCATGTTGCGTGGAGGATGCTCCTTCAGCCAGAAACTGGACAATATCCCTAGCTTCTCCCCTAGCGAGAAATCCCTCCAACTAGTCATCGTTCTTGATGAGCCGTCCGCTAGTCAAAACGGTGGCGGCGACGACGATGATGATGACGACTACGGTATTGATCACAGAGGCAATATGCCCAGGCCACTATTGGATACAGAGCAGGTGACGCCAAAGGGCATGAAGCGCCTACACGGCATCCCCATGGTTCTCATGGGAGCATCAAGGGGCGACTACGAACTCTTCAGACAAGCAACGAGAGTTGGTATGAGAAGAAAGTACCGTGTTGAGAGTCAAGGGTTCATCGTGGAGAATGCCGTTGTCTTGTAGTTTTTGGGAAGGGGGGGCTGGAGAAGGAATATTTTTTTTTTCTTTTGTTTATAAATACGCATATAGCAGCATACATACCATTTTATACATGCATATAGCACGTCTACAAATCACGCAGCATAGATATATTAGCACTTGTTTAGGATAGATCTAGCCAGCTTTGAGCCTGGACAGGAAACTCATAAGGAGAAAATGACGATTCCCCCCTTTTTTTCTTTTTTTAATATTCTTGTTCTTTTTCTTTTTTTTTCCGACAATAGGAATCTTGAATGTTTATATAGATTTTCATGACAAGAAATGAAGCTCATTTGAAGAGCAACAATTCTAATTATTGATGTCCCGAATCATTATCATCTCAATGGAAAAGAATCATCGTAATCGTATTCACCATGATAGTATTCACCAATACAGTCTTCTTGGTCTTATAGCACTGCTAAAGAAACTTCGTAAATAGCATGACTATAGAATCTATATTGATCAACCAAACAAGTGCGCAAGACGTCAATGTTAGTAGACTATTTGAAAGGGTTCAAGGAAGTCTCAGGAAATCTCAAGAAAAACAGAGAGATGATTTTCATTGCAATTGAATAATTCTTTTTAGGCCGTAATGATTAACCATACCTCCCATCATGATCCCAACATATACCCAATCCAATGATCTTTTTTTTTTCTCCTTCGCTCCTCCATCGCGTGCTCGTCGTTGTTGAAAATCGTATCCCTTTCTCGTCCTCATCTACTGCTCCAAAGTTTCTTAATAGTGTAATGCGGTCTATATCGTATTATGTAAAACGTAAAAGTAGAGATGAGAGTTGTTGTAAAGTAGACAAGACAGAGAGAGCACGGCACCCACTTCCCATTCCGAATCAGAGAAGAAACGCTTTCCATAGTCTATTGGTTATTTGATATTGTGATATGCGAAAGAAAATCCCGTATGAAAAAAAGTGAGAAAAAAAAAAGTAAAAGAAAAAAAAAGAGATATATAAAACAGAGATTTAGGGAAATGCCCAAAGTCCAAAGAAATGATCCAAGCAAACAACTTTTTGATATATATAAAAGTGTGTCGATAAGGAGGACCACAATAGCCAAGCTTACAGCCCCAGTAGAAGAAAATTGGTTCGTCTTTCGCGCCTCGAGTCGATTTTGGCGTTGAGTAGTGATAGTAGAACATCCAAGAGATATTTTTCCAGTCGACTAGGGTTGATAGTGTAAAGAAATTGATTCCAGGCACGTCATCTTTTTGCTAGAATGGCGCTGCTTATCGAGAGAAAAGGAGATGGAGCCCTTTGTCGCCGAAATTAAGGGTTCTCAAGGAGAATAGTAGTAGGAGCGCTGAGCTTATCGCGGCCGTTCAGGCCGGGAATCTCCAGAATGAAAAGGTAGCCAACAACCTGGCCCTTGAGCTGGTGAACAAGATCTGCCGCTGCGGCCGCCGAACCACCTGTATATAAGGTTAGCATTCTGGCCATTGTCCTCGATTTATTTTTGCACGCAAAGAGGCCCAATGGGGCCAGGAATAGGAGCCATGGACATACCCGTTGCAATGATATCGTCAACAACCAACACCTTCTGTCCCTCGCTGATAGCGTCTGCCTGCATCTGGAACAAGTCCTTGCCGTACTCCTTGATGTACTCGGCAGTAACGCAGGGGCCCGGCAGCTTGCCCTGCTTTCTCACAGCGGCAAAGGGAACGCCAAGGCGCAGGGCCAGGCCGGGGCCAAAGAGGAAGCCGCGGGCATCAAGGCCAACAATGACATCGGGCTTGTTGGCGCCGAAGGACTCGGCGATTTGCAGCTCGAGGGCGGACAGCAGCGTAGCATGGGCCTCGGGGTTGGCGAAGAGGGGCATGATATCGACGAAATCAATTCCCGGGATGGGGAAGTCGGGGAACTGGCGCAGCGTCTTGCGCAGGCTTATCTGTGCACTGGCGAGTTGGGCGGCGGTGGAGGAGGCGGCGGAGGGCTGTCGTCCCGAGGCATCTTGGCTGGTGGTGGAGGATTGGTTGGTGGAGGACATGGTGAGGAAGGGAAAAAAGAAGAAGAGAGAGGGGAAAGAAAAGAGAAGCAGAAGAAGATTAAAAGAGGAGGTTAGGCAGACAGGATGCAGAGAGCAATAGGAGGAGCAGATTCTGGGGTGGTGTGAATTTTTTGTTTTGGGGTGGCAGGATAAGCCCAGATAGGGAATTGGTTTTTCAGTTTTTTTTTTTTTTTTGCCCTTCCCACAGTGAGCAGCGCAGAGAACGGCGCGCGCAAAAAGGAGGGGTGGTGTGTACTTTTTTTTTCCCTTCTTTTTTTTTCCTTTTTTTTTTCCCCTACCAACCTGCGTCCCTCCTCCCTTTGGAATTTTTTTGGTGGGGAAAATAGAAAAATTCACAGCAGGCAAGAGCTGCCCAGCACAGTGGAGGGGGTGCACACAGCAGAGGGGAAGGCACGATACGATGGCTACTGCAGCTTGTGTATCAGAAACATTACTAGGCCCATAGGCAGATTACACCGTCGGTACCTGCTCCATGCAGGCAGCGGCCGTCAACAGCCATGTCCCAGGCCGGTATCCAGACGCTGCTTGAATCTTGGAGCCCCGGTCGCAACAGTAAAATATGGAGAGTCGAGTAATCATGCTGGTCTTGTATAGTGCTGTACTGTACTTTGTACTTGATAGGAGGTTTGTGCTACCTGCAAAAAGCATGGAAAGGACAGTCCAGCTCAGTCAGGTCAGTGCAAGCACAGGCACAAGCACAAGCACAAGCAACGTGGCAGCCGCAGCGGCTACAGTTCATTGCCAGAGAGAATTCGCACCGGCCGTGATGCTGATGCTGATGCTGATGCTGATGCTACCTAACTCTGAATACCTGGCAGGTACGGAAATGATAGGTACAGCGAAGATGCCACTTAAGCATGCAGGCACTACAACCGTAGTGGCAGCGACAAGCGAGCTTCGGAGGGCGACGTGCCAAGTCTTGATAAAGTGCACTCCGTGTTTGCTCCCAAATGCCGACGGCAGCACCAGCTGGACGAGCGAGCCTCTGATCTAAGTAAACTGTCGGTGTGTGCCGTTCACTAGAGCGCCCTCTGATGCCGTCCGTCTGCTTTGGCTCGCTTTTCGCTGGTGCTACTATCACTTAGCAGATGCTCTACTCTACACCAGGCACGGCTCTGCAGGCAATGGGCTCAGCTCAGCCGCCCGGGTAAAATCACTCAGGCGAGGTTCCATCTGCCAAAAGCACCGGTGCTGCTGCTACTTGGACTTACTGTGCGCACTCCTCCCCAAGCCGGCAAGGACTGCGTGCGCGACAGTGGCCCAATGATCCTAGTACCTGGTAGCAGCGAGTAGCACCATCAATGCTTGCCTAGCAGGTCGGTAAGCAGAGTCAGGTCGCGGTAATAATAAGGAGCAATTGCTGCTAGCAGAGCGAAGCTGGCCGCTGAGCTGGCCTCTGCTTAAAACCGGGCCGTTTCGTCGCAGCCCGATATGAGCTGCTTCATGCCGGTTGCTCCGTCCGTGCCCAGCTATTATGGCATACTACACCTAGTAGTAGGTAGCTGGCACTGATATTTGCTGGGGACGGGCAGTGATGGTAGTACGAGTACGAAGCATGAAGCCTCGGATTTGGCATGTACATGTGTCTGCACATGCTGCCAGTGCCTGGGAGTGGCTAATACGCAGAGCTAGGTATCAATCGCTCTTCCGAGGTGCTCCCTCACCATTCCAGATCCGCCTGGTCCAAACGGCCGCTGCGATCCATCAACCTCGCCGCCAGCAAATGGCTGGCCAAGCCTCAGCCCAGGCGTGAGATTCATTGGCCGCAGAGGGACGGTGCGGCGATATGCACATGCGGGCCCACGGTTGCTGTCTCGGTTATGGAGCAGGTAAAGTAGCTTTATCGTGTAATTGATGGCATGAATACAATGCCTTTCACTCTCTTTTTTCTTCTTCTCTCCTTTTCTAAAAAGTTTCGTCCAGCTTTTTCCCTCCTCATTATGATATCTGGTTTGTCACTTCAATCCCTAATGTATTGTCGCGGGTGTGCCAAAGAAGAAAGCTTGAGTCTCAATCTGCAGGATCATGCCATGATTTGACCGACCAAGCTCCAGCATAAGAGGTACTCCGTATATAATTTTGCTTGAGTGCGAGCGAGCCCGCCGCCACCATGGAGCACACAATGCGACCTGTCATGGCCACTACTGCGTGCTCCTACCGCCAGACGCATCTGGTCCTGCACAAAACCTGTTCACCGAGTCTGCTATCTCGCTCACAAGCCACAGCTCGTCGCCACGGCCATCGCTGGCTGGAACTAGGCATCAGCTTGTCATGCAACTCGCACACACACCACCTCTTCGCGATAGTGGCAGCAGCGGCAAGAATGGCAGCCTCTGCTCCAATGTCAAGATAAGGCTGGCACATCTGCTGAAAGCTTACCCACCCCCACAACGCATCCGTTGTTGCAATCTCTTCCGTCTCCCCGATGTGGCTTGCTCTTATTACTACTAGGTAGTAGTATAAGCTCGTATAGCAGTATCTATACATTCATTCACAGGTACACAGGCACAATAGAACGTGACTGGCTACGGGCTGATGTAAAAAAAACCTAACTTTGACCAGCGCCTCTTCTACCCGCTATCCGTTGTGGCACGTTCCTGTCGTAACCGTCGTACGCCTATTACACAATCGATGGCGTGAGGATCCCATGCCGCCGTGTCCGTCCACAGGCACTTCGCACTCCGCCATTAAATTGCACATTAGGTTGGGGAAAACAAGGGGGTGCCATGCCAAACAATTTTGGCGGCTAATACTTGTGCCATCCAGCGCAAGCATCTATCGTGACTGTCCCGGCGATGGGATAATTGGCACGGATGAGTCAAGGCTCCGAACGGCCAGCTGCATCTCCAAAATGCAACCAAGCCGCGCCAAGCTCATCCTATTATTAACCCCCCCGTCTCACCCGCCTGTTCGTTCGTTCGTAATTTGATACTTTTTTTATTGCTGGCGCAATAGTAGTTTGGCCAAGTAGCAGCAGCACCAGCACCAAACAACCACGCCATGCCCAACCCACGCCCGGCCTCCCAGATTTACACATAGTTATATCAAACGCTTATGCTGAGACACACACCAGCAACCATCTGACGGAGCCAAATCTCGGCAAGCTAAACCGGAAGAGCTGAATTGACTTTGCCAATTGGAGGCTGACGTATTTCTTTTTTTCTTTCTATTTGTTTCCTTTGTTTCCCCCAACACCCCACCAGCTTTTTAGAGTATGCGCGCTGCCGCAGCGACTTAAACTAGCCTTTTCACCTCATCGCGTCGCCGCTGCTCGCCGGCTCATGGCGGCAGAACCGGCGAAATTAATCAAACAGCAGCGCCGAGTAAATGACAGTAGGATATCGCACGTCAAGATTCATTAGATGAGAAGACCAGTTGACAAACTCACTGCCTGATCTTAAAACACACACGCATCGTTTAGGCAGATATGCATGTAGACGGGAATTTATCAATATCAAAAATGCGAATGGCGCAACTTTAGTCCAAGCGATTTCTTATCGATAAGAGATTACGTAACTGGGCCTGCCGGGAATGGAAATTTTGCTCCTCAAAGAGCCAATTCAAATCGCATCTCCAAAGCCGCAGCCCTGTGACGACATCAAAACGAATCGCCCATTTCCACATCTTGGCCAAAAGCAGGACAAAGCCCCAAAGACAACTTCATACCAAACCTCGGAATCTCCGCCATACACGCCCTTCTCCCTCGCCTTTTCACAAATTTCAACAACCATGTCTTTCCTCGGAATCGGTCGTCCCCAACCTACGTCAGAGCAGAAGATTGCTGCTGTCGAGGGCGAGATGCGCATGATGGCTGATACTTACAACCGGTAATTTGAACCTTCTTCCTCGTTGCGTCTCTCTCTCTTCATTTTTCTCTACCATATAATGAAGAATGAAAGAAGAAAATTCATCCACAAGGGAGATTCACGCTTAGGCGGACAATTTAAGAGGAGAACTATGCTGACTCAAGGAACCCCGGGGCAAAAAAAAAAAAGACTGCAAAAGACCTGCCAGAAGAAGTGCGTTCCTTCCGACTACCGCGAGGGTGAGCTCAACAAGGGCGAGTCCGTTTGCCTCGACCGCTGCACCGCAAAGTTCCTCGATACATCCATGAAGATCAGCGAGATCATGCAGCAGCAGGGCCAGGCCATGGGTGGAGGACCCCAGGGCGGCCCCGGAGGACTGTTTTAGAAAGGCTATACAAAGCTATAGAGCATCAGGAAAACAGGAGTAATGTTTTTTTCTTTCTTTCATGGCATTTCCCCTCTCCTCCTTCTTGGCCACAAAATTCGGATGTCATGTTTTGTACGAATATATATATGAGAGAAAGCTGTCTGGAAATATGCGGCGGCGGCAAACGTTTGAAACGGGACTTTGATATTATGGGATCACGGGATATACATATATATCATGTCAGATGTATAAAGCTATTCAAAAAGAGTATACTGGGGTGCTGTCTAGGCGCAACATCATCACTGTGATGAGAGTGAACATCTCCTCTGCGAAATGGTATCTATCTTCTTGAGAGCAAGGCAATAAATGAAAGTAAAAGAGAAAAATAAATCAAAGGGGGAGCAAAGAAATATAACGCCGATTCTCCACGAATCCCGTTTGAATGCGTCAATGTCCAACTCCAATTCCATCCTTCCGTATATGCTAATTAAAATGAAGAAAAGAGGGGAAACAAGTTATAATTAAGCAAGGCGGGGATAAAACTCCAAAGAATGCAAGCTCGTATCATCATATAGTACGAGTGATATTGGGGCCAGTGCCCACACCAGTCAAAGTTCTCACAAACCAGTGCAGCCAGCTCTCGGTCTCAAGCTGTGTTCTCAGCTCGTCGGCTCGTCTCTCGACATCTTCGACTTGCCTCTCGAAGTTTTTGATGCCGTCTTCAACATCATTGATTTTTTGCACTAGTGCGTTGATTTCGTAGTCGAGGCGTGCCACAAGAACTTCAATCTCCTTAACACTCTCCGTCAGGCTGGCACGCTCCTCCGCCAGCGTTTCGTCAGAGCTGTATTTGACTCGGTGATAGATCTCGCTCAGATGATGATGCAAGTTTTGTATCTCGGCCTTGTCCTTGCCATATTTTTCGTCAAGCATATGGACGAGTCTAATTTTCTCCTTGATCCATGGCTCAATGCCGTATACAATCCTATCGATGTGTTGAGCGAGGTGGCGAGCGCTTACTGCTCTGGCCTCGGCCTCCTCATCATCTGATTCGTCCATGATATCAATCAATTCGTCCCATGATAATACGGCTTCCTCGGCATCGCCAAATGACATGCGACGTGCCCATCTGTTCTCATTAAGAACCCGCTTTGTATGTAGTTCTGAAAAGTCACAGCTATGACGTCTTGACAGGGCCAGTTGGAGAAAATCTGTTCTATCCCTAATGCCAGGGCAGATGACTTCAATGTCGCTCTCGTTGGTAGTTGATGGCACAGCAGATGGTGCTCTCCGGTGCATTTCTGGGCCGAGAAACTCTAATGACCTGTCCGACTCTCTTGGCTTCCTTTCATATTCAAGAAGCCTTGCAGCTTTGAGGTCTGCTGTTGACGAAGGTGAAGATACTGCCGTAAGCCCAGGTAGGACATCTGGATCTCCCCGTTTAATAGCAGTGAGGTATTCTTCCGGCTTCGTTTTCCACGTAAATGCTCTGCTCACCACGGCGGCAGGGCTCGGAGGGATGCTAACACTCTGCAGCGCATTCGCCGATCCATTTCCGTTTTCCAATACTTCCTCTTTTGTTGATATTGATAGGCGGGTTCCGTGACCCCTCCCTCTGACGCCGTCCTTGAGACGCCCAAAGCCTGATCGAGCGTCACTCATCTTTCCAGCGACGCTCTTAAACACAGTCTTGTGCAGCCCATCCTTTTCCCCAACGCCCTCTAGCATACTGACTGTCGGGCGAAGGGCCATACCAGCTTCAGGGGAGAGAAAATCATCTTTCTGCTTCATCCCCAGCTCCTCCTCCACTGGTAGGGAGTGGGCTCGTTTATCGTTTTGGTTGCTTGTGTTGGTCTTTGATGGAGATAAAGCCACATCGTGGTCGTGGTCGTGGTGCTCTAGGGGAGTCCGGCGCGGCTTGCCATGCCAAAGCCATTTCGGCCTCTCACCATACACCAAGCTGGCAAATTTATCAATATCCACGGTTTCAATGTCTGCAAGACCAGCCTTGTCCTTGCCGGATACCATGTCCATAACGATCTCGCCCCTTTTGCCTCCAATTTCCGTCACTGTCGACTTGATAGCTTTTTGCACGCCCCAGTCTTCCTTGACTGCCGCTTTTGTGGTTGCCGTGTGTAGTTTAAAAAGTGTCTGCTGGTCTAATCGCCGCGTCTTCTCTAGCTTCTGTGCTTTTTGAAAGTAGGAGATGCCACGCTTCGTGCTGTCGAGGTCGAAAACGTCCTTTGAAACGGGGGCGCCTTGCCAGTGCAGTCGGTTTCTCGCTCCCAACAGCATTCCTAGTAGGGCCGCAACAGTCGACGGCCCTAAAATCCCATCGGTCGGTTCATAGTTGTAATGTTCAGCTCCAAGATCCGTCCACCAGTTGCTGATCGCCCTTTCCGTTACATCGCATAGCAGACCATCAATATATGGCTGTTCCAGCTTGTCGAACATGAATAATGCAACCTGACAAAGCTTGATAAGCTCAGTGACCGCCTGATTGAAAGGGACACGGTCGCTGATCCTATAGAGCTGCTGAAACTTGGACTGGGCTGCCTCGGTAGGTTCCGTGAGCGTCAAGCCAGACCGTCCAGAGCATCCTAGCCTTTTCAGGTCCTCATTCACAACGAAAAGGTGTCGGTATTTCCGTAGGTCTCCGTCGGGCACAGCAATAACCGTAAGTGACGACGGGAAATTGCTGAGATTTGTGATCATGAGCTCTCCAAGCTCGGTATTCTTCGGCCGTGCATGGTTTTGCTCGGTCTTTTTCAGATATAGTCGAATTTGTTCGGACCACTGGCTCTCGTCTGTTGATACTGCCAACACCCCAACCACGATGGAATCTTTCTCGTCACCGGTATAGGTGGCAATAACCAGAGTGGGCGGCTGCCTTGAGCATGCCCACTGCTCGACAATATACAGGTCATAGCCGTGAAGGACGCTTCGTCGTTGAACCACCTCGACACACGGATCGGTCTCGAGATACCTGGGTTGGAGGGAGAAGAAGAAAAAGTTAGCGGCTATGTCGTGACCCTGGTCTCTCACCGAACTCTAAACTCAAACCTACTTGAAGGCGATGGGATCTGGGAAGACGAGGTGTCTCTGCGGCAGCGCAGAGCTAGATGCCGATGGCCTTGCCGCGCGATACGAAGCCGTGTCAACCATCTGCGTCTCGGTGGGCATCAAGTAGTTCCCATCTGGATGAACAGATCGAGTGGTGGTGCGTCGGTCCAGCCTCGACAGTCCAGAAGCGTCGTCGTCTCGGTAGACTCTCCCGTCCTGGGAGAAGGACGGCATTAAGGACATTGTGGAGTTCGCCAGCCCCTGGAGGCGTGAAAGGCCGGGCCGAGCTAATCAAGGAGCATCTTTGAAGGCAAGAGAGCCGGGATCTGGGACAATGGCGATCCTGAATTTTGGCGCCTGTGCAGCACACGGTCACTGTGGCTTAGTGCGCTGGTGGTGCCGGCAGGTGATGTAATAGGTGAATGGAGAGGCGAGTAGTGAGGCGGTAGCAGCGCACTATTGGCCACTGCTCCTTACAGAGCGTGCGCTGCATCTTGAACCTGCAGCTACTCAGTATGGAGTAGCCAAAAGCTTGGCTTTGGCCAAGGGCGGGGCAAATCTGCTCCTTAACGGGGCTCACCGTTGATCCGAGGCTGCTAGTCTTGGTGAGGCCTCTCTCAATCCGGTGGTTGATTTGGACAAGCAGGGCTCCGCAACAGGTGCCGTCATTTCGGCTTCACAGCGTTAATAAACAAGTAAATAGTCTGTGAAAGGAGATGATGTCTAGTATGCTGGGTACCTAGCTGAACCATTTTCCTATTTATGTTTAATAGAGGGGTCATAGAGTAAGACATACAGCAGCGATGCGTTTCGAAGTATGTGTAGGTAATGAGGCACTAATTTGGTTAGTCGAGACTGTAGAAGCTGGGCGCTGCATTCAACTATAGTAGGTGACATTAGTATTTGATTGTAGCTCTGCATAAGTGCGGCGCCCTCTGTTCAGTTGAAGAGGTACTAAGGTACATGGAGGTACTCACTCACCACCCGGAAGCCGCCTGCGTTCCGACCTATCGATAAGGCTCAGGCGGTAATCGCACTACTTGGATGACAACCTCCAACCTCGCATCATCCAACTTACACCTAAGCCTAACAACTTCTTGGAGAGCCCGTTCGCAGGGCGGAATTGGGGTTTTTTTTTTCTCGCTCGCTCCCAGATAGCTTACATTCGAGCTTTATGATCCATTTCATTCTATAAGTTCTCCGTTGCTTCTCTGCCAGAGCATTCCTGTTGGCGACCATGGCTAGCCCGGGCGATGACATTGTCTCGCCATTTGGTCCGCTGCAGAATGAACTGGCACGGATGAGAGGGGCGAATCTCACGACTGCTATCCAAGATGTCGACAAGATTATCGAGTATCTGGTGGCAGCTAGGGATCAAGTTGCTGCACGTATGAATCCTCTATCCCGAATCATTCATCACTTAGCTGGACCTAATGGTAGCTGACAACTCTAAACCTCTACAGCTGACGCTGACCACCACCGAATCAGCATGGCAATGACAACCCTTCAGAATCCTGTCAAAGATCGGCTTGAAGCCATCAACAACGATCTCAGAGATGTGACCAAGGCGCAGCGGAGCTTCGGAAAGGCCCTTGACAAGGCACGCGTCCATGTCCACCCTCCCTCCTACTGTGCTTGTGGAATGCTAACTTGTATTTTACCTTCTAGGCCTTGCCGCAGAGGGAACTGCCGATGGGGACAGATGCCATGGCGGATCACCCCTCCCTCATAAACCGCGCCATAGCCATGCATCTCGTCCGAGAGGGCCAGTTTTCTGTTGCATCGACCTTTGTCCGCGAGTCGCGAGACCAGCAGCCCCCCCTTTCATTAGAGCCCTGGTCTCCCCGTACGGCACGGACCGACGAAGATGGCGATGACGACATGATACAAGAAGATGGAGAGGAGGAGAGGCTTACCGGACATGGAGTCAACAACTATCCCGAGGACCTCCAAGGGCAGTTTGCAGAGATGTACAGTCTCCTATCGGAGCTGAGAAACAGGAATCTAGGACCAGCTATCAAATGGGCACGCCAAAATAATAGCAGGCTGGAGTCAGCGGGAAGCAACCTGGAGTTTGAACTCTGCAAATTGCAATTTGTATGGCTATTCAAGGGACCTGAGGTCAATGGGCTACCTGATGATGAGAGGAATGGGGAAATGGGCGCATTACGATACGCAAAGGAGCACTTTGCTCGCTTTCAGAGTCGGCATCTTAAAGAGATTCAGCAACTTTGCGGTGCAATCGTCTTTGCACCAAACATTGAGCAGTCTCCCTACCGGCATATCTTCCAGATCGATTCGGCATTCGAAGATGTCGCCACCTCATTCACTCGTGAATTCTGCTCTCTATTAGGCTTATCAGCAGAATCACCACTATATGTAGCCGTCACAGCCGGTTCCATTGCTTTACCCCGACTTATCAAATATAACAAGAATACGAAGGAGAAGAAAACAGAGTGGACGACGGAGAACGAGATGGCATTTGAAACGCCTCTCCCGCCATCCATGATTTATCACTCCATTTTCGTATGCCCTGTCAGCAAGGAGCAGACGACGGAACAGAATCCCGCCATGATGCTCCCTTGCGGACATGTAATTTGCAGAGAGAGTTTGCACAACATGGCAAAAGGCTCAAGGTACAAATGTCCGTATTGCCCGACAGAAGGCCATTTGAGAGACGCCATTAAAATCACACTCTGAGACCATTATCTTTTTTTAGCAGTTATGGAAAGGGAGGGTTTGGTTTGGCTTCTACTGATAAACGAGGAGCGCTTTGGATCCTTTTTTAAGGCGTTTTACGGTATTCCGTGTTCAATAATGGACTTTGTCTCAATTCGTTGTTTTCTTCTTCCTTTCTTTATTATTTTTTTTTTGTCTACCAAAGCGAGGATATCATCCTTTGATAGGATGATTTGGGGGTCTTTTCTCCTGTTTTCGATAAGCAACTGGGGCATCTATCTATTTCTTTCATTACGCTTTTTCTTAGCGGAAATAAAACCATAGTATTGGATTGGCAGTCAGATGTAAAGCGCTCTTTTTTTTTGTAGTAGTAGTAGTAGTAGTATTAGTCCTGTTTCAGATCAGGAACAAATCCCAATATATAACGTAGCATCATACAATAAGCCTCATCTCACCCCACCTCAGTAGCTCTCACTCTCACTCTCACTCATTTACCCCATGATAAGTAGGTATCCACGACGACGACGTAAGGTATTTATTAGAAGACGTAACTCAATATATTCAAAAAAAAAAAAAAAAAAAAAAAAAAAAAAAAAAAAAAAAAAAAATGAAAAGAAGATGAAATCAGCCAAGGCAAATGAGAAGAGGAAAACAAATTTGAGAACAAAGAATGTCATCACATTAAGAAAAAAAAAATACACTGTTAAAACACAAAAATCTTCTTCTTTTTTCTTTAAGAAAAGCAAACCAAAAAAAGTAGTCAAAGGAGTGACACGGGTCATCTATAAGCCACCCTTTAATATATATCCTTCGATATGATGATCACGGGTATCCAAAAAAAACTCCCCGCTGTCTTCGGTGGTATTTGCGAAGCACAGATCCAACGCCCTTAATTGCTGAGCCTACTTGATGAATCAAAATAACAGACAAAAAAAAAGTTAACAAACAAAAAAAAATTGGTATCCATTTAATTTACGGGATATTATCAAAAGATCCCCCTTCCAACATGGCCTTTTTATGGCAGTCAGTTAGCCTTGGTTTATGAGCCTGCGTGACGCGGCTGTATTGGATATAAAAAAAAGGGGGCCATCCCGTTCCCTTTCGTAAATTCGTTTCTTTTATACATTCCCCATCTCCGCGATCTGAAAAATATTCTTAATTTTTTCTCTGCGCGTCAAATGACTCTCTTAGTCGATAGTCATGCGGTTCTGCATCGGGGTCTTCACATCGCTCATGCCGAATGAGTTGATGTCGGTCTTCTCGTCAACCTTGCGAGCAGACAGCAGGTGAGCCTTGAGACCGGAACCAAAGTTATGCATGCAGATGATGGCATTGATGATGGTCATGATGATGAGCAGAATGGTGATGACGGCGAATGCGGTAAGAGATTTCCGAACGGCGAAATAAGATGAAGCGCGGCTGGGCTCGTAGATACGGAAGAGCTTGAAAATGAAGTAGGAGAGACCGCCAAAGTAAAGGACAATAACGCAGATCATGCCAGGCTTGTTCTCCCTCTGGGTAAAGAAAGCAGCAGAAATCAGAATGGCAATCGTGACCGGAATGGTGGCAATCGTGAGAGCGAATTCGGGATCGGTCCTGACAGCGACGACGACAACAAACTGAATGATGAAACCCAAGAAGAAGAAGAAATCGAACTTGAGCAGGGCAATGTAGATCTGGTAGTTGTGTCAGTCGGATCTGGTCTCGGATCTCATTCAAGTTCACTGCTCATGTTTTCAATCCATACCTGGTAATGAAGGAAGCGCTTCTTCATGCGATAATCGGCACCAATGTTCTTGAGAATGTCCCAAGCAAATTGCTGGTAGAGCTTCCAGGTTATGTATACCATAATGATGGTGGTAACGGCAATGATGACAGGAGTGGCAATAAGGTAGGCCTTGATATCATCCCAGAGCATGGCAGATGTGATACCTTGCTCCAGCGCACCGTTAACTTCCAAGATTCCAAGAGCCATCTGAATCTGCTCAAGCTGGAGAGCGGAGTAAATCAAGAGAGCCAGGTTGGCAATGCAGACGCCGATAATCTGAATAGTGTTCTTCATGCGCAGCGCATCCAGCACGAGAATCAATTCGTAAAGGAAACCGAAAATGAATAGAGTAAGAAAGGTAGGGATTGTCTTGTACTGAGACTGGACCTGAGGCAGTGGAACATATGCACCCAGGCTCAGCTGAAATTTGCCGAAAACATAGCTGTAAGAGCGTCTTAGCTTCTAGTGCGCATGCCTAGAGAGAGTAAGATTCAGAGGGTGCCAACATACGCTTCAAAGGCCAGGTTGATGAGAGCCTGGATACCAGTTACGGCCAGGAAGGCCGCAGGCCATCTGCTTTTGACGAAGGTGAAGTCGAATTTGCTTGCGCCAGTGCTGCCAGCAGCACCAGCTGTTTCGGGGTTTTGGTGGAGGCTCGCGTTCTCAGCATACGTAGGCTGAGCGTAGGCGGCCTGAGTTAGAGATGCCTGGGGATAGGCCTGGCCGTATTCCGCGCCGTAGTCGCCGCTCTGGCTGAAGGAGCGGTGGTGATACTGAGCGCCATTCTGGTCGAAGGCCGGGTCGCCTCCGCTTCCCAGCAGCGAGTTTCGAGCGTCCATTGTGGCGGCCACGGTGAGCGATTTCGTGACCCCTTCCGGGAGTCTGCGGGAAGCGACAGAGGGATAAAGGAGCGCTGCTGGTGGTTTGGTGAACCAGAGCCAGCTATTTCATTCCCAGGCCAGAGTTCGCTTGAGGGTGATTTCCGTTCCGCGGTCGCAAAGTGAGAAGGAGGTTGGTGAAACGGTCGTCGATCGAAGGATGAGAAAGAAAAATGAGGGTCGATAGCGAGAGATGGAAGAAGCAACAAAGTCAAGAATAAAAGGGAATATCGAGTAAGCAGAGGGAAGAAGGAAAAGGAAAAATCTACCAAGACCGATAGAAAAATAGCACTTGGTCGATTGGACGAAAAAGCCAACGAAGGGTCAAACGGAAATATGGAACGAACGAGAGACTGGAACAGAGGCGTACTAGTAGGAAGTCGACGGTTTGAGGAAAAGGGAAGAAGACGCAGAATTGGCTGCACGCAGATGCAGAGAGTCAAGAAGCTTGGAGCGCCAGGGGGGATTTTGGACGGGTCGAGGGTTAGATGGGTCGAGATGAAACGCACTTTCGCGAAGCAGGGGAGGCCATGGCACTTTGTACTTGGGCCTACAGGCAGTGGTGGTGGTGGTCAAGGCGCTGTGGGAGCCGTTCAGGGCCTTATCCTATGCGTGTGTGCTTGGTGCGAGTGCTAGCAGAGGTACCCGGTGGCGCGTGGCGTGTGGCTTCGCCCGCCATCTCTTCCAAGTGCCCAGCGCTTCATTCAACGGCTCCTGTTGTCTCGTCTCCCACGCACGGGCACTAACATTACGAGGTCGCACCAACTGCGGAGCACGCTTGGCTGCCATTTTTCGCACAGCATGATGTGGACAGGATGCGATCAAAACGGCGACGCGGCAGAGCAGAGGCAGCAAGAAAAGCACCGCATTGCGAGCAAGGCAAGCAGGGAGCACCGCCAGGGTCTCGTCTTTCCGGGGGGCATGCCTAGGCTGGGCTGACCAGGCGGAGCCGTCGCGAGCTAAGCTGGGCTCTCTTTGCGTTCCCGGATGCGATCAGCGCTGGAGCCCCGCTTGAAGGGTGATTAGCATGGTGAGACATTGTTTAATACGGTACGGAGGGAGCACCAAGTGCGAGCGAGGCAGGACGCAAAGGTACCCGTGAGGCACCGGTGGTGACGGTGGCGGTGCCATACCGCGAGGTTGTAGCTGCGAGGTACTGACCTACCAAGCCATCCGACTTACACGCTCGCCAGCCAAGGGGGCCAATTTCGAGTGCTGCAGCAGTCGAGAATCACTCCGTATCGTACGGACCTGTGCCAGCAGTAGACTACGGTATGACGATTTTAGGAGCGGGCGATGATGGATGAGTGCAGCAGCGAGTTGACTGGATTCGCCGAGCAATACGAAGAGCTGCTGCGTTGATCTGCAGAGAGGGCATGCGGTGGGTTCGCTGCATCTAGCTTTGCATCCTCCTCTCTAGCACTGCTACCTTTTACATTTTTGCACCATGCCATGCCATGCCATCCCCAGAACCCAGTACGAGCACGGTCGCTGCCTCTAAGATTATGTCAGGCATCTGATATATTATGCCGCAGCGCCGCGGAAGCGCAGAGTGCCGTTTCTAAACTCGAGGCTGTGCGCGCCGATTAAAATGACAATCGTCGCTGCTAAAAAATCCACCGCCAAAGGAGGAAAAAAAAAACACTAGCAACTTGCTATCTTCAGCCACCACCCATTCCATTCTCCACGGGAAGTTTAACAAAAAAAAAAAAAAAGTGCGTGGCGTCAGCCGACCGCAGATGTATTTTTGGAAATGCTGCAGTCAGCTACGAATCAGACTTGCCGTACTATTTTAATTCGAGCAGCTCGCACACGCTTCTGACGCAAAGGCTTTTTTCCCTGTTTTTGTTGGTTCGAGGTTCTGCAGGTACCCTCTCGGCCCCTAATAATACATGATGAACTGCGATGTATGTACCTATTTGATGAGATTAAATCAAATTCAACTACTTATGGCACGAGGATCGTCTTCTTGAGCCGCGCTTGCAAGCACCGGATCCAAGGTGCCGTGCCAGGTTATCCCCCCAAACCCGGCCGGTCGGACGGCATCTCAACGCCGCACACTATTGAAGCCGAACAATGAACAGGGCGTGATTGTGTGATAATGGAAATGCACGCGCTTCATTGCAGTTACCAATGCCTAGAGCTGATCTTTGGATTTGTTAGTGGGTATGTACCTTTTCGTACCGCCTGTCTTTGCACCCGCGTGCGCGGTACCAGTGGGTCACAACGGCAGCAACGGTCACCCATGGACAAATCTGCTGCACGACAGCCCGTATTTCCTTTCCTCATTCTCTCTCATCCATGCCCATGTCGTCGTGTCGCTTGCCGATTTGGGGCATATCCTGCAAGCCTATCTCTCATACTTGTAGTCACATACTGTAAGGACGAGATACGGAGTAGGTATTCACAGAACCAGCATCAAACGTGAGGCAGACGTGCTGCAAAGCAACCACAACAAACAGCTGCAGGCATCAGGAGGATCAAAAGGATAGAATTGGCGCTTCCGCGAAATACTGCAATGCTGCACGCAAGAAGGGAACTACAGTATCTACTCCAGATTCATCCGCCAGCAGTTCGTCTCAGCGCCACGCCGAAACACGCCGCAACCCCGTACTGCATCGCGGTGTCTCCAAGAGGTCACACGGCTGCCACCCTGCATCTGGCACCTGCACCTGCAAGAACGTGCACTATTGGCGTTGGGCTGTCATCTGTTTCAGGCGCCGGATTCAGCATCTAGGAGCGCTTTGTTCGATTGTTCGAGGCATCGGCATGCGCGAGTCTGCAGGCTCGACAGGACATGTATGTATGGAAGCTGCGCCGCCGCTTATCTATCGACGTTCGGCTTCGAGACGCACACAGCCGTCTCGGCTGCAGAAGTGACCAACCTTTACGGCGTACTCCGCAGGATCAAACAGTGCAAGTGCAAAGATGCGAGAGCCTCGGCCCAAAGAGGAGATTCCCAGAAGATGTGCTGCAGCCAGGCAGGCAGCCATCACATTGGATTCGTTTCACATGTTGAGACTCCGGTGATAACATCTCCTTCCAGAAAGGAAAGGAAAGGAAAGGAAATCCTCCCGCAAAAATGGGTTACCTGGTTGACGAGCAGATTCAACCCCATTCATTGCGTGCAAACACATCAATTAAACACACAGATGAGCGCGCGCGCCATCATCTCCCTGCCCTGATGGCAATCCAAGGGACCGCCTCCACTGAAAACGTGGCTGTACAGGGCTAGCAGCGCATGCGCCGCCGCACTGACAGAGGCCGCCAAGGGTTAGCCTCCCACTTCCCAGCTGGCCGGGACTCCAGAACAACAGCCGGAAGTGCTCCGTTATACAGCGCAGCATTAGCACCAAGTAGCACGGCGGACTCCCGAAGCCGAGATCCGGCAGCATGATATTCGGAGCATATGGTTAAATGAGAAATGACGTTGACAGAGAGATCTCGCTCCTTGTCTGTCTTTGTCCACTCCTTTTTTTTTTCTTTCACTTTACTCGAAAAGAAGTTGTCGGTGATTGGATCTCCTCGGTTACGCGCGTCAGCCTACGAAATGCTGCGCGTGGATAAAAGCGCGGGAGACTCCATATAATCTGCGTAGGTAAATGGGACCCCATCTGGATCTATCAAGACAATTTTGTAGATGCGCTCCTGAAGATGCATGTACTCTGCGAGGAGACAGCCGCCGCAAACCGAGGATTTCATCAGACAGACCACTGTAGATTTTGTAAGATGATTGCTTGCACACACTTTGCACAAACAGTCTCTGCGATGGCCGTCTCTTCAAAGCCCAGTTCTTGCAATTAGACACGCCTTCCAACTCTCGCCCCCTTATTGAACCGGTCACCCCGCAATGGTAACTGGCCTATTAGTTGAACCCCTCTTATTCCCTCTATATTCCCCCCCCATTAGCTCAGCTTTTTTCAGCTGGGCCAGGTTCATGCTTCGTTCTTTGTGCCAGCTCTGTCTGTCTGTAGCCATCCAAATTGGCACGGCGGCGGGGTAGCTTTCTTCAATCGCGCGTCTAGAGCGTTACGTAGTGGCCATATATAAATCTACTGTGTGTTGCGATGCAGTCCCCTTTTTTTCTTCTCGTCGTAGAATAGCAACATTCAAAAAAAGTAAAATTCAATTCTTCTTTCTATTTTTTCTCTTGTCCCCATTGACTTTATCGGTTTTCAGCGGAAAGCAAAAAAAATCAAACATGGATTCACTCATCAACGCTGGCAAGGAGTACCTGACGGAGCAGCTCTCAGGTTCTGGTTCTGGTTCGCATCAAGGTAAGTGCCGCAGCCCCATCACCGTCGTCATCGCCATCATCAATCGTCATTCTCCAAGCACACAAAGCAATGCGCTTACTACCTACTACATCGACGCTCTAGAAGCTAACTAATATTCCCAGGCGGCCAGCTTCCTCCCGGAAACAGTCAGTCAACCCCTTCCCCTCATAACCCTCCCCGAACGAATAGGTTCTGACCCGAAGCCCTCCTCGCGATTCTATATATACAGATGCTTACGGTGGCAACTATCCCGCCGGCGGCGATTTCCACCACGAAGACGAGGAGCTGCGCACTGCTCACCAGCAGGCCTCGCAGTATGCTGGCTCCTCCGGCAACAGCGACATGTTCTCCAGCGTCATCAACTCCATCAGCCAGAAGAAGAGCCACCTAGCCAACAGCGACATCGATGAGCAAGGTTAGCCGACCCTTTCTATATCAACACTTTGATGGCCTTCATGTACGCTGACCAATACTTTTTTGTTTGTAACAGAGGCCATCCGCAAGCACCAAGAGACCTACGACCAAGACAGCAGCAACCTGAGCTCCAACAGCCTCGGCTCTGCCGCCGCGATGCAGGCGCTCAAGAAGTTCACCCAGGGCGAGACTGGTGGTAACCAGAGCCAGGGAGCTTTCCTGGGTTTGGCCCTGTCCGAAGCCAGCAAGGTAACTACACGCACTCACACACACACACAACACCTCCTTGTCCTCTAAAGAAGCGCATTCATGCTAATTTAATTGCGTGATACAGCTCTTCGACGCCAAGGCGGCCAATGGACAGGTCGCTCCCGATGCCAGCAAGCAGTCTGTCATCCAGCAGGCCGGCGAGATGGCCATGAAGATGTACTTCAAGAGCCAGGGAGGTAGCCAGGGCGGAGGCTCGTCTCAGCTGTTGAGCCTTGCCTCCAAGTTTTTCTAAAAGCCATATTTTTGGGGGGGTTTTGTAACATAAGTGAATTTAAGCACTCAGCTAGGTAGCTTTTAGTTGAAACTTGCGGCAAACGATGAATGAATTTACGAAGATTTTGACGTCTCAGAAACCACCGTCAAGACGATACATATGAAACAAAGCGCGCATGCTGTTACACAAAAACCGGAAATAGTAATCTAGCACACAGCACTCATAAATCTTTACCCAGTCTCTCTCTTTTGGTTTTCTTTACTGCTGGCCCCCAGCCAGTGCAACCACATCTGCCCATGAATCTGGCCGTCTGCGTCCCTCGGGATACTCCTCGTGCAGATACTCCTCCGCCTCTCTCGCCCATGCCAGGAGCTGCTCTTCACTCCCCCACTCACCCGTGGCGAGCAGGCTCACGGGCAGCTTCCCCTCGCCCTGCTGCGGGTCGACATAACCTACCGGAGCGTTGACGGATGGCGTGCCCGTCACGTTGGCCAGGAAGATGTACGACATGTTCCTCAAGGTGGTGTTCGTGTCGCTCATGCCGTAGGCGTCATCTCCATCGCCGCGTGGCCATCCGATCAAGGGGGTTGCCGGCGTCATGATCAACAGGCCCGGGTACTTTTGGAACAGGAAGGCCAGGTGGCGCATCACCAACGTGCGCAGGCTGTTCATCTTGAGGTAATCGGCGGCTGATACCTGCGCGCCCACGGAAAGGAGGATCTTGTTGGCTCCCCCAATGAGCGAGAGGTGATCGGCCGGGTTGGGCGTCCTCCGGCGGGCCTTTTCGGCCATCTCGGAGATGCAGAGGCCACCGTGGGCGATTTGCATCTCTGGGAGATACGGGATGCTGATGTCGACAATCTCGTAGCCACGCTTGGCGGCGAAGTAATCAAGCGCCTTGTCGCACAATTCGCGCACCGGCGGGTCAGCCTTGTTGAACCAGTCGCGGTAGACGCCCATGATGCGCTTCGCCGACGGGGATGGAGGGATCGAGAGCGCAAAGAGGCCCTGGGTCGGGCAGTCGGGATTGGGCTGCGTCATAACGCGGTAGGCGATGGTGAGGTCGGCGACGTTTGCTGCCATTGGGCCAGTCACACACATGCTGAGCTGCATGACGTGAGTACGGTGGTGGGTGGGCTTGAGGCCGTAGATGCCGTTGAAATTGGCCGGGATGCGGACGCTGCCGCCGGCGTCTGTGGCGACGCAGAAGGGGACGATGCCGGCCGAGATGGATGACCCGGCGCCGTTGGATGAGCCTCCGGGGTAGTAGGCGTTGTTGAGATGGTTGGTGGGCGTGCCTTGTGCGACCTAGATATGGGGGAAAGGGGTGAGTTAGCCATCTGCATGCATATAACTCCGGCTTGTATAAGCATCTCTTTCAGGGGCAGGCATCATTACATTTACGCCGCTTGTATCTGTGCAATTTCATTAGCATACATGTACCCTGAGACGCTACTCGACAGTGTCAAGAGGTTGGCCGTACCTGATCCTATTTCGTGCATCTTGTTTTTGCCGAGAACAATGGCTCCGGCCTCCTGAAGCTTCTTGACAGGCCACACAGATTCCTTCTTGACCGCAAAGCACGGCAGTGAAGGGTTATACTTCATGCCAGTGTGGTTGATGTAGCCCTCTACGTCAGTATCGTCCTTGACGCCAATCGGCACACCGTCCAAGACTCCGATGGGGTTGCCCGCAGCCCATCGCTCGGTGGAAGCCTTGGCGGCCTCAAGAGCAAGCTTCTCGGCGCCGTGAGCATCTGCCCAGGCGTCGCTGTACTTACCTGACCCCGTAGTCAAGGCGAGAAGCGTCTCTATTACCTTGAGGGGAGTGGTCTGGCCGCTCCTGTACAGCTCATGATAGTCGCTGACAGAGTAGTAGCGCGCGTTTGACGATGCGTACTTTGAGGTGAGCAGCTCTGGCTCGAATTCTAGCATAGGCCCAGTCTGACCCAGAGGCGTAACAGTGGGCTAGAGAGTATCAGAGGAGGATTTGGTTAGCAGCCGATACGAAAGATATTTCAGGTTGTTGTTGGGGGAAGGGGTTGTAATTCATTCAGCCGTCTACATACATGGAAAGTAGACACGATATCATGCAGCTCCCGCATCTCTTTGATCTTGTCCATGCCAGTGTTACGGTAGAAATATCTTGCAACAAAATTGGATCGAGCAAGGCTAGATGGGTAAACATTCTGAAATTAGCTCGATATCCAAACTCATCCTGGAAATACTTGCACATACAGCTCACCACCTAGCACGAGAGGAATCCCTCGAAGAACGGGATTGTGATCTACTCGCTGCACATATCCCGTATCTGGCCCTTCCTCGACCTTGGGATAATTTGCGAAATTCCCCACAGGAGCCATGGTTTTTCAATTGGATGATGATGAGCTCTAGAATGGCTTGAAAGAATTGGCGAGGATGAAATACTCGAGCTTGAACAAAGTAAAAGTGGCCTGACTGTAGATTGGGCAGAATGTCAGCTATCTCTAGGGTTTACGCAATGCATCATGATACTACAAACCACTGAAGAGCTCTATAGCATTATCAGGTGCTTATCAAGTGCACCTTTAGACGCCCCGTTAATACGTCCTGGGTATTTTGGATTTGGAGTTGAGGTTGGTGGGTTGTCAACGTTTTGATGGCGGGCCAGTACGCCTTTATAAACAGGTCGCAATATGGTAGGATTCGTGTATAGATTAGGAACTTATGGGGCGCCAGAACTTTGGCTGTAGCCCTGTAAGGCCATGATCCAATATATCTTTTTTCAACTAGCCAGCTAATTAGCTAGTATAAAAGAGGCACTATACCTGAATTAGTAAGGATTTTTAGTATAAAATTATATTACTTTTCCCTACTAAATATAAAATACTATAACCCCTGCTTATAATATATTAAACTAGCAGAGACTATAAAAATGCCTGTAATAAAAATAGTTATTAAATTTTCTATTAAATCTTATTTATAATAATTAATTAAAAATATATATATAATTATATAAATTTTTAATTAATTAATATTTATTAAATTTTATTAAAAATAGCTTTATTAATAATTATAGTATTATTAATAAAAAAAATTATTATTAATAATTATAAAAATTAAAAAAAAAACTTTAATATAGTTATAATTATATAAAATTATATTATATAAATAATATAGTAATATTAAAGTTATAGTTATAAAGTAAAGTTAATATTAAATAATTTAAAAGCTTTATAATATTACTATAAAAAACTTTTTTAATTTTTTAATTTAATATTTTATAATTTTTTTTATATAAAAAAAGTAATATTTTTTAAGCTTTATAAATAGCTTTATATAAATATAAAAATAAAAGGAAATTATTAATAACCTTTAAAGTAAAAAGTATTAATATTTTTATAAATATATATTTTTAATATATTATAAAAAAATACTATAGTATTTTTTTATATTAATTAATTAATTATATTATAAATATTTTATAATTTAATTAATTTAATAAAAAAATTATATATAAACTATATTTAATAATTAAATTTATTATATTTTTCCTTTAAAGTTAAGTTAATTAAAAAATTTAAAGGCTTTAGTAATATAATTAATATAATAAATAATATATATATTTTTATATATATTTTTATTATAAATTAATAAAGATTTTAATTATAAAAAAATAATATATTATAAAATATATTTATTATTATTATTTTTAATAGTTTATTTTTATATATATTTATTAAAATTAAAGGTTTTATTTTTAATTTATTACTTTTATTATAAATATTAACTTAATCTTTTAAAATATTAATAATAAAATATTATTTTATTAATATTAACTTTAATATAAAAAAAAGCATTATAATTTTATATTTTAAAATTTATTATTATTTTAATAACTAAAGAACTATTACTTAAAGGCTTTAAAATATAAAAAAATTATATAATTTATAATATATTTAATTATAAATTAAAATTAAATAAGTTTTTAAATAATATAAGTAAAAATAAAAAATAATTTATTATAATACTATTAAATATTTATTTATTAATTAAATTTTAATTATTTATATTATTATAAATTTTTTTAACTTTATTAAGCTTAAAGGAAAGTTTTTTAAATAAAAATATTAATTAAATAAAAATTTAATAATAAAAAAAAAATAAAAATATTTATTTTAAATATATTAATATATAAAATTAATTCTTTAGCTATTAAATAACCTTTAAATATAAAATTATATTTTTAAGGTAATTTAAGTAGCTTATTAAGTTTATTTTAATAATAATAATAAAGAAATTAAAAAGGTTAAAAGTAATAAAAATAACTAAATAAAGGCTTAATTTAATAGCTTATTTTATATTAATTTTATATTAAATTTACTTTTAAATATTAAAAAAATAATAATTTTATAAAATTTTTTATTTTTTAAAGTTATTTTTAACTTTTATTTAAAATATTATAGCTTTATATAAAATATTTTTATTAAAAATATATTTTTTATTTTCTTTAATAATAATAAATTTTATTTAAATATATTTATTAAATCTTAGTTTATTTATTTTATTATTTTTAATAAAAGATTATAGCTATATTTATTAAAAAAGTTATAAATGCTTTTAATTATAGTTTTTAATATTTTTTTTTTATAACTAGCTTTATAATAATAATATACTCTTAAGGCTTTATTTCCTAGGCTATTATAGTAGCTATAAGTTTATTTAATACTTTTAATTTCTTTTTTTTTATTATTTTCTTTTATTTTTTTTTTTTTATTATTATTAATCTTACTAGTATTTTTAATTATTATAATAATAATATTAATAATATTATTTTTTTTTTATTATTAATATAATAGGAAATTGCTAATAACAGCTAGCTAAATAGGTAATAGTATATTAAAGCACTTAAGCTTAAGGATTATTTCTAGTTCTTATAACTCTAGTATTTTATAAAGAAAAGCCTATAAAAGCCCTAGGGATTATATACTATAGCCTTTAGCCTTAGTATCTAGCTATTAACCTAAAGCTTAATAAAACCTTATTATAATTATCCCCCCTTTTTATAGTAATTAACTGCAGTTACTTAAGTAATTTATTAATAAAGTAGTTTTATTTTTTTATTTTTAATATATAGGGGCCTTTATACTTTATTAAGCCTTTTATATTTACTTAAGTATTAACTTTAAGTATTTAGCCTAGCCTTTTTTATTATTATAAAAGTAAATTTTTTTATTTTTACTTATATTTTATAAAATTTATTTATTTTTATTTAAATTTATAAATAAATAGTAAATTATTTTAATTATTAAAATATTTTTTTCTTTAATTTATTTATTTTTTACTTATAAATTATAGTTATATTAAAGTTTTAAAAAAAAGTAAATATTAATTATTATAAAAAAAAGCTAATATAATATTATAGTTATACTTAAGGTTATATTACTAGTATTAATTAATATATTTATTATATATAGATTTTTTTTATTTTAAATAAAAAGAAAATATATTTTAAAAAAAAAAGTAATAAACTAGTAATTTTTTTAAAAATTACTTATATTTTCTTTAGTTTATTATTAATTTACTATAATTAATGCTATAGCTATAATAACTTTTATATTTAATAAAACTGCTATTTTTTAATATTTTAAAAAATATTTATTAATTAATTAAAATATTTAATTTTTTTATTTTATTATATAATAAAGCCTATAAGCTAAATAAATAAATAAACTATTTTTATATTTTTTATACCTATTTTAATACTTTAGTTATAAATAACTAATAAAAGTATACTTTTTTAATAAAAGTTTTAATTAACTTTTAAAAGTTATTTAATTAACTTAAATAATTATATTATTCTGCCTTTAAGCTTACTAGCAGTAAAAAAGCTATTACTAAAGCTTAAATAATCTATTATTAATTTATTATATAGTAATAAATACTTTTAATAACTTAATTTTTTTATTTAATTTTTTATATATTCTTTAATATAAATTAAATATTTTTTTTAAAATATATTAATATTTTATTTATAATTACTTTAGGCTATAGCTATAATATATAAATAAGTTAATAATAAATTAGCTAAAGATTTAAAGGCCTAGGAGATAGCTTAAATTATTAAGCTTACCTTTAATAATTTAAAGTATATTCTTTAATAATTTACCCTTTATATTACTTATAATTATATTATTAATATTATAAATAATTATATTAATATAATAAATAATAATATTTATAAAAAGTTAATAAAAGCATTTAAGTATAATTTTATTAATATTTAATAAATAATTCCCTTTAGTTTTAATTAGCCTTTATAGGTTTAATTAATATATAATTTTTATAGTTAGCTTTAATAAATTATAAATATACTTTTTAGCTAAAACTTTTTTTTTTTTATTTATTTTTTTTTTATATTTTTTAATATTTAATAATTATTTATTATAAATTTTATATATTTATTTTAAATATTTATTAATTATATTTTATAAGCTATTTAGTTTATTTTATTAAATAATAAATCTAGCTTTAAATTTTTTTATAATTTTTAATTTTTTTAATTTTTTATTTTTCCTTTAGGTTATTTAAATTTAATATAATTAAAGGTTTACTTTAGTCTTTTAGCTTTTTTCTTTAAGGTTTAAAAAGGCTAATATAAAATATATTATAAATTTATATATATTTCTTTAAGAGTATTAAATAATATATTTATTAATTAATTTTTATTATAATCCTTAAGGGTTTAATAAACTTTAAAATAAGCTTTTTTTTTTTTTTTAATATATAGGTTTTTTATTAATAACTTTATTAAATTATTTAATAATAGCATTAATTCTTTATATTATTTATTATATTATAATATTTATTTTTTTATTATAATTTACTATTAAATCTATAGTTTATTTTAAATTTATTAAAGTTTTTTAATTTACTTTATTATAGTAGTTATTTTTCTTTTTATTAAGGCATTTTTATTATAAAATAGTTTATTATTTCTTTAAGTATAGAAATTAATATTAAATTTATATAATACTTTATATAATAATATATTAATAATATTATTTTTTATAATATTATATATAAATTATATTTCTTTTAGCAGGCTAGTTTAATTTCTTTAGTTTTAATTAATAAAGCAATATAAATAATATTTTAAAATTTAATTTATTTTTTTTATTTACTTATTAGTTTATAAGTAAAATATTATTAAAAGCCTTTACTTTATTTAACTTATAAAGTATAGTTTTATTTAAAAGTTATTAATAAATATAAATCTTTTATTTATTATAATTCCTTTTATAGACTTTATAATAAATTTAACTTCTTAATATTATAATTTAATTAATTTTTTTATAATAATTATAGTTTATATAAATAAAAA